CGGACCATAACTCCTCATCCCCATAGCTCCTCGCCGCATCTAGAGCGTCCACGTCAGCAGGATTCGTTCGTTCGTTTGGTGCCGTTCGAATTAACTACAACTGCGCTAAGAACTGTGTCTTGCACCCTCGACCCCTGGGGCCTAATAAATATATGGCCGCTGCACCAAAGTCTGTGAACCGGGACGGAGATAAACGCGATTTTTCAGCACGCACACACCCTCTCCTCGACGAGCTCGCACTTAATGATTATTAAAAGGTGACTCTCCATTGGCTTTTGGCGAGAGGGCTAAAAAAATTTGAGGAAAATCATCTCGACGCGAATCACGTCGCGCGGATCAACTTGCGAATTATGAAAGGTAATTGGGTTAGCCCACCTAGGATATAGGAGTCGAGTTGCTAATTTGGAGGTATGCAACACTCTTGCGTGCGTGAAGAGCAGGTTGCCTACCTACTCGAGCTTCAACATAATAGTGAGATGGAGAAAAATGATAAAATTTAAAAAAAAAACATTTGTTACATTGAGTTATTTTAGTTATAAATCTACGATTCAATGCTAACGAACGTTTTGATTTTAACAATATAAGCTTATTATTCAGAGAACGTTTATCTTCTTGATTGAAAACAGAAGTACTTCAAATTATACGAATTTTTTTTCCAAGCTATCAGATTTAAATCACCTATGCATTTTTGAACAATTCAACAAAGCAGATCTAGCCATTGTTTGATTGTTGCTCATTGTTTATATTCTGGAGTAAAAAAAAGAAACTGCTCCTTTTCATAGCTTCAAGGCCCAAAAAAGAAAAGGCAACCTTCTACTCCTGGCCATAATTTTATTAATATTAATTTTAGGCAGAATGATAAATAAATATTCCCACAACAACTCTCACACAAAAAGCAACAATTATGAGATTCTCACTTAAGTTTTGTAATTTTAAATAATTTCGGTTCACGAAAATCCCACATTTTATTTTATCACGTGGGGCACCGCTTTAGGCTCAAATCGCTGCTTAAAAGCTCAAATCTGGGCTTTCAGTAGAAATCTCTCTGCTTTGAAAATCGTCCTTCATTTTGGGTGAAAGCCGGCGCGTCTATAAATATTGCAGTCGAAAGTGAACTTGCAAGGAATGACACACACGCTTACTCGCGCCGCCACAAAGCGTCGTTTTTCTTCAGTTCTGCAACACTTAATTTCATATATTTTTTCCTTTTTATTTCTCTGCTCTCAACTGCTGGCTCGTGCAGCTCCACACTCGCCAGAAGCGCAGAAGAGCGGCGGCGTCTTTAATAATTTACCATGTAGACTCGTCTCAAAGGCTGCTGTTTGCGAGCTGTTCTGGCTGAGTAAAAAAGTAAAATTCACAGACGAATACTCCAAATCAAACACCATTTGTATGATAAAAAAAGGAAAGGGAAAAACAGCACCGCCGCTTTTATTGCAGCCAGCCGGCTTCCGAGCGTCAAAGTTAATTTTTAAAATGTGATTAGACGGAGAATTTTATGGCGTGTTTTTTAAAAGTTTGCACTCGTCAACGCAGAAGTTTTTATTGTTAAGGAGGAAAACTTTGAGCTGAAATTACCTGCACTAAGGTTTAATAACTTTTAAAATTTTTAATCATGCTCTGTATGAAACCAAAATAGAGACGTAGTAAATCAATTAAATAAAATAGAAAAAATTAATTTTACGCAGAAGCTGAAATGGGAAATTTTGATTTCAAAATTTCGCTAGCGTCAATGAAACATTGAAAGAAGTGTAATTTATTTAGGAAAAGGCTGATGCAATTACTAATTAGTAATAATTGTGAAAAAATTAAATTTTTTTTTTTTTATTTTTAAAATATACAATTTATAATTATATTTTAATAAGCTTAATAACTTTTTCCTATGATTTCAGCAAAATTAAATATCTCGAAAAGAATAATTAATTCTTTATGTCTATGGATGGAATATATCCATATCTTAGAATCAAAATAGGGTAATTATCTTTTAGATTCAACAAAATCATTCCTTGACGGGCCACAGCAAATATTTAAATTAAAAAAAACCGGCATTTCCAAAATTGTGGTAACAAATTTTTGGTACCACACAAGGTCCGCTCGTCAGAAAATTTCGATTGTTGTCGAGCTCTCTGATTGGGTTCAACTTTACTTGTACCCTGCTTGTACCCAATCAGAGAGCTCAAACAACAATCAAATCTTTTTTCATTGTTGCTGATGAGCGGACCTTGGTACCACATTGTGGTAGCAAATTGTGGTACCAAAATGAGTTTGAGTTTGCCTTTAGAATAGATGATCAAATTATTTATTACATCAAATTTGGTAACACAAATGTGGGTTTTTTTTACCCCTCTGGAAGGGTTAAGTTTGTCATTAAAATAGATGATGAAATTATTTATTATCTATTTTAATGGCAAACTCAAACCCTTCTGTAGAGTTGAAAAATGCATTTCAGCAGCTAATAATTTAATTCTGCAGAATCCTAATCGACATTCCATATATTTGATTAAAATTGCAGTTAGGCACCTAAAAATGTTTCCTTGTTAGCTTTGCATGAACTTTCCAAAGATTTTTTCAAATTAAAAACAAAAAAATATAATTACTTATATACATGGTTTAAAAAAAAAGCAATAGATCTGGTTGAATGGTCACCACCAGTGCAATAAAACACATCAACAAAAACACTTTCCTTTTCCCTAAAATCCAAAATTTTTGTTGGTGAAATACAGAAAGCCTGGGTGGCTGGAAATTGCGACACTCACAGCACCCCTGCCAATAAATTTCCTGGGGCAAATCCAGGCAGGATTTAATGGCGACCGCTCTAAACAAGAATTTGAGTTGATGAAATCTCCTCTCGGCTGCCAACACGCACTTGTTCCACACACGCGCGCGTCTCTGCAACCAGCAGCAAAGAGCAAATTTGGGAAATGGTGTTCCAAACAAGCGCGCAATAACAATAGACACTTTATTGTGTTTGCCCCTGTATGTGTTTGAGCGAACGCGGGGTGGTCGGACCGCGTCGGAGAAGAAAAGCACAGGGATAGAGACCCAGACCAATATAGCGGCGGCAGCCAATTTGAAAGGCTATCGCCTGGCGTGTCTCAAATTCAACACAATACGCGGCTATGATTGCCCAGGAAAGAAAGGAAAGAGATCGAAATGAGTTTTCCCGCTGAGAGAAAAAGAGCGAAATGTAATAATGTGCGCCGGGAAATCAGGAGTAGTGATACCTATTATATTTCGCAACTTATTACCCACTCTCCAGTGCACCTTGTTCAGCGGGAAAACTTCAGACTTTATTCACCCGACGCCGAGTAATTGTGTTTTGTGCAATTTGTGTGGCGTGTCTGCAACACGAAGAAAGGCCGGCTGCTCACGATCAGAGTAAAGTTGAGTTTTAATGATAAAATAAGCTAAAGAGAAAGCAGACAATTCTTACTGTGTATTTTTTTCCTTAAAAAATTTGTTTGACAGGTGAATTATTTTAATTCTAATAATGTTTTATAATAAAAAATTTCATAAATCCATTGATGAAGTAGTTTGCTATATTTGGCCGACTAAAACATAATTAGTAGAAGATTTTACAAAAAGCTCAAATAAATAGCGAAAAACGAGAGGTGTTTCTTTGGTCGCTATATTAGTCCATGGTGTTTCAGTTTGTATTTTTATTTCCAACATTTACAAAAATTTATAATTTCTGGAAATAGAAATTTAATTTTGTAATGAGAGGATTGATATTTACAATTAAAAGTATATCATTTCACTTTGTTTTTAAAAAAATATTTTCATAAATATTTACGTCTTCTTGTTCCTTTTTCATTTCCTACATAGAAGGAAACTTGAGTTGAATATTTATGCTTGTCACTTAAACGCTTCAATGTTTGCCATCGACGTTTGTTTGCAAGTTTGTCTCGCAGTGCCAGTTAGCGGAGACGCGACGTGCTTTCCGTTCGCAAAATAAAGGACATCAAGGAGTTGCAAAGGTGCGCGCACTTTTTTCCATCAATAACGACGGCGGCTTCCCGTCAAGTTCAAAATTTCCTTGTGTGCGAGAGCGTGCAGCGCGCCTTAAAATAAAATCGTTATTCAAGCCTAAGTGTATCGCGAGAGACATTTGATAGCTCCATTCGTTCGCCACTTTAAGGCATCCCCCCAAAGAATTGTGCACTGAAGAGCAAAGCAAAAAGACGCTCGAAAATTGGGCGGCTCTTACCTAAACGCGAATAGAAAGAAAATGAATGTTTCGAGATAAAGTATCAATTTCATTGCAAAAATCCGAACAGAATTTTTCATAGTAGCATGAAAAAAGGACTAGAGAAATAGGTTAACAAATCTATATTTATAGCAAAAAAGAAAAAAAATTAAAATTTATGAAATTTTACCTATTTCCTTTAATATTTGCATTGATGCTGTCTGAAAATCAAACCAAATTGAATATAAATTTTTTTTATTTTGCCTCTACCTATTCCCAGGATTTGAAAGACTTATCAAGTTATGTGACTCTGGATGACCTAATTTTATTTTATTAAACCTGCATAGGCGCCATTTTCATCACAAAATAGGGAATTCGATACGTTTATAAAATTGGCTTATTTCCCTAATTCAAATCAAACATTTTTTGGTTGGTTTATTTTCCTCCTTTTTAATTTAAACAGTTTCCCACGATTTAAAAACTTTTTTATTTGTTAATTTAGACAGAATTTAAAAATAATAATAATTCTATTTTAAATTGCCATAGTTTTTTCTCAGAATGCGAGACAATTCCTGAAAATCCAATAAATTTTTCAATCTGTGGTAATGGAAAAAATTATAATTAAAACTAAAGATGATGAATTTTTTGAGATTGAAAAAATCTTGCCGCCTTTCATCACGCACTGACCACAAAAACTCTTCATTTTTCTTTTCATATCAACTTCTTCTGCGGACAGAATTTCCCCCGCAGCAGAAAGGCGAGTATTAATTTCACACCAGTTGCCAAAGGGAAATTGAAATGAGACGGCGTTCGCTTTGAAAAAAATTCAATTGCGGTTTTATTCTTTCATATCATGGGTGAGTGTGTGCGATTCTCCTTTCATAATCACGAGAGACACAATTCATGAAAACGCACAATTGACCACACGCTCGTCTGCAATACGGATTTTCCCACAAAACGTAGACATATTAAAAACATATCATGCACAGCCTCGAGTAAGAATCTTTCAGCGTCGCTTTCTCTTACAATCTACTAGCCTAACTACCTAATCAATTACAAGCCTCTCTTTGTGAGCAAGAATATTATTTATAGAAGTACAATAAACAGAAATCAAGCAGATAATTTGTGTGAAAAGGCTAGACTACGTAAAATACATCATGTAATTTATTATAATAATCATGCTTCTTTCCGCTGATTGTATAAAATAGTTATACATGTATAAAATAATAACAAAGGGCGTAAGAATTAATTTGTAAGGCGTAATTTTGATTGCGTTAGTAGAATATTTGGTACTTACATGAAAATTGCAAATTTATATCGTAAGGAGCTCCATTCGGCGTACATTAATAATTAATTTCTGCACATATTTGGTATGGATATTAGTTGATATGTCCTAAAGTCTATTAATGTGCTGCTTTAGAATGAATAGAGAGTACAGAGAGATGTAAATATATGTATGTTATCCTTGTGTGTTATTATATTTAAATGAAGCCAAGCTCGGAGGGTTATTCGTTGCGCTAACTTGGTAATTGAATGCTTGCAATCTTCATTTCAGCAGCTCCTGAAATTTTAATGACTTTAATTATGTGAAAATTTTCCATTTTTCATCAAAATATTGTTATATCTTTTGATGTAAGTTTTTATTTACATGGCACATTTGATTTTTAAATTAAATAAAACATTAATTTACGACCAATTTTTTTTTCAAAGTTTGGCATACCAAATTGATTTAATTTTTAATTTTAAAAATGTAAACAAATTAATCTTGAGGATCTCAATAGTTACATTATTAATTGAACTTTTCAAATTTAAAAATTCTACTTTTTAGTACATCATGATCTACAGTATTTCAAATTCAGATATAAACTGTTTTCATTCTATTTATGTTTGTTTTCTTAAATTAATCATTAATAAATGAGACTGACCTTTCTTTACTCTCAAAACTTTCCCTTGCTTTGGTCTTCGTGGGTGCTGTCCTGGCTGGGCTCGGGGTTGATCAGGTTTTCGTGGTAGCTGACCTCAGTGCCCTCGTGTGCGGGGTGCAGTTTTTCGTGCGCCACCTCTAAGTGGGTCGTGCCATGGTGGAAACCGTGGCCGTGATGCGGCCGGCCGTGGTGGCCGCCGGAGTGCTCGAACGCTGACTTGGGCAGTGAAAGCGACTCGGCCGCCGCGTTGAACGTCGCGTCCGGCGGCGGCTCAGCCGAGGGACTTGTGTGCTCCGTTTCTTCTTCCGGAGTCTCCTCCTCTTCCTCTTCTTCTGCACCGATTTGTGCACCAAAGTGATGAGCAATGTCACCTGGAAAATAAGTGTTATTGTTAAAAAAAAATCTTATTGTAATTCTTGTAACCATATAAAAAAAACAACAAATCGGCTTGGATCAAAAGTTTATTCCACTTACAGTTTGATCACAAAAATAAAGATCACTCAAAAGTTTTATTGAAAATTGAGTACATTGGCTTTTCCAATCCACAGGCAATCTCGGGCCAATCGCATAATTATTTATGATATAAATTGTATGCTTTATTTAATAATGAAAAGCTCGCAATCCCTTAAACGAAAAAAAGAGAATGTCCAACTTAAATTAATTTATTAGTGTAATTTTAAGATACAAATGTTTGACCATACCCAATTTATTTATAAAATTAATTTTGGTGTTATTCATTTATTAAATTTAGTATCAATATGTAATATTTATGTAAACTATAAAATTATTTATTAAAAAATGAAAAATATTAATAAATGGTTTTTTTAAACATTAAAAAATTCTAATTAAATTTTTATTAATGTTAGTTGACAAAAAAATAAAAAACAATTTAAACTACTAAAATTTAAAGATGTAATAGGTTTTTACCTTCAGAAAGATTTGTCTCAGCCAGTAATCGATGCAGGGTGTGGTTATTAGCCCTGAGGTGCGGGTGAAGCCCTGCGTGTCCGGAGCTGCCGGACAACTTTCTCGTCTGCATCTCCTGCACGAGACCCATCAGCTCTGGCACGTCTGGTTGTTGGTGCATCAGTTCGGGCACTTCCTGTTCTTGGTGCTGAGCGCTGAGATGCGACTGGTGGTGGCCGTGGCCGTGGTGGCCACTGTAGCACGAGCTGCAGCTGCAGTTGGCGATGATCTGCACCTTCTTGGTCATCTGCACGTACTGGTGTGTGCTGTTCTGCTGCTCCAACGGCTGTTCTGTCGGCTGCTCCAACGTTTTGGACTCAGTGTCCTCCGTCTCGCAGTCCAAAGTCACCTAAATGGAGTCAAATTTTAAAAATCACATTCGCTTATGCTGAATTTTTTTACTTTTTATGTTAAATTTAGAAATTAAAACAAAAATCCACGTTTTTTTACCTTCTATGCACATCTATGGCTTGAAACTTTTGATTTTAGGTTGATACTTTATATTTTCTGAATAGCTTTCAATTTCCAAGATGACAAAGGTTCTAAAATAGTAAATCCTCAACACACAGCAACAATTAAAATTGACTAATTTTAAAATTTTAAATTAAAAAGGCGTTTTCAATATTTCATTATTAATTATTGTTACAAAATGCAAATGGTGGAAAAAGGATGAAAAGGGGTTTTTGCTTTGTTTAAAAATCTAAGCTTTCTCAACATATTTATTATATATGAGCCTGAAAACAATAGAGCTTCAAGCCATAGAATATTGAAAAAGTGGATTTTATCCATTTTTAATATGGAACCTTTTACTTTAGTTGGCGCTCCATAAAAAAAATAATAGTTTAAATCTCTTAGACTTAAATTTATTTAAAAAAACGTAAGATGAAAAATATGAAATAATATATGAGTGTATTTTTTAAATTCAGGGAAAACTGTAATTTTTATATTATTTGTTCGTTTCATATAACTCCACAGACTTTATTTACTTTTAAGGAGGGACCAAGCGTCGCATTTTGCAAATGCGTGAAAAGACCTTTTTGATTCTTCTTTTTCGCCTTTCATTGAACACACAAAGAAGACCTGTTTTCACAAGTGCCGATGCTAAATTATTTCGCGGAGGGCCAGCAGGTGTTATAAAAATAACCAAGGTAGGGCCGGCCGGCGGGCCGGCAGACACTTACATCAATCCACGTGACCTCACTGGCCTGGCAGGAGTCGCAGTAGGGCGAGATGACGTCACCCGGTGCACTGGGCTGGGTCTGCGGGATCGTGTAGCTGAAGCACGCGCCCACGCACACATTGTTGTCGATCTCTTTGGCCACGCAGCCGGGCCACGCCACCACCTGCTTGATGGGGGTGGTTTTGCACCACGAGTGCTTGCCAGGGTAGAGCACGATGTTGTGCACCTGCGTTAAAATCACCAGATTCGCACGTTAAAATATTTCATCCCCACTCACTGACTAATTTTTTTATTAAAATGCATTTCATCGTTGATTAACAAGGGCCCGAGGTCAACTTTCATTGACTCTGAAATTGGAGACTGAAGAAAAAATAGGCAGTTCCTTTACCTTGTGCTCTCGGTGTGTTCGAGAGGAGCCCACCAGATGGAAGATGACGAAGAGCAGGCAGACGAGCCGCCAGCCGTTCACGGGCTTGACTTCTCTCATGTTCAACCAGAGGGCCAATCAGCGAGTCAGGTCATTAGATGCCCTGCAGCAACGTTACGCAAATTGCAGTTAGCTGAATCGGGAAAATTAAAAAATTATTTCCTTCACATATATTGCGGCTCGGCTCTCCGAGCGCAATGAATGTTGGAAGGAGAATTTGAAAAAATAAATATGAAATTCCTATGTAGTTGATTTTTCCTCTCTTTTTTAACTTGCAGAGTAAATTGCGTTTGAATGAAATAAGTCAGGTCAGCGATAAAATTGCTTCCAACGCTTGAGGACAAAAACTGCTATTTATGCATTTCCCCCCCTTGCTTGCACATTGCTCAAGTCCTTCTTAGTTTCAATATCGGATTTCAAAGATGCGTTTTGGTATAAAATGTCATTTCTCAGTTTTTTTTTCTTTCCGCCGTCTGCGATCGTTTTCCCAGCGAGTTTATCTCATGGCAACGTACATAAAATCCCTGGCTAAGAGTGTGGCGTTGGTTCATTTCATCGTCAAGTTTACTGCTTGTTTATTACATTTTGGCACGGTGGAAGGTCAAAGAGATGCTGCAAAATTAGTCATTGTCAGCAGAGTCAAAGGCGATAAATCACTGAAATGGCATTTTTCCTTCGCTCCTCCTCTCGCGAGCGATCTCGCCGGGGGGGCTCTCGAGTCTCGGATTTTTTCCGAAATTCTGCGCTGATCTCGACCCATTCAAAAAAGAGAATATACGTAAAAAAGCGAAGAATGAACGCCGATAAGTAGCGCGCCGGCAGAATGATTCGAAGAAAAAGAGTTGTAAACGTTAGAATGGAGTACACGTCAGAATGAATTCCGTTCGTCATTCTTTTTTTCTTCATCTGCGTGAAGCCTCTCGCATGTTTTTTTGTTCGAACGGCCGCTTGCTTGTTCTGCAAAGGAGCATAATTAACAATTGACTCGCTACAAGTGTATCGGATCCCGCCCCGCCGTGTACGCGTAATAATCAGCTAAAAATAGAGTTGATTGATGCCGTGTGGCGCACAAAGAGCTAAAGATATTTCGCAGACATTTTCATCAGAAATAACACGACATTTAATTAGTGGCCACTTAGCTCAGTAAAAAACTGCATGCTAACAAAAATATAAGGATAAAGAAACGGAATATTTTTTACAGAGAAAATTAAAGGATTATTTATTCAACAGAAAAATGTTCGATAAACAATAAAAAATCACAGATGCTAATTAATAAATTATGAGTTTTTCTTTCTCATTTTTAGCTTTTATTCTCATTTTAAATTTATGGAGTGTAGATTTTGAGCGTTTTTTTTCCTCAAAAATAAATTTATTTAATGCCTTCTCTCAGCTACATCTAACAATGAGAGGAGTAAACGTACTGGTACCTTGTACAGTTTTCATTTCTCGTAATTTTATTGCATTTTTAGTCTTTTTAGAAAATTAAGCCTTACTCGTTTTTTATTTTAAATAGCTCTTGAAAGTGCTTTAAACACTGCTGCCTAAAAAGTACTTATTTGCTGTAAAGATAAGTAGACTTTTTAAGCAAACAGGAAAAAATCTTTGTGGCCTTAAATTTTTAACAATTCTCGTCTGTCCTTTTGTGGCGTTTCTATCGTTTCCATCTTTAGAATTAAATTTTCGGCTTGACTGGTGTCTGCCAAAAAAGAAACATATTTATATATTGAGAAAAAGATAATGATAGACATCCAGCTTATATTCTCAAATCCGCCCCTCCAGGCGAGTCTCCAATCACAAAATCAGGCATTTTTTAAGAGCCCTCCACTCACTTGGTCCAGCTGCTGAGATGACTTACTGATAATTTCCCTCCTTCCAAGCTGTATAATTTTTTAATCAGATATGGAAGAAAATTTATATATTATACAACCGCAGAGCCGTCCGATTAATATAAGGAAAAATATATATTATTTATAAAGAAGAAGTAAAAAAACACATCTTCACGTCTGCTTTGGCGGTTGCGGCACTCGCTGTGTTTTTTTCGCGCCGTGTGTGTGTGTACCAGTTCAATCAAGTTGTTATGTGTCGGGACATTTAATTCCCACCTCGAGGTCAAACTCAAACTTGAAATACCAAATGTTCTCCGTCGCTCCCTGCCGCCTTCAAGGCGACTGAGCTGGCGCGCCCAGTGAACCAGTGGAAGCCCCACAATTCATTGGTCCCCAGTAGGCAACAACCAACGTGGGCCTCTTTCGCATTTGCATGCACGCCGGCCGCCTCTTCTCTCCTCGCGAACCCGAGACGCTTATTGCTTTGTTTTCGCCAAACTTAAAAAACGTCAGCTGCGAAATGACTTTGGAAGAAATTTTATATATGAGATCAGCGCAGATTAGAATAATATCTTTTATATAAGAAGTCTCCGGCGCTGTCAAGCAAGATCAATGTGTGCGGAATCCGCCGCTTTTCATCTCTCTTCTGCTTTTGCCGGCCGTTTCTCGGAACGACACAGACGAGATTAAACCGCTAAAAATGCCATCTGATGTTGAGCTGAGAGAGAGAAAAAAAATAACAAATACATATTCGGTATTATGTTGCAAAAAATGTCTCTCCCTGGGCTTAATTGGAAGCGTATTTTTTAGCATATATGGTGCGTTTAAAATTATTCTTGATTTTAAAAAAGAACTTAGATTGCGTATAATTTATTTCAGTGTTGTTTTCAGTTGTAAAAAATGAATCATTTCACAAATGCAAATGAGAAAAACAAAGAAAAATTCCACTGCACGCGTTGGTTTGTTATGTGTTGATGCAACGTAATTTTCTTGCAGCGGAAAACCAGTTCCAGCTCACACAAGTGCTCGATCTCTCCTCTTTTTCTCAACGTGGCTCCGATTCAAAACGATTCTCGGAAAATTATTAATTTTTCAGTAATTAAAATAATTAAACATTCCTCATAAAATTCCCGAAAAGTGGCAGCAAGTTTTTCATATATAATCGAATGACCTCGACGGATCAAGATACTGAATGAAGGAGAAGCTCTCATGCAAAATAAATAATTTACTTCCGGATTTGAATAAAAGTATTAAAAATAAATATAAAAAGTCCTGTGGTTACAAAACAACACTGCAAGTACTTCTGCTCTTGCAATCGATCGATGGCACAGACGGGGCTCAACGTAATGCGCTCAATCATTGAGTTTGTGTGTCAACCAAGCAACGCTGCAGGTCGCGAGAATATAAGTAACCATACTACTGGCGGCCTTTCGAAAGGAGAAATCTGCGCAGAACCTGCGGCCTGTTCGGTGCTGTTCGGCCGTCCGAGGTGGGACACTCACCTTTGGGAAGTGCGGCAAACGCGACGGTCGGTCGGCAGGACAAGGGCCGAATGAATGGACGAGGGCGACAACGCGGAAATATAATATTATATCGAACGGCGCCGCCGGAGGAGGAGAGCAGCGGCTATCCTACTTTGGAGAACGGCCGAGTGTGACTGAGAGTGAGTGAAAAAGTAGGAGAGGATCACGGCATTAAACATTCAGACGTTGCTTGGAGTGGAGAGAATTAGTTATTAGTGGAAGGTAGTAGTGGTGGAAGAGAGAGAGAGAGAAAGAGCAGCGTGAATACATTATACAATGTAACCTGAGATATACCGCGCCGCGCAGCAGCCTCGCGCTTCCCATCTCTCTCTCCGCGCGCGAGAGGCAGCGAGCGAGGAGATCGAGTCTCTCTTTCGCTCTCCTCCGTCCTGCCCACTTGCGAAGCCAGTAAATCACAACGGCGCCGATCAATTTATTGTTATTGCCTCGGCTCTCTGTGTGGTGCTCTTCGATTGAGAAAAATTTCATTCAACCAAGTTTCTTTTAAAGTCTGGCGAGATGAAGATACATGTAGAACTTTTCCACAACTTTTAACTAGATTAAAAGTAGATAAAAGTGTGAAGATGAGGAAGAAACATTTTTATCTATTCGTTGAGCTATTATTTATAGCTCTGGGGAAAAATAACAAACACTACAGGCTTAGCTGGTAATATTTTTTTTATTCTATTAGTTGTTTTTATTAATTTTCACCTAATTTTTAAAGCGTAATTTACTTTATTCCAGACAAGTTACGACTTTTTTTACCAGCCTAAAAAAACTAGTATTAAATCTAAACCATGATTTCAAAAAATAAGCATTATTTATGAAAACAATTAAATTAACTTTATAGATCTGCGAAAAAGAAAAAAAATTATGTGCAATAAAAAAAAGACTCATTGTTAAAATTTATTATTTTTATATTCACAAATAATTTACTTTTCAACTTAAAGTTCGATTTAAACTTATTGTTTCTGATAGTTTAATAGAAAAATTAAAATTTTTAAGCTTCAAACTTGAGGTGAATATCATGGAGAATTAAAACTTGGCTTAATATGTCGTTGAAAATTTGAAAAATAAAGCACTAGAGGAGGAGATACTATGGATATTAAAAAATAAATTTCATGTTTCTTTCCTTCAATAAATTACGCCCAGGGACGCCAGGGACGAAAGAAATTAAATATTACAGCTTACAGCAACAGTTTCTTTCTAGAGGCTATTTTTCAGAGTTAATTTAAATAATTTGAATAAATACACGCTTTCAATTTCTTGGCTTAAAAGACTCTTTATTGGTTTTAAGTTTTTAAGTATTTTTGGCTAATGTGTGAGAAAACTGTGTGTCCGCAATATAATATAGTTTTTAAAATTATTTCAAAATTATAAACCATCTCTTCGAATCTTCAGAGGAATGTTTCACGCTACTATCTACAATTTATATCATTAAGCTCTACCCGCACTAATTAGCTGCGTTTTTTTTCACAAATAAGATATTAAATTAATTACTCTCACATAAACGCACGCTCTCTCCTGCACTTGAAAAACATTCCACGTTTTTTTCTTGGTTTGTTAATATTTGTATGTGCGAAATTCCGTCTCAAAATATTTTCGATCACGACGTGTATCACTAAATAAACGTTCGTCTCTGTTTGACTCTCCCTGAAAACTATGTATGGCGCACTGCATTAATACTTTTCCGACAAATGTGTATATTTAAGGCACAAACATTATTGTTTTCATTAAAACTGGCGCGCGGTTGGATCAAGTAAAAGATTATAACACAGTTGACAAAAACTGACTAGTCAAATACATGTATGCAATTCAACGCACAGCAGGCCGCTCACAAATACCCGGCGGTAAAAAAATTCCACGATAATGGCACTTAGTGTTTATGGGCAGATAAAATTTGCAAGTCAAATTGAATCATTTATATACCCAAGGCAGTGATTCCTCAGGTAAGGAACTGGTGGAAGTTTGTGAAGGTTGAGCAATGCAAGGGGCCTGCTGGTATGAAAGTAAAATTATTAAGAAAAATTGGTTATGTTTTTAGAAACAAAACGTCCGATCAAGTGTCTTTGTCCCTCTCGGTGTTGTTGGTCAGCGGCTTCTCTTCTTGCTTTTCCGAGTCGGACGATCCAGCCTCTGGTCCTGCCGGAGGGGTTGGTTCTTTGGTGGCGGGTAGATTTCCCGAGTTGGAGTCTTCGATCGCCTTTCGCAACTACAAAATTAAAGAAAAATAATTAAAATTGTGCTATGTGCTTATTTTTAATAAATTATTTCATTATTGTAGTTTATTTTTACAATATTGTAATAAAAAATTCCATTATAAAACACCATTCTAAGGAGGCAAACATTGACGAAAAAGGCACCACCACTAACAAAGATTTTTTTTTAAATTCCAAAATAAAATAAACCCCTATTTGAGTAAGCCTAAAATAAAGTTTAATATTTATACTTTCTAAACAAAAATTAAATTTCATGCTTATTGTGTATAAAAAAAAGAATTCTTCACCTCTTTTAAGGCGACAACGCCAACAAGTCGGCCGATGGCCGTCACATAGGCGTGATTGACTCCCAACATGCTGAACAAAGAGTGGACTTTGAGCAATGAAGTCCTCTCTACCAGTTGGAAGGGCGCAGGGTCAATTGGGCACTTGTCAAATTCAACCTCCTTCCTCAGTTCGGCCTCTTCCCACAGCTTTTGGTCTTCAGGTGACATGTCAATCACCCTTTCACGTGGCTGAAAATAGCAAATTTTGTTAAATAATATGCAAATTAAAAGGAGAAAATTTTTCATTTCAATTAAAAATACATACGTCCCAAAACTCGCAATATTCCCAGTAAGGCTGCATTAATTTCAATTCACATTTTCAATGCTCAAAAAATTTAATTATAAATAAAATTACCAGTTGCACTTTCTTGAAGGCCGATGGCGTTCCGGGCACTGTGAGGGTGGCCATTGAGGCGGACGGTGTGTCGACGGCGTCGACTGCCAGGCGTGGCACAAATGACGTCGTCTCGTTGGTGACGGAGTCGGGCAGGGCAGACGTCGATCCAGACGCGGGCTCCACGTCCTGCAGGGTGGCTGATTTGCGGAAAACGGCGTCAAAGGCCATTCGCATTCGCGATTCGGCGCCGGTCACTGTGCTGTACGAATTGGCGTGTGGCAGCATGAAAGGTGAAATGCCACGCATTGTGAAGGAATTGGTCTTCTTAAGGATTGACTTCTTTGGAACGCTGCCCAGAACTGGCACAAAGAGCCTCTGCAATAATATTAAAATATATGATAAGTAAATTTTCCTCTTCAAAGTTAAATTGCTCCGACCAACTAACAGTATTTTCAGCTTTTACTGTACAAATTGAAAATGATTTTTTTTTTTTTATCAAAATGAGAATAAATATATATATTAACTAAAATTATTGAAATAAATTAATTGAAATACAAATTTGCATTATACCTTATACCTTCTACCAAATTTTCTCCTCTGACGCATTGAACAAGAATCAAACTTTTTTCAAAAATGATATATGCAGTTGCTAGCGCAAAGAAATAACTCACTCCGTCCATAGGTGGAAGCAGCTCGTTGGTCGAGTGCGTCTTCAATTTCAAAATATCCGGCGCTGGCGTGACTTCGAAGCGGGACGGTCGTCTCTTTTTCTCCTCCTCCTCCCGCATCTGCCTCTCCAGCTCCTCCATGGCCCTGCGTGCAGAAAAAGTCAGTCCGTTTTTCGCTCAATACACTCAGACCCTGGAAGGTCAGAGTCTCTCTCACCTCTCCTGCGCCTCTTTCTGCCACTTGGCCGCCACCTGCAGCCGCCGCTCCCTGCCGATTTGCTTCTCAATTAACTTGATCAGCTCCAAGCGCTGCACGGAACCCAGCAGAATCATGTTGTCTAAAAATATTAAAAAAAAAAATAAATAAATTTATTTAATCCTTTTTAATAAAACATGTTACGAAGGTGAATTGTGCGATAATGTATTTTTAGATTATTTTTTCTTTTACCTGGACTGTCAACTAGAGGGAAGCCTCTGAGGTTTCTGTTGTCCTTTAATATGTCCTTCAGCTGTCCAAAAGTGATTCCGTGCCAAATATAGCGCACCTCTCGAACCATAAAGTCTTCGACATAGACGTTATACATGCCTGTGTACAGAATTATATAATCAATGTCATGCTAATAAGAGAGTTGTTATAAAAGAATAAAAAAATAAAAAATTGTGTTGTTTAAATGCCAAAAGAAAAACTATATTTTGAATTAAATTTTGCGAGATAAGCACAAAGCCCATTATATTAAATAATTTTTTCAATGTAAAATTTTTTTGTAAACAGAAATTCTGAAATTGTAACAATGTTTAACCTGAACTGGATGAAAGCAGGTCTGGCAGATAAGGCAGGCGTTTAATCAAAATGATGCTGTCATAGAGCGACGGCTGCAGCAGGGACGCGACCGCGTTCGAGATCAGCACAGCAATCTGGATAAAAAAGTCAAAAAATTATTACATACTCGTTTTTTCATTTATCTTCATGGAATATATTCACGCTGCAATTAAATCAATTATATTTAATAAGAATCGTTTTCCGCATTTGGCAAAAGAATGTGAAGAGAAATCTGCTTCTTGTGAAGGCATAGTTTAATGCTAATTAAGTTGGGCTTACCATAATGGGTATTATATGTGTGATTTGGCCGGTCATTTCAAAAACTATCACAGATACAGATATTGTGTGAGTCACAGCACCAGAGAAGGCTGCCGCGCCGACAGTTGCATAACCGCCTGAAAAAGAAGTGCATTTTCCCATGAGCTGCTGCATCACATTATTAATTCAATCCAGTGTAACGATTAACTCTCGCCGGCGTTGATTTATTATGGCAAGAGTGCATCTTGCTTGTGGCGACCAATTAAAATTGATTTAATGTTTTTGTTGTCTGCCTGACTCCAAATAAATTAGGTCATTTCACACTCAAACAAATTAATAATATCCACATACGGGAAAAAAATAGTTCTCCAATTATCCTCACAAACGTAATTGAATTGAATATAAAGCAAATTATTTTAATGTAATTATCATAATTAATTCAATTACTTATTGTAGATTTTGTATAATTGAATTGAATAATCGTTTAGTGTAAAAAATTTATATTTTAATTTATTCTTTATGTGCAACAAGATTTATTATATAAATTTATTGTCTAAGGTTGTTTTTTATCTGATCTACGTCATTACCTGGAATAATCGGCGCGATAAGTCCTCCATACCTCATCCCCGCAGGGAACCACCAGTGCATCAGTTCTCCAACGCACCTGCCAAAGGCGGCGCCGATCTTAAAAACGGGTATAAAACTGCCCGACGGCACGGGAATTGTCGATCCAATGATGGAAAAAATAAACTGCGGAAGACCACAAAAATTAGACAGATCGTTGGTGTAAAAAAAATTCTTACTGTGAATAATGTGAATCCTGCCAGACTGACGTGGACGTCGGTGAGGTCTGTGCTCCAATGACGAACAACGTCAATTTCCTCCACAGTCAGATTATCTTTTGTCCAAGTAAAATTTGTGAAAAGCCCATGGACCTATAATAAATAAGAAATTATTTTAAAGAAAAGAAATGTATTTAAAATTAGCTTTTTTTATTTTGATAAAAAAAACTCACTTGATCGTGCGTTGTGAGATCAGCGGCCATGAATTGACCAAGTCCGGGAGGAAATGAGGCTGACGCTACCATTAAGGAAACAATTCCAGGGTAGAGAAAACGACTGCGGTTACAAAAAAATAGAAGTTGTTTATATTTAATTCTGTTGCCTTACTTTACAATATGATACTCACTTTTTCTGCAAGAACTTATTCATTTTCTTATTGCGGCGCATGAAGAGTACATATTGCCTGTGAATCCAAACGTAAAACGCTCCACCAAGCCCACAAACGGCCCTTTAAATTAAAATATTTCAATCACAATCTAATTAAAATTTAAAAAAATTAACTTACCCCATGATGGCGAAAACGAACAGTTCTTGAGGGTCGAATGGGAAGTCTGTGGTAAAATTTGTGGCGAAAACTGCGGTCACGGTGGCTAAAACGAAATTTAAAAATAAAAAATGAGGCTAAAATTTCCATCAAAAGTATTTTTGCTGACCTTCTTTTTGGAACCAAACTGCAAGCAGTCGGAAGATGGTGGCTCCGCAAACAGCGGCAAAAAATCCACGCCAGTAATTTCGCACAGCGAAATACACTGTTGTTACTTCTATACTAAAAAGTACACCTGAAAATATATATTTCAATGAAATTTTTATCTAAGAGTTCTTTAAAATTGGTCTTAATAATTACATAATATCAGTTTGTAAAATTGCATTCAATATTTTATCGTACAATTTAAAAAAAAAAAACATCCATCACTTCATGATGGTACTATAAAGATCAAATTTATTCTGTTGGTTATATTATTTTTTTTAAATTGAATTTTTCATAAAAATTATTTTCTATCGAAATTATACTTAGTTTTGTATTTAATTCTTAAATTTTAAAATTTCTTTGTATGCTAATTAGACATTAATTCATGCTCACCTCCAATAGGTGCAGCGAAGCAGCTGGCCACTCCAACAGCACATGCGGCCGCGAGCATTTCACAATTTCGAGATTCATTCTCGTAGATACCTTGAAATGATGTGACCAGTTTGGAAAGTAGGGTTGCAACAATACTTGCGATATGCACAAAAGGCCCCTGTTCAGACACACGACAGCAATATTTTATTCCAAGCTTACCAGTTTTCGCTCCAAAGTGAAAACAAGAAGCGAGTTAATCACAATGGATTATAATTTTGACCTTTTGAATAAGATTTATTTATGCAACTTTCTTTGGAACTCGTTTGAAATTTTTTTGAATATCATTCATACCTCTTTTCCGAGAGGCATTCCGCTGCCCAGGGTGGCTGTAAGGCCGACCACTTTGGCCACTAAGGTCCTAAACGTGAGATACTCCTTCAAAGCCACCCCTCGCAGAATGGTCTTCATTTCCGGTATACCGGAACCTTAATTTGGCACAAAATGAAATTTAAAAAACGATAAAAATTGAAACATTTTCCTACCTATGGACTGAGGAGCAACTATGTGGACGAATCCTGCTGAGAAAAGGATCAAAAATACTGGAAGACTTACCCAGGCCACGTATTGCAGCACTGGGTGCGACGAAAGATCGCGGTACAACCACATGCGAGCTGAAAATCAAATCAGTATTTTTTAAGAACAAAGCCAGTTTATGAATATATAAACAAATCATGATATTTTTCTCAGTGCTAGAAATTTAATAAAATAAGATTTTTTTTAAAAAAAAAAATCATTTTCAAAATCTTCAGTGAACGGTTTTGCTGATTTTGGGCAAATTAATAAAGGGACAAGTTGACCCGAAAAAGGAAAGATGATCATTTTTCATAATTCGCACCCCTGCAGACTCTTCAGAGATAAAAAAAAGATTAAAAAAGAAAAAAAAAATCTAGTCAGCCTGTCAACTACAATGAACAGCAAATAGGAATGACAAAAAAAGTTTGCTGGAGTAGAAAATTAAAGAAATTCAAGACGCAAATTTTTTTAATATCAGTGAAAGTGTGAAAAAATTAGCCATATCTTCGGTTCAAATTCAGTTTTTATTAATAATTGTCAAAATTTATTTATATTTCATCAAAAGGAAATATCTAAACAAATTTTTAAAAATAATTTTTAATTTCTTAGTCAGTGGTTTTCAAGGGTAGAGTCAATTTTTAAGTACTTTTTAATTTAATTTTGAATGGAGAGAGTATAATCGGACTTACATTTATTGCACATGCCAATGCCCATGTCCATGATGAAGCTGACAAAGGCCATGATGACGCCCAAAAGGGCCAGGAAGACCCAGTCCTCGCCCAACTTGGCGAACGTGTGGTGCCAGATGAAGCCGACGACCGATCGGATCCGCGACATGCACGGTCCGTCGTACCTGTGCAGCTCTTTGTTGCGCCGCTTGTCATCTTTCCGCCGCCGCTTTTCGATTGCTTTCAGACGACGCGCCTCTTCTTTCGCGAATTCACCAAGCTCTTTTGTGTACCGGCCATACATCTAATTAGAGGGGAAATAAAATGAGGCATTAGTAATTTTACAAATTAAAAAAACAATAAAAAACAGGCCTGAAATAGAAATCATTAGGTAGTAATTCCGTGCAAAAATGAATGCAAAACAAAATTCATTTAATTAATTCTGAATTTAATTAATATACTAGTTGCATTCAAATTTCTTGTTTACTTAATAAGGGGAAATGCATAATAACTTGTAGGTATAATTATTTAAATTAAAATGTTGAAAGGTTTCCGTTGGATGCAAAAAAACAAAAATTCAAACAAAACAAAAAAAAACTCCAAAAATCTTTGTCTACAAACCATATTGGCGGGCATAAAATACATGTCGTCGTCTTCGTCGTCCACATTTTGTCCGGGGTACACGGACGGATAGACAATGTAATCTGCCGGGGGCTCCTTGGGCCCGATGAATTGGAGCTCCTCCATGACCTTGGAGCCCCTTCGGCCCCGTTGGGCCAAGAACTTGTTGGCCTTTTGGAGGCGAAAGTCCTCGAGGAGTTGGGCAAAGTCGTCCCATTCCGAGTCGTGCAGGAGGTCGTCGGCTAAATCGTCGGCCAGCAACGAGCTCAGCTTGGCCATTTTCGAGAGCAGCCCAGAGCGCGCTGCCCGCTTTGATAAGCAACTGGGATGCAGCAGCTGCTGATCCCTTTTGCTCTGTCCGCTCTAGCTGATTATGTGTATTATGATTTTTATTGTTTCTATTTGCATGGATGATATGCGCGGCGACGGCCGCTGCTGGTCATATGACCACCCACGCTCGTCCGAACGTGCGTGTTTTGTAATCAGCGGTTTATTAGACCATTAGAGGACCATCCTGTTCGCCACTGACTGCATTAGGTGCGAAATATTGCTAATTTCTAATTTACTTAAAATTTTGCCTACTTTCATAGATTGCTATCAAGCTTATCTGATTTTAAAATTTTGATGGAAATAGTTATCTTATCTTTTATTGCATGGCGAAATATTTTCCTTCCTATTTTTTAATTATTCATTTAAAGCCGCAAAATATTTTATGAAATTGAAATTAGAATGGATTTATTATAGTCTTTAATTTATAGATTTAATTCTACTTCAATAATCACAACCATGCACTTTCAATTTAAAAAAAATCTTATTCAGATTTCTTCAAATCACATTAAAAAAGTTTTCCGCTTTAAAACTACATTTTGGTGACTGGAATTTTGATAATTTTATAAATAATTTGTAAGTAAACTTTCCTGCCTGGTGTATGATGTTCAGTTTTGAATTCTATATATAAATATGTTGCTCAGGCAATTTATTAATCTTTATTCACTTATTTAGGTGAGTTATTTCTTTATAATATAAAATATAACTATAAGTCATTTTAGGAAATGAGGTGAAAATAAGATTGTAATTTAAATTAAAGTTATAAATAAATTTAAATAATAAATAAATTTTATGTTAACAGTTTTAATTAAAAGAAGTGGAAATCAATTTGGTATAAGATACTTAAAAATTATTGTTGTAGACTTTTTTATTTCAATAACTGAATTGAGTTAACTTATTTGTTGCTATTAGTTGTCTCGGAAAAGTTGGTTGAATAGCTCAGGAACAAAGCAGATTGCATTACGTCTATTTAATTGCTAATTGAGTGGCGTGTGGATTATTGTCAGATTCCCTAACAGTCCCATTCAAAGTAATAAATCTTTTCGATTATTAACCAGCTATATACACACGCACAGGTGGTTGACGCGCTGCTATGAGAGCTGGTATTGTAGGAAAAAAATTACGGTGACCTATTCAAGAGGCGGTGTGTTTTCCACTGGATTCAACCACTCGAGTCCACATTTGTGTGTCATCTCGCTGTACGCAATTTACATAAATGCGCGAGTGAGCGTGTTTATTTCACTTCTTAAACATGTCAGCCTACAACTTCATTCTTTACTTTAAGTTTCGAACACCACGGAGATTTACATAAACGACGCTAACAAGACTGGGTGACTTCTCTCTGCCGTAATTTTACACCTCTTTTAAATTTGAAAAAATTCTAAAAAAAAAAATTAATTTTGAATGACGTATTGTTGTTAGAGAGAAGTTTCAAGTAAGATTGATGAGGACCTTGATTTGCATTAATTATGCATGATTTTATTGTTTTTCATTTGCTATGTAGCCGAAGATCACACTTCTTAATTGGGTTAATTGACCGATTGAGTAAGGAACCCCTCTCTGCCCTTGCACTGGCAGCAAGCGGAGGCTCGCGTGCGCGGCAGCGTAGATTTAATAATACGCTAGACGCACTTGATTAAAAGGCGTGTAGGGCAACTAGCACTTTATTAAACTTGAAATTTTATTACAATACTTAAAATAAATTAGAATTTACACACAATTAAGCGACGAGAAATTTTATATTCCTTTATCGCTTAAAAATATATTTATTTCCACTCTTAATTAATTAGAAGATAAATTATTCTAAAAAAATTTATCTTGGATCTTACCCATATTAAAGGTCCTAAAGTTCACTCAAGTTCATAAAATTTAGTAAATCAATATAACAAAAATTTCATTAATTCAAGAATAATTTTGAGACCAAAAAAATATTTATTTATTCTCCAATCTCAAAAAAATGTTTTTACAGATCTTTTATAAATCAAGAAGTAAACAATTCGTCGTATTTATCAATTAAAAATACCTCCAAACTAAATCAATCAAATCACACCATGCACAAACCACTGCAAACTGTAAAATATCACTCGGGTCTGTTTGGTTAGTTCGGGTGCAAGGTCTATTGGAGAGACACATCGTCAGGTCGACCCTGGGGAGACTCACGTGAGTTTCGGCCACGTAGCCTTCCTCCTGGTAGCCCGGCAGTTGCAGCAGACCGACGGGCATGTTGGCTCAGTGCATTTTTAAATCAGCCTGCGAATTTGATGGCGACTGCAAGTGCATCAATTTCTAGTAGACTGGCACTCGCCGGGATATTTATAACTGCACACATCAATTTATTCTCGGCTGAGCAGCGCGAGAAGGGCCCACTTTTTAATACGCTGCAAATAATTACAAAACACTTTAGACTCTAGATGTGCGTCTCGGTGCAGAGTTTGTGTGTAAAATTACTAAAATTTGAAGTGTGTCGAATTTTCCACCTTGCCTGATATTTCATCTTTGCATTTGAATTGCCAAAGTTTAAAGTGTTCAGCCAGCAAGGGGTTTTGTGATAAACCCACTGCCTTCCACTTTTACGTATTGGTTTTAGAACTTAAAAAAAAACGTGCGTGTGATGAGTGAGCTACGATATGCACGTACTTTGAAAGTGTGTGATAAGATTATTCACCTAAACCAGTTTCTTTTGTCAACTTGAAGGTGGATTATGAGTTTTGAATAACACCATAATCAATCTTACGTCAGATAGAAAAATAATTTATGTCAAATGATCAAAAAAAAAATTTTTTTTTTAATAAATTGAAATAATACAAAATCTGAAAGGAGATGCTAAAGTGCAGGTAATTAAAATCAATTGAATTGATTCTGAAAATTTAGTTGCAAATTGTCATTATTAATGTATCACCGGGCATTCTCTGCCCAAATACGTCATCCATACATTCAATATTATAAATTTATTACATAATAATTTTTGATCAAGAATTTATTTCAAGAGATACTCATAAATTTGAGCTTCACAGATGACAAGCTCAAGCACCAGTGGTTAATACGCGTGAATGACCTTGCGGTTGATTGTTGAGGTTAATTTTGGATGCGACTCAAGATAAACAAACACAAAAATAAGCTGTGTTTGCCCAGTTGGAAAGGTGTAACTTTACAAGTTGCAGTAATTAACGCAGCTCCCCTTTCAATGAGATGACGAATTATAAAAGCTGTACTAATTGAAAGAAACTCGTTTAATTTTTTTCTTCATTGTTGTAAAAATTAACATTAAAAGATAAACCATTTCTGGGAGGAAAACATTGAATTGTTGGACGATAAAGCATTGAACCATAAAACATAAATTTTTCTTTGGTTTTCTCTGGACAATTAAAAAAATATTGTATCAATTATTTACACAAAAGAATTATCTCAATTAGGAAAAAAATCATCTGAATCCAACTTTTTTTATATTATGCTCTTTTTTCATTTATAAAAAAAAATTACACTCCTGGGATAAAAATAACCCACTATCTTGCGTGAAATCGGCTATACGCACAGGGTTTAAAAGTCACTCTGGCGCCAACATATTGAATGAGTCCCAATTTCTGTTTATTTCTTTTATTCTTTTTTTCTCAGACCAACAGCTTTGCTATAATGCCTGAAGCTATGAATAGCTCTGGTGGCCGAGAGCCCCTTCGTGCTGTGCACCTTAATTATCACGACTCGCAAACACCACCATGCCACGCGGAGAGGCATTAATTGTTTTATCAAACAAATTAAACACAAACCTGGGCGCGATCTCTATAGCAGTTTACCAAGAACTCGTCGTCAACAAGTGCACGCACGGAATTGACGGATGCAAACGACGGGATTTCTCCTTGTGGCTTTCCTTTTAGGTTTCCCAAAGCAAAACAGCTGGTTTAAATTGAAATTGTTTCAAGACCTTTATATAATCGGAGGCTGATTTTTTTCTCTTGGAATTGGGCCAAAAGACACACGAGAGTCAGCGCTTGACCTTTGGTGCGTTACAAATAAATTAAATACATGCCTGAATGACTATTTCTTTCTTTTGAACGTTTTTTAACACTTGACAAATTTTTAATAATTTACTTAGTTTGATTAATTCATTTTTACAGAGCATTGCGTAAAATAGCACTGAAGGTACAAAAAAATGATACAGATTACAAAAAAGTAATAACAACAAAAATAATTAAATTGAGCCACCATATAATTTCTACATATTTGTGCAAAATAATTGAGGTTGTAATAATAAAACAAGCATTTTCTTAATCATCAATTTATAAAAAAAAATTCCCAAGCCAATTATAACTTTTTCTAGAAAAATCACAACCGCAAATCGATGCTGGCGTGTCCTTTCCGCTTCACGCCCTTATCAGTTTTTAATCCATCCGATGATATAAAAGTTGTTTTTCTGCGACTATCAAAAATTAAGCTTTCAGATCGCAGCGTTGAAAGACTTGCTAATTGCCAAAATTTATGGGAGCAGCCGATTCGAGTGCCGGAGGCCAATAATTCCTGTCCTACGCTAAATTTTCCGCTCGCTTATCGCGCTGACTGAGAGTGTGTCATGCGACTATGTTCAAATAACGTTGTGGTGTAGAATTTTAATAAACTGACTGCAATCAAGTTCAACTCCAGACCACTGCTACTCAAACAGAGGCAAGATTGATGGATGGAAGAAACTGCTGATAAATAAAAGTAAATAACTGAATAAAAATTGCGGAAGACAAAGTTTTTTTATTATTTTAAAATCAATATAAATGTATATTATTTTAATTCATTTAATTATTTAAGAGCGTAACTACTCTCTACATATTTTTATTATTTACAAAAAATTAATTTGTTTATTTTTAACATAAAAAAATTAAATATCGAAAGTCATTAAAAACTGTTGTAATACTTGTAATATATTATTCTAATGATCGATTAAAATCTTTTTTCGGTAATTTAGTAATTATAAATTACTTTTAAGATGTCTTTATGTCGTTTAACTAGAATTGTGCGAGAAAAACAGCTTTAAAGAAAACATACTAAAATGTTGACTCTTAATTATGAAATTATTTTTCAATGAATCATAAAGAAAAATTTTGTGTCACAAAAAATTAAAAACTTAATTCAACCTCGACAATACTCTACGCTAATTGCCCTCATTTCAAACGCAATAAACATACTAATTAGAACAGAAAAACACTAATGACAATTTCAATACGAATAAATTTATTTATTAAATCTTTTTTCAATAGTTAATAGATAAATTGCTAGTTTTAAAAATGGATTTACGGCATCCAAAAAAAGTATTGAGCAAGTTCTTTTAATTTACAATAAAATAATCAGTGTGTCTATCCCGTCGCGGGCCAAAACCCACGTGGCCTTCATTGTCGCACGACCTTTGCGGAATTGTGAAAAAGTGGCCACTGAATGAATCGGCTGCCTATTGAGGCTGGCCGGTCTGCTGGCGACATGATCGAATTCGGTGCTAATTGACCCAAGGCACACACGGGCAAAATTCGAGTGTTGAGTAATTTCCACGCGTGTACAGTTATTAACAGAGCGGCAGTCGATCGGGCTGAAAAAAGCGCGGCTCTCTCGCTGCTGGAGAACACACACCGAGACTTGAAATGTACTCGGCCATATGGCCAGAGAGCAATTGTGCCCCAAGGGTCACTTACTGCAACACTTTTCTCAAGAATTCCTCGGCTCGCAGGCATCTCAGGCAAAAACGAGCGGAGCGACCACGAAACGTGCCATTGTTTGCTCTTCAGCGAGCAGGAAAATGAAAAGGATGGCGCTTGAATGAAGGGGAAAATAATGTAATAAAGAAACAACAACTGGCCTGACTTTTTGCAAGCTCGAGTTGCACACGTTGATTGCAGCCACATGATTGATCAAAACAGATACGAAAGAGTAAAAAAACGGGATTATTTAAAATTTATCAAAAGCTTAAGTTAAATTAAACTTAATTAATCAAAAATTAATTGGAAGTCAACCGAAGCTGATGTCTTTTTGATCTTGGAAGCTTTAGTTTTAAAGTGGTGCTATTTTTTGTCTAATTTAATTATTTTCATACGGCTTTTTTTCTTAATAAAAGGATGTAAAAAATCAAATTTAAGTAATTTTTAGAGTTATTTGCAAAAAAATCGAGAAATATCATGGAATTTTGTAAATCCGTCGTCACTCAGACCATTTAATCAACGTTTCTCGCCTATTATCTTTTGCATTTTAATTTTAATCCTAGGATATAATTCATAGCTTTGTTTGCCTTCTTCACAGCGTTTGAAATGAGTAATTGCGTCTTTAGTGAATTTAATGATCCCAGCAGTCAGTGTTTCCTCTCAATCATATTTGACGTATGGAGTGAAAATGAACGACAAACATCGTGAGAGATCCTATTGCAAGTCCATCCATAAATTATAACGCGCACACACTTATAACACTAGCTGCGCTTGATCTATGAATGTGTGAGCGTGTACACGCCTGCGATATGTGCAATGAGTGGGTTAATAAGGCCAGTAATTCAATCTTGATATTATGCGCTCAAGCCTTTTCGCCCCCGACCAATCGACCGCCGCCATAACAATATAAAGTGCTGGGTGGCACGCCAGCTTGAGACGTCCTTACAATTTGCATATGGGACCCAAATAAAAATTAATGGCCCCAACACGCTCTTGATAAAATTTATTGCTTTTAAATTGCATCACCTTTTTGGCCAAACAATAAGGTACGAATTTCAATTTCATGCGTGGTTGCGCAAAATTTTGAGAACGGGCCGAGGGAATAATTGTTCTCTCTACGACTTTTTGGCACCTCTAGTTAACCTGTCTGTCGTAAACGATGGGCTAAATATTTGCGCCGAACAGAGTGCATGTCAGCTCTACCTTGACGTAGTATAATGTAATTTATTCAGCTTGAAGCCAAAATCAGCAACACGTACAGCTCTTCAGACGTTTTCCTCTCCCTTTAAATTGCAATTTTAATTTTAATTTATAAAAAAACACTTTCCAGTTTCAGATAATTAAAAAAAGTAAATAATTTGACGTGATCAAATATTCTGTATTTATAATGTTGACTGCAAGCTTTAGAGACATAATTCAGATGTGAATTATTTTTGACAAAAATCGATACTTTTCTAACTCATTGATTTTTTTACATTTTTTTAAATTCAAAACTTCATTAATAAAATATTTTTTTATAATTAAAATTTTATTTTGAAATTTGATAATATTGACGTGTTCGTACATAAAGAAACAACTACTCTCGCGATAAAGCTTAATATTTAATTTAAGCATTATAAATTTCTATTTTTATTATTTAATGTGTGAATTTGTAAAAAGTTAATTAATTAAGTCATGAAAAACCAAGCGCTGATATAAATTAAATTGTAATGCGAAGCGAGGGATTTATGTCAGCATAATTTATATTACCCTATGGAATCGTCCATAATGATCTTTGTCCTCATTTAAAGTTTTTAATATTTATTTTGCTGATCGACTTGCTCAGCAGCTCTCCGGCCTTATTTGCTTCAATCTGTAGATAACAGTTGAGAGGTCTGGTTGATTGAGTAACACCAAGACTGCATCACGTCCAGCCCAATTTCTCGAATCAAAAGGAACCATCGTTCAAACCTCACAAATTCACGTTGTTTACATATTTGTTGTCCGGATTCCCAGTGGAAAAGACGTCAATAATCCATTCTCAAGGTGTTTTTAATTCGCCTAAGACGCAGCGATTATCAGTAGCTTGTCGAAAAAAAAATAAGGCAAACAAAAATCTCCAGGTTGAAGTGCGTTGCTCTGGGTCAGGCTGACAAGACTATAAATATGCCGCGAATGAGAAGCGTTTAAAAAGAGATAAAGAGTTTATTGTTGGTCGCGCGGCGTGGAATTATCGAATCGAGAGCAGCAACAACAAAATACACACCATCGCGGCGGCGTCTCCAACACCCACTACATCCTATTAGTCAGGCGATGGAGTGGAAAATCTCTAATGAGACGATGAATAATTAATACGATCGTTAGCAGCCTCTTAGTCAGCAATCAGCCAATTATAACATTTATATTTTTTAATCCTCCTTCGTTAGTTTCTTTTTATTAAAATTTAATAATAATCAAAGTTTGGTTTCATCATTAAGAGGATCTTAAAGAGCTGCACAATATCAACTTGTTTATAATTTACTGAAAACTGAGCAATTTCAGTGTATAATTTTCAGCAGAAATCTTCATTATTTAAACTGGTATTTTTTTCTTATAAATTTCTGTTAAATATAATTTATAAGTCGAGACAACTGATAACTTTTATACGAGGTTCATTCTTTTGGCAAGGCAATTTAAAATAACATTTCTCGCGCTTTTCTAGATTAAACTCGCCGATAGAGCAGGACAAGGCAATAATTTTACCTTCGACCAATATAACGTCCAATACATTTATTAGAAAATTTTGCAGCCAGCCATGAAAATAATCGCGATTCTGTCGAACTGCACACATGTGTTTTGTGTAACATATAATTGAAATTCAATACAGCAAGGCTCCGTGAGCACATGTGCACTTTGAGGCCTCGCGCTTTATTTATTAAAAGTGCTGGCTATGGGATGCTCGACAAACGCGTCGTTTAGGATTTCAAGAGTGAAAAAGTGCTTCTGTCAGTGAAAGAGAAAAAGCGAAGACGTCGATTTGATGGTGTTTTTCAGCTCTTTAGAAGCAAATGGCTTTATTCAAATACAAAATTTTCTATCCTAAAAGATACAAATTAATAAAAAATTCATGTAATCCAATATGCTTAGATATTCACCCGGAAGGAAACCTCTCAACATTTTTTTTCTGCGAATACATAAAATATCATGTGTGCAAAATGAAGTGAGTCACTAAATTTAATTTGCAATGGAGTAAACGAATGAAAAAAAAACTCACAAGCGTGTGTTGGTAGCCGAGGGCATCCTGCTGGGCTCCTTTTCCAACGCTGCCCCTGCCGTTGTTGCCGAAGCCGTCGTCATTGTTGTTGGTCATTTTGCCGAAATCCGTTCAAATCACTGGCCGGCTGCCAAAATCCCGAAATAAAGAAAGTCCCTCAAAGTCCCGAAGTGGCTCACTGGCGAAGTCCTCGGTTGGGCAGCCGATTGGCCTCTCGGCGAGCACCACTCATGTTCTCCGCGAGCACCGTGTGCGCACCAGCCAGAGCTAGTCGGTCTGTCCCAGCCGGCCGGCCGCAAAAGTGTGTCTGTCAAGTTTCCGAGCCAGAAAACAAGAGAGCTGTTAACGCCACCTGCATTGGCTAACAAAATAGCGACACGCCTGATTATCTCCCGACAAATAATTACTTATCTCGCCGCACCGCAAATACACTGCATGAGACTGCCGAGTCGTCCGGCCGCGTCGGGTGGCTCCGAATTTCCTTTCTTTCTTTGCTCCTGGCCTGGCCAAATTTGCTCAGGAATTAGCGCGACCCGCACACGGCTTTTTGTGCCCGCCGGCAAATAATTTGTTTGTGCCCGACAATGACGCAAAACTCGTCCGTCCGAGATGATCTTTCGCTCAGCAAATCCAAATTTGCCAGAGCTCGCGGTGTCTCTCTCTGTTTTATTTTTAAATCCGCGCCACTGCCACCGTCGTGCACATTTTATATTGTTGTTTGCACTCGCTCTAGCTACCTGCTATGCACGCCGCCTCTTAGGCAAACGCCGGCTTTTTGCTCTTTATTTGGGGAAGCCGAACATAGTTGGCAAATGAAGCGATGGTGCACGCTTTTGTTCGCCAATTTAATTCACGAATCGTGCCAAATTAATTATTGTAGGCTGTGTGGGGCCATTTCCTTCATCTAAATAACTAAGCGATTTAGTTAATTAATGATTTATTATTGTCAAGGTACTCAAAAATTTTTGCAAATTAATTTATTTTTTAAAAGTATTATGGTCAAAATTTTTTTTTTTTTTTTTTACTGGTATGTTCAAATTAATTATTATTTAAATTTTATATGAATCAAAAATACAAAAAATTATTTTCAAACTACCGATTATATTAAAAAAATAGATGCGCAATACACAAATAAAAATGAAATAAATTTAAATTATATTTAATGTATATTTATGTATTAAATAAAAATAAAATGCATAAAGTTATTATTGTTTTTATTAATTGGCACTTTTTAAAATTTTTTAATAATAAACAAAAATTAAAAATAATCAATGCAAAATTTTTTTACCAAATTTTCCAAAAACCTAATTTATATCAGAGATTTTTAGTATGAAATAAGTTCTGGCTAGATTCCTACATAATTCTTTTAAATTTATGCTCCACTCAGTTAATTGTTGCTCTCAAGCTGAAGAGTCGCAGACAACTTATAATTAGCCATATTCAATATAAACTAGCTAAACCTCTCTCAATTTAACAGTTACACAATTCACTAACGTGGAAGTGCTGCTGTCACTGACGCGTTTATCCGGAATACAAATGAGTGAGAGACACGTTTGGCTTTCATAATAAAATGGTCATATAATCAGCCCCACGTTACGCAACGCACAAGCGCATTTCGGAGGTTCTGCCAAATAATTAAATGTTCACCGCATGAATCGAAAGACGACGAGATTTAGCAACTTGAAAGCTTTGATTTGACTTGAACTCCTGCTCTAATTTAAATGAACGCTCGCCTAGCAAAAGGTGTGTTTAGATTAAAAAATTTATTGCCTCTGATTAATTAATTTTATGCAAATATTAAATTGGTTTTCACTGGACTTTAAATTGGCATCGCAGTTGTTGCAAATTTCTAAAAGTTTTACAACGTGATCATTAAGATTTGGCATTATAATATTATGACATCAGAGAGCATGGTGTCTCAAATCAGATTCGCTTTAGTCAGACCAGTCTGGGTATAATCAGTTTAGAACCTACTCCAACCAGATCTTTGGGGACCCAACGCCATTCATTCAGTGATTTTCCTTGATGTGATTCATAATTGAATGGTATTTTATTTTTGCCTCTCGGCAAAATAAGGGAGTGCAACAGAGTGTGATTGGTTGCTTACTGATAGCCTGATACTTGAGGAAATTTATACAAAAAAATTGGTTAAATGATTTGTTTGGAGCAAAGGGAGCAATTCAATTAAAAACAGAAATAGAGCAAAGTTCTGAAAGAATTTATTACAATAATGTTTAAAATACATGTTTTTTTTTTAAATACGGCTAATATGTATTTCCTAGGCTATTCAAAATTAGGAATCGTAAGACCAAGTGTCAGTACATAGTAGAAGATATAGCAAAGCACCTCAGTATTTTCAATCGTAGGCTATAATATTATGCCTCTAAAGTATATTTATGCATTTCCACAATAATTATGGTCAATGCTTTTCTTAAAAAGCAAAAAAAAAATAACTAGGTAAAATATTTAAACATTGTTAAACGATACGACAAATACATACATTCCATTGAAGTTTAATGATTACTTTTACCACAGTTAAATGTCAGGCTACAATTATAATTTAAATCTTGGACATTTCTCTCTGTATATTGATACAAATTGATATTGACTGCAGGCTGGGAATTCAGTAAGTCTCATTGAAACATTGAATAAGGCACACAATTTGAAATAATCATATTTTTTTTTTCAAATGCAGCTCCTAATAATTTGACAAGTTTGGACCGTAATTTGTGCAACAAATTTTAATTTCCAGGCAGCTTCGGTACATTCGGTTGTGGAGTAGGAAGAGCTTCAGGACGATCTCCACTTTCAGGCCAAACAGAAGCTATAAAATTCCAATCTGTAGGTTACTCCAATGCCAAATAGAATTGAGCACCAAAAACTTACTTTAAAAATAAATAAGTCAAGACAAAGAAAACCGCAAGGAACCAATACGAACTACTAATTCGTGGTCACGAGAACTGTGCAAAACAAATCATCAAAGAGGAGAGATTATTGAGACGCATTCACACGCAAACAAAGAAAGTGGTCAGGTGTTTCATGCCAAATTTGTGAGGTTAAAATTTATACTAGTTTTTTTTAAAGCGAAAACCAACAGCATTAAAATGGAAAAATCTATAATTTTTGAGCTACCCTGAAAGTCAAATGGACGGTACAAGAATAATCATCAAACATGTTGCATATTCAACCAACTTTTTTCTAGGTCAAAAATGGTGCTAGAACTCAAAAAAACTCAATTCCAATAATAACATGTAAAATCCAACCACCTTCAATCAAAAATAAAACTGAAAACTTACCAATGATTATAATCAAGATGACAGCTGCAATGACGCCCATGATAATCATCATCTGCAAATGGTTATGTAGATTGAATTTAATATTCAAACAAAACTGAGCAACAATACCTTCAAGTTCTTCCACCAGTATTTCCTTTTCAGTTGTCCAGCACGCTGTTCAAATTGTGTGGCACCTTGTTGCAAGGCATCTAGAATACAAAAATTCAATATTTTAACTCACTTTAACAAAGGAATAAGTTATACAAAAATACATACTACATCACAAATTTTGGAACTTCAAATCAGAGAATTAATAATGGTCATGTCGTTAAGCGAAAACAAAATTTTAAAGAAAAACAGCAAAATATCCATTATTATTTTGCACCAAATCCAATTAGGTCAAAATTTATTTTTAACGACCCAAAAATATTAATAATTGACGCCACAATATATTCAGTTCAGACAGGAATCCTACACATTGATTAAAACAAGTTTACAAAAGAAGATACAGAAAGCCAGAGTTCTAAATGGAGCTCACCTGCGCGGTTGTCTAACTCAGACAACTTGGTATCTCTTTCAAGCACCCTCTGCACATTATCCCTCATGATATCCACAACCTGGATGCATTCACAAATACATTCAAATAATCAGTAATTGGGTTAATCTTATGCACAACATGAGCAAGAAAGGGGTTATATAATTGGCAACAACTAAAAATAATATCTCAACAATGTGTAGTTTTCCTGTCTGCCTGCCGTTTTTTTTTAACTTTCTTACCAGCTCTGTCGTCCAACTCGCTCAGTTTCTGGTCTCTTTCCATCACTTTTTCCACATTGACTCGCATTATTCCTACCACCTAATACAATATTTTTTTTTCAAAAGAAAAAAAATCACTTTAGGATATTTTTACACTTTGTTAAAAAAAAATAATAATTTGAGATCAGGCAGGGCAGAGTAGGATGATTGTTTTTGGCAACGCAAAAGTTGTGTAACCCAACAGCAATGCAAATTCATTATTAAATTTATTGTTCGTTTGATTTTTGCAACACTTCATTTTAAGATCTTTTGTTGGAAGTTTAACATATTTTGCGCTGCCAGGACAAATTTTTAAAAAGCTTAATTAATTAGAGAATATTGGATCTCACTTCATCGACTTGAGCCTGTGTTTGCTGCAGTCTCTTATTAGCTGCTTGCTGTTGTGGATTCTTTGATGGGGCTTGGTCCACGCCGTCAAAAGTTCCATCGCCGGGCATCCTAAAAAAATGAATTTGCCAAATTATTAATTTTTATAATTTTAATCTTTAAGTAAATTAAATAATATTAAAGCTTGCAACTGGAATACATTTTATGCTTAAATTTGCTTTGAATCATTGACGGCAGAGTCATCTCAATTTTTCGTAATGAAATTTTGTTCCTACGATAATTATTATTCCAATTGAATTTCATTAACTTTGTCATAGTCACTGATAAGGCCCTTTCATTATTGTTTGCAAGTCCAAACTGGATGAGCCGCACATAATCAGTGACAAAGAACAGAGATAAGACAATAAAGAGGCCCACCATGGTTGGAAAAATATTTCTTAACTATAGCAAAAACAAGAATAAATTAAGCAAAATTAAAAATCGAAGTGAGAAATTCTTAAATAAGTATTCAAGAGCATTCCGCAAAGGTTTATATCAAGTTTAACCCTATTCCAAGCTTATCAATTCAGTGCTTTGCATACGGCACTGTACAGTGCACTTTAATATTTATTTTCTTGCTTCCCACGTATATTATGAAAGCTTTCATATTATTTTCAAGTAAATTAGCTTATTATTAAATTAATTTCTCTTACATTGTGCTTCTGGTCGTCTGTTTTCTCCTGGTTTAAATTCTTCGAAAGGTTCTCCTCAGGTGTGCTGAAGTAGATTGTGTGTGCTTTTGATCGGCAGCGATAATGGCTCGGCAAACAGATGCGCGACTGCAAAAGTGTGAATCATCAACAGACTGAATGACCTTTTTTGTTTTATGAATTTTGCGAATTTTTAAGTGCTACGTGCGAATAGAGATGCATATTGGGTAAAATTGCTACGATTTTTTGACAGGGTGTGGTACCGAACACTCTTTTTCTAGTCCCGTTTCTCAAGTACCACGAAAGAAACAAGCAGAGAAGCGCAACAGGCGGATCAACATGAAACAAGCGCTGCGTTTCGGAAGAGTGGTTCTCGGGAATGAAGCAAACAATTCACCCATATTTACTTTCGAGCAGTAGGAAAGCCCTGGGATTTTTCAAAATTGTACCAATAATAGAAGTATTTACACTTTTGACACTAGAAAACATTCACTAAAACAGCGCCGGACTTACGTGTATGCGTTTACAAAGTAGGTTTTCCTCGGCTCTAAAAAACAATTTCTTACATCCTATTTGCCTTATTGATATCAGCCAATCAGAGTGCGTCATTTCAAGTCATGTGACCAAATTCCTGGCTCTCATTGGCTGAGAGCAGCAAACCGTCCGTGCCTGATTTGGGGAACATGCCATCTCTTGTCAGCAATGCCAATGACGCAGATTTCGCCTCCCCCTAGGCTGCCCCCTGGTCGTGAAAATGCCAATCGGCAGCTGGCAGTAGTAAACAAAAACACTGACGGTCACGTGAGAGAAGGAACAAGCAGATTGCGTGAGAGGCAGCAGAAAAGTCGACGTGAGAAGTATTTTCCTGTTCATCCGAGTGGCAGATTTACCCCTTTCAACCCGGACATTGACATTTGTCAGGAGCCTCTGTGTGGAAAATGGACTTTGCAGGTTTCGACATGATGCAAGCAGACAACGCAGATCAGGTAAAAAGTCCCTCTGGCCCCGAAAAAGAAAATTTTCAAGTCCCGTTCCATGGCAGCCATTTGTTTTCCGCGTCTCCAAATGAGTCACTTAATTTTTCGCACTTGGGCGCAAAATCTGTCGTTGTGAAAGGGTTGTTGGCCCGTGGCGAATTCGCTTAGGCGAGGGTTGATGTGTTTTGTGAGTGCTTTGAAATTGCCACATCACATCGGGACGACAAAGCGCTTTATTGATTTTGTAAACACGAGAGCATGGCCCTTTTTGTATTGATCTCTAGTGCAAGGTTTTCGTTTGCGTAACCACGTTTGCTTCAAGGACACGCGTTCTACTCAACTTCCATTAGCAAAAAAATTGCGTTTCATTTATAAACGCCAAAATCTACTCAAGTTGATGAAACTTATTTTATGTCATTATAATGCAAATTATTATTGTTTATTCGTCATAATGTAAATACATGCATCGCATTGCTATGGTGACTACATGAAATTTTCCAGCGAGACAATTGAAATTTGTTGACGAATTTTTTAGCGAATTTTAATAAATTATTACCATAAAAATGAGGCGAATAGAGGAAAATATGATATGCAATATTTTTTGTGTTCTTTCTCCAATATTAAAAATTAAAACATCTCCCCAAGCAGAATATTAATTGAATAAACCGTGTTTGAGGTTTTGTGTATCTAAAATTTTCAAAACGTGTTGTAATATATTTGTGTTTTTACCCCCAAATCTTAAAATTTTTTCCGGAGACGAAAGAAGAATAAATAAGTAAAATCATCATTGAAATTAAACATTTTTAAATAAACCGAAAAAAAATTCTAAATTCTACGCACTCGTATTCTAAAATAATCAAACCTCGTGCCAATAGAATAATGCAATAAAGCGATAATAAAAGAAAATATTTTATACAACCGATACAACCTTAAAAAATGTGATAAGTTTCGTTTGCGAGATAATAATTAATCAACTATTTTGTATATGTTATAATTAATTTAGTAAGCAATGAACATAAATATATCGATGCTGATTATACTTTGCTAGGTTAAAAATACTTTTACTGAGAAGATTTTATATAATAATTTTTGGTATTGGTCTTGCAAAGATCTCATGCCATTGAATTGATTAATAATATTTATTTCTTAATTTTATTTCGACCTTTTTCTATTCAACTGACATACATTATTGAAAATAAAGATTATTAAATTCTTACAGAATCGTATTTGGTTGTCGGTTTGGAAATGAAAATTATTTTTTTAACTTCCGAAACCAAAAGTATCTGTCAATCTGGCGAGAAACAAAAATCTCACTTAACTAAAATAGTAATTATTAAGAAGGAACAAAAAAAATAGCTTAGGTGTTGTTGCGATTTGCAAATTTGCATTGATTTTCTGCCAAAATTTACGACGTACTTGTTGCTAGACCAGAGAAAAGATAATCCTTTTTATATAATTTTTTAACTTTAATTGGGATTTTTCCCTTATAGAAATAAAATGGCAAATTTTCAAACTACAATAAGGGCTCAATTCCACCCTTTTCACCTGAAAGAAGGGTTCTTGAGTCCCCGTAAAAGGTCTGATATCCGCAGTCATACCAACAGAACGAGTGCCGGTAGGAATTTACTGCGCAGTACGATCGTTCCGCGAGCAAGCTGCGGCCGCAGATCTGTTGCTAAGTGGGTTGAGTATTCACTCGATCGGCCTCGCGGTTCCTCCGGTAAACTTGATTTTTCTCAATTAGGATCAGTGAGCTATAATATCAGTTTTTATTTTTCCATTTTCTGCTTTCCCGTGATTCGTTTTCTAGTATTTTTACTTTGAATCATTTGCGATTTTTAATTTTACACGCGCCGCTTACGAAACAATGGGCGCCGGCAATTGAGTCCTAGCAAACTTCTCTCTTGAGTATTATTTTTATATCATTAAGAAAACATTATTATATTAAACAACAGAATCAGACATTTTATTTAAATGCAAAGACTGGTTTTGTCAAAATTTAATTTAAAATCGATATCATATGCAGCAAATTGGAAACTGCGCGGTACCTGTCAAAAAGCCAGGGGAACACAAGCAGGACATTGAGCGAGGATATTATTCAGCATTAAATCTCTTAAAATCTTGCCCTGATTAGTATTGTGCCTGCTCGATTAAATTTTAATTCAAATTAATTAAAAAATTTTTTTCATAAAATTTGGTTTTTATGTCTTGTGGTTTTGCTTTACACAGGACGGTGCTCGTGGCGAACGAAAAGAGAGTGGAAAGCGGGGCAGGAAGCCAGGGAGGAAGGCAGAAAAAACTGATATGCGAGCCAAATTGGGTGAGCTTTTAATTTAAAAATTTTAAATAATCTACCTAAAACAAAATGCATTACTTTTTAAAACTAGTGAAAATTTAAACTCTAATTGATGAAAAGCCCAACAAATTGTTTTAGAGAGGAGCAGGCAAAGTGCGCGCGAGTGCCGAGCCCGCAAGAAGCTGCGCTACCAGTACCTGGAGGAATTAGTCGCCGATAGAGAAAAAGCAGTATTCGCGCTTCGGGAGGAGTTGGAGAAAGTAAACTGCCAATTCATATTTAGAAATTTTTACTGAATTTTATGATCTAACAGTATAGCCAGTGGAGTAAAGAACTGGCGCAGAACAACGTGCCACAAGGAATGGAAGATCTGCTTGCCGAGATGGGCATGTCGCATGTCACTAATGGAGCGAACGAGTCGTTTGACATTAAGCCTTCCGTCTGAATCCTTCACTTTGAGCGTTGTTGATGTGATAATTTCTTTCATTGATTTTGAAATAAGTGTAAATTTTGCTCTTGAATTACAATAATTATATATTTAATTTTCAACAAATTTGGCAGTTACTAGTTGTTGTAAGCCAACAAAAAATAATAATATATTTTCAAAAGTTTCATTGTAAAAATAACTTTTTTTGCTGCGAAGCACGAACGTATCTTTAAGTATAGGGTGTACTTTCAATAAATGAATTGTATTTTCTTTGTGTTAACCAGCGATTTTCTTTTCACTGAAATCCCATTCGTTTTTTCACATGGATTTATTTAATGTGATTGAGCGTGTGACTTATGCTGGGAAAATTTTTCTATTTCAAGTCTGACTGCTTCCAACTGAAAAAAAAAACATTTTTCTTGTTATTTTTTCCTTTTACAACAAAAAGAACATACCTTGCGATTTTTAGCAATTTTTACATCTGATGAAGCTTCCTCGAGAAACCTTTTTGCTGTCAACGTTCGAACTAGGCTTTCTTCTTCCTTCCTCAGCTTCTTTAATTTTTTATCCAAATCTTGCACTTGCAACTGGCAAAGGGCAGTATTTTTCAGTGTATATTCTCTTAACTGATTAATTAATATTCACCTGACCAACGACATGTACTAAAGTTTTTAAACTCAAGGGAGCTCGAATGGATTTAACGTCAGAGTCAATTTTGTTACAAATAGTGATTTGTGAGCATTGTCCCAGCATCTCAAGTACGCTTAGATTTTCTTGGTATAGTGCCAAGTCTTCAGTTTCGATCAAGGCTAAAGTTTTGAGATATTTCAAAAATGATTCAACTTGAAATTGAAAGCAGCCTACCGACTGTCTGTGGTTTAGACAATTTACCCAAGCTCTTCAACTCTCTTATTAAGCGTGCTGTGTCTATTATCACTGCAGACTTGGATTCAGCCTCTAAATTTTTCAAGCAAGCCCACTAAAATATTTCATTTAAAATCATCAGTTTTTTCACATTGGTAAAAATTAATACCTCAGCAGGAGAGGGATAACTGTTTAAATGAACTGAATTTTGCTGGCCCGGCAAATGTTGGAATAACTCTTCACTGAGGAAGGGCATGAAAGGTGCCAGCAGCCTCAGATACGTTTGCACGCAATGTAGCAGCGCATGCTTAGTTGCTGAGCTTCTATGTTGCTCCTGGAGTAAAATTTTACTGGCCTCAATGTAAACATCACAAAAGTTGGTGTAAATGAATTCCTGCCGATAAAATATTAAAAAATTTTATAAATCAGACAAATTTTAACAAACTTTGATGGCAGAGCACGATTCGTGGAGATTCTTGTTTTCAAATGCTGTGTTTATAGTATCAATCGAATGTGCTAGTCGACTTAGAATCCACCTGTCCATCAGTGACAAATTTAAATTCTCAAGCTCATGAGGTGCCAAATATGTTGCCTCGTTAAAGGAATTGTTCAGAACGTATTTTGTTGCCTGCCAGATTTTGTTGCAAAAGTTTCTGTTTACCGAGCATTCATTTATATCAAAATTTAAGTAGTGAACTGAAATAAATTATTAAAAATTAGTTTAAAAAGTGTGACAAGATTACTATCAAGAACCTTTTGCGTCGTGTGAGCATAGTGTGTAGCGAAGAGCGTCGGTTCCGCAAGCGGGAATTCCCTTCGGAAAAGCTATTTCCTGAGCTCTAACACCTTTCTTCACCTCTTCATCACTAGCATCTCTTTGCCCCTCAACAACCCTAGCAATAAGTTCCTGCAAATTTGTAAAATTTATTTTTACATCAAATTGTTTTGAAAAAAGTATCACCTCTAAGGAGGTTCCATGTATAATGTCCTCTGGGTTGATGACGTTTCCTAAACTCTTCGACATTTTCCTACCATGGGAGTCACAAATAATTCCATGCAGCAAAATTTTCTATGATTAAAATGCCGTATTAAAGTACAATTTAAAAAAAAAAATTGCTTTTGTACATGAAATGGTAGTTTGCCTGTGATCTCTCTCCCCAGCATCACCATTCTTGCCACCCAGAAGAACAAAATGTCATGACCAGTCTCCATCAGGCTGAGAGGATAAAAATTTTCCATTCGTTTGGGATCCGAAGGCCACCCTAACGATGCAAAGGGCAGTAGAGCTGAAGAGAACCAAGTGTCCAACACATCGAGGTCTTGCGATACTTTCACCTAGCAATATCTCTAGTTATTATTAATAGGAAAAAATTTTGTTTGCAATTCTTGCCTCTTTGGTTCCAAGGATTGATTCAGACTTTTTCTTTGCCTCCTCCTTGCTGTGCGCAGCAACCCAAACTTGGCTTTTTTCACTCTCACACAAATACGCAGGTATTTGATGGCCCCACCAAAGCTGGCGAGAAATGCACCAGTCCCTGAATTGAAGTAATTATTTTAACACTTGATTTTTTATTGGGGTTTAGATACCTCACGTCATCCAGCCATGCATGCCAGGTCTTGTTAAAAACTGGTGGGTCAATTACAAGTTCTCCATTTTCAACCGCTTTTACAGCTTTCTCAGCCATGGATTTGCAATCAACAAACCTTAAGAATTTAAAAGTTTTTTCCAGCAAAAATTTCTAGTCCAATAAATTTACCACTGCGGCTTCAGCATCAACTCCACAACATCACTGGATCTGCTGCAAATAGGAATTTTTGAGTTTGGTACAGCTGACACACCACGAATCAGTCCAAGAGACTCCAACTGATTCCTTATTTCTTCTCTCGCTTCAAATCGTTTAAGTCCCTATAAATAATGAAAAATCGGTTTGGGAAAGAAATACTTTTTTTAAATATTACATCAAATTTTCCTCCAAAGGGCAAGATTTTTCCTTCACTTGAAAAAACATTTATAGATTCAAGTTTGTGACGTTTCCCTACATCAAAATCTGTTGCGTCATGAGCAGGAGTAATTTTCACGACACCTAAAATTGAAAAATTTAAATAAATGCTAGTAATATTATTTCTCAAAATAGAATTACCAGTCCCAAAATCACGGTCCACAAATTCGTCGGCAATGATAGGAATTTTAGCCTCCGGTCTTAGCGGATGTTTTACAAATTTGCCAATGAATGACGAGTACCGCTCGTCTTGAGGATGGACAGCAACACCACTGTCACCCAGCATTGTTTCCAGTCTTGTGGTGGCAACAACCAGTTCGCCACTCTCCCCGTCGATTGGCAGAGCAACGTGGGTCAACTCGCCAAATTTGATCTTCTTGTTGTAGCCTGGCACTTTAATCCACTTTGGCTCCTCAAGCTGCAGCCAGTCAACCTCAATGTCTGCGATTGCAGACTGAAGCTGACAGGACCAATTGACTAGAGATTCGGCACGATAAATCAGGCCCTTTTCAAAGAGAAGAACAAAAGCGTCAATGACGGCTCTGCTTCGTTCCTAAGAAAATCATAAATAACAGATAATTCAAAAAGATCTTTAATAAGTTTCATTTTTACCTCATCCATTGTAAAATACTGCTTGCTCCAATCAAGAGAGCATCCTAAATTTCTGATTTGTTCAACAATGATGTCTCCTTTGCTCTCTTTCCACTTCCAGGCTTCTTGCAAAAACTTTTCTCGGCCCAATTCTCTTCTGGTGCCCAAATTTTTAGCTGCCAAATATCTTTCCACAACAGTCTGTGTGGCAATTCCTGCATGATCCAAACCAGGAATCCACACAACGTCCTTGCCACTCATTCGATTCCTGTAGTTTTATAATTCGTGTGGTATTTCTAAAATAATTAAATCCTCCTCAAACCATCTGACTAGAGCATCTTGAATGCTGCATGTGAGCGCGTGTCCCAGGTGGAGAATCCCCGTCACATTTGGTGGTGGCAAAAGGAGGCTGAATGAATTTTTCGAGGACGGATTCTCTGGAGCCTTGAATTGGCCTTCGGCTTCCCATTTTTGGTACCAGCCAGATTCGACGTCTTTGCTGTAGGCGCTTGCCAATGGAGGCTTCTGATTAGCTAAGTCTGAGGAAGTTAAAAACAATAGATAAAATGAAATAATTGCAATAAAAAATTATTTACCACAATACAGTCTTCTTATTTTGTGAATTTTTGTTTTATTCCAAAATACGCTACTGCGGTGTAGCATTGCAGGGGACATTTTATTTTGTTGATTTCTATATTTTTCTTTGTTCACTTTATTTTTATTTGAATAAAAATGTTTTCCAAGGAAACCTGAAACAGTGAATTTATGCATGAGTTTATGCATATATGTAATTAATAAATCATTAGAATAAAATAAATGGAATTGAATTGAATTTTTCCACATAAATACAATTATCGTGAATATAAATATTACAAAATTAAAATATGTATAAAATAATCATTTTAAAATATTAGTTAAAAAATGGAAAAAAATGAAAATTTACTGAAAATTGCATGAGAAGGAATGGGAAAGAGGCGAAATATAAATTTCAAATTGATATTATCACATTACATTATATTCTATTTCGGTTGTCAGTATTTAAAGGTGTGAAAGACCGTAGGAAATTATCTAATCAATTCACAAATCCGCTGAAATCGCCGAAAATGCAAACAAAAATAATTTATCTGAAAGTAAACACAGCAGGCAGCACGAGATTTCCCGCCACGCCCCTTTATTGCACGATTCGCAACATCCACGCCCCCTTTGGCAGTCTCACTTTTGGTCTCGCTTCAACATCACGCCACTTTTGCCAACGTGTAGTTGCGGACAAAGGGGAAAAGGACCCTCGTTCAAGTGGAAGGGGAACGTACGTAAAAATTTCAGTCAGTGAGTTGAGTGAAGTAACATCGAGTCGGGCTCTGAAGTCACCCATAATTTTGCAGGTTCCGTATTCGACCAGCCGAAAGTTGCGTGGTGCACAAACAGCCAGCGCAGCCGTGAGGTGCAGCCGCCAGTGCAGCGCAGGGGCCGAAATCCAAGCCAGAGACTCGCTGGGGAAAAATGTTTCGGCTCGAGGGCCAAAGGATTTTGTCGCCGGCGCAGCTGAAACGGCTCTCGGAACACAAATACAGCTGTGCCAGTGAGTCGCTGATCGACCCTATTCTGCAGCCCTACTGGAACAAACTGACCAGCTGCCTACCCTTGTGGCTGGCGCCTAACCTGATCACCGTCGCAGGGTTGATCGTCAACATTCTCACCACACTGGTACTCGTGTGGTACTGTCCAGACGCCAAAGCGGAGGTATAATTTTTTGAGATCAAGTCAGGGCCCCACATATTATTAATAATTGTAATAATTTAATTAAGAATGGGATTCGTCGCCAATTCTTATAATTTTAATCACAAAAATATCTGCTATTTTTATTGTTATTTTCAACACATATCTTCAAGTGGGCGGAGACTTCGATGGTTCGATTCAAAACAAATTAAAAACGTCATTATGTAATCTCAGCGAGACGCAGTTAATTTTATACCAAATTAAATGTTTCGGCCTTTATTTTATTTTCTTTGGCTCGTTTCACTTAAGATGTCTGGTTCGCTAACGACTTTAGTAGGTCAATTGCCGTGTTACGGTAACGAGAGAGAATTCACCGTGCTTTGGTGCGTTAAATCAAATTCAAGTACGTTCGATTTCCGAAGCAGTCTATTTTTATTTCCTAGGCAAAGAAAAATTTCACTGATTTCACTTTAAACTGGTGGACGTTGTGTACTTTATTTATCTCAAACAGTTGGTCATGCGGCGTTTGTTGTCCAATGACAGGCAAATGTTTCTCACATGATCCACTGAGATTGGGATAGAGGCAAAGAATAATTTATTATTATTACAAACCAGAGTTCTAATAATAAGTCTTGAATCCATAAGTGGCAACAGCTGATTTAATTTGCATCTAATAAAAATTGCTTATAATATTTAATTATCATCGGAGAACTACTTTTTCATTCTATATTATATATTTGAATAATATTGATATTTTATTTCAATTAAAATTTAAAAATTTGGATCACTTTCTGATCAAAATTCGTTACTTTCCAAACCATTTTCAATAATGAAACAGAAATATTTATAATGTTTTGTAAAAAAATGTATCATAATATATTTTAAATTTATGATTAATAATAAAAAATTAATCAACAAAACAATTAATTTTGTTAGCTCATAACTGCATTAAAGCCAATTTTGATTCTTCAAAATCATGTTTGATCTGACCAGTTTCAATTTTGACCCCTATGTCAAAGGCACCATGGTGTTGGTCAGCGTATTTTGTAAGTGGTGTGACCATCGATAATAGTTCATCAAGGTCCTCGCGTGACCTTAAGTGTTTTACGCTGGAATAATTGTTGCACAATGGTGGGGCTTGATCTCGAACTTGAATCTATTATTATATTAAAGCCGATACAACTGAAAACTTATATATTCAGCAGCTTTTCTCTGACTCAAGTCCAATGCTTTTTAGGTCTTGATAGCCAATTGAAAAAAATTTGAAACTGTGTTTCAAATGTTACAATTTCATTGTATATTAGGAATTTAAATAATAATAATATACTTTTTTTGTGTTAATTAATCGATCCACTTATAATAATTATATATAAAAATTTCAGCCACCTCGTTGGGGATGCTTCTTGTGTGCCCTGGGCCTATTCATTTACCAAAGTCTGGACGCCGTCGATGGCAAACAAGCAAGAAGAACAGGAAGTTCGAGTCCACTGGGCGAGTTGTTTGACCACGGCTGTGACTCAATATCAACTGGTTTGTTTTTCACTTTCTTTTGTCAATATCGTGAATATTAACGAAAATTTTCCCGGCAGTTTTTGTTGCTCTTTCTGCGTGCATAGCTGTCCAGTTGGGGGAAAAGCCAGGATGGATGCTTTTCCAGTGCTTTACAGGGATGACCATGTTCTACTTTGCTCATTGGCAAACCTACGTCTCAGGTAAAATTGTTGTCATGCTGCTGTTAAAGAAAAATTAATTTTATTATTATAGGTACACTGAAATTCACCAAAGTTGATGTAACAGAGGCTCAGTGTTCAATTATGGGCATTCACTTGATATCAGCCATCTTTGGTTCAAGTATATGGACAACGAAGGTATGCATCTTTAATTCAATTTTTAAATTTATTTATCCATTGACAGCAGCATTATTGAAGTTGACACAATCCCCCAATAAATCACAGTTTTTTAAATTTAATCGCTTCTCTCGTCAAATGCTCCAATTAATTCAATTTGTTGTACAAAATATCAACGGTTTTTATTGAATATAATTTAAATTTTTGGAAAAATAATTATAGAAAGTTAATTTTTTTAAATGCCTTCTGTTTTTGTCTTCAGATTTAAATTTTATTGCGAAAAAATTTTATTACGAAAATTTCAGCCATATTGAACTGTTTCTATATTTTTCTCCAGCAGGTTGGATTATAATGGCAAAATTTTGATTATTTCATTATTCAATCAAAATTATATTCCAATGTCTTTTATTGTTAAGGTATAAGAGATTCAAGCAAACAATTTTAATCAACTCAAATTGGATAAATGATTTTCTGAATCTCAGAGCTGCGTCATATTTTAACAAAATTTTGTCTAACTCTCCTTTTCTCACCCCTATGTCTCTAATGCTTTTTTTACAGATTCCAGTAGTTAATTTGGAGATTTTTTACCTAATGATCTTATTCAGTCAGATGTGTTGTGGTGCTGCATTTATTCAAGGAGTCTACATAATTCTCACCGGCGGTTGCGGCAGAAACGGCTCCACTGTTGCAGTAAGTTGGGCGCCTTTCAGGAGCTGACACCTCTTCAATAATTTTTCACTGCATGACTGATCAACTTAACCTGAAACGACAGCTCGATTAACATGATTTCTATTAATACTTGCCAAAGAGAGTTTCAGTGAATGCTTTTATTTTCAAAGTTAATTGTGCAGGAAAAGTGCTTATTTTTCACTGAAGCTCTGCTTTTGAGCTACTAAATCTCTATTGTGTATGTTGCATTAGCAGGGAGGCGTGCATGCAAATTCAGGTGAAGATGGAGGCTCAAAGAAACTATTTATTTTCCTATTTAAAAAACGACTTGTGTTGAATGTTGCATGTTTCCTAGACAAAAGTGACTGTCACATAGCTGAATGTCCAAAACTTTGTCCCGTCTTCCCATCCGAATTTGGTTTGGCAGCAATAAATAGTTTCTTTGCTACCGTGACGGAGATTGTGTGATTTTTCTATAATGCTGACCCAACAACCAATTGTAAAACTTGTCATCGTGATTTCTCTTGAGTGTGTTTTGTGCTGAGATTTTCTAAAATATTAAATTAACTCGGCTGCGGGTGCAGCTGCCTTATTTGGAGAGTGAGTTGCGAGTAACCGCCTACTACCTGGCAGTGATCATTGCCGTGGGGATATCTTATTCTTGCTTATCCGTCATCATGACTGGAGGCGCTGGAAAAAACGGGTCCACCGTCGCAGTAAGTGAAATGAGACAATATTGTTTTGCCTTATTTCACCTCATCTCATCACGTTTGCGCTTGAAATAGAAAATCCAGCTGCTGAATATCAGTTAACTGTGGGAAGACCTATTACAAGCACTTTTAGATTGAAAATTGAGTTGTACCGAAAAGCTGCATGCATGCTTGTACCTTATTTTGTTCTGAGTGTGCTTGTTTTTGCTGTTGCTTTGGTTTATGGACTTGAGTAATTAACAAAAGAATTAACCATTCTTAATTTTGTTTACGTTGCAGTATGATTTTTTTTAATTATTAGCCTCCCCAGTATTTTATCAGAGGTAGATTTTTAAACTGAAGCACTCCATTCTTCACAACGCAATTAATTTTGCATCAATGAAAAAAGCTATAGTATTTTTCACTACTCCTGTAATTTTAGAAGGCTTTTAAATTCAAATATTATAGAAATCATGCTGCTTCTCCCCAAATTTTAAGCTTTTATATGACATCTAATTTGATTTTTTTTCTTAAGGGCACCAGTGTTCTTTCTCCAGTCATCCCATTTGGACTTGTGGTGGTTCCAGCTGTTGTCATTAGTGCCATGAGTACACAGAATGTGTACGAAGAAAATCCGTGCTTGTACATTCTCGCGTTTGGAATGGTCATTGCGAAAGTCACCAACAGACTTGTGGTTTGTTTCTCTTTTTTTATCTCTTTCAAAATTTCCATACTGAAACACTCATTTCCTGAGCCTGAGGAAATTTTTCATTATTTTTAAATTGGTTGAAACTCTATAATTTGGACCAAAATGCATTAAAATTAAACCTGACAAAAAATTAATTGCAGGTCGCACATATGACTAAGAGTGAGATGGAATACTTGGATTCAGTCCTCATGGGCCCCTTGATGCTCTTCCTCAACCAGTACTTCAAATCTTTCCTGCCTGAGTACTATGTACTCTGGGGTTGCATGGTAAGCTGTTTTATTGCCCCAAAAAAATTAGCTTCTTGATTTTAAACCATTGTAAAATTGTTTTACATTTTAATTTAAAAAATGAGTCAAATACCTCCCTACTTGGTTTTTCTTCCAATTTTTATTGATAATTATTTTTTGCTGTAGCTTTGGGCCACATTTGACTTGCTGAGGTACTGTCGGCAAGTGTGTCTCGAGATTTGCGACTACTTGCACATAGAGTTGTTTCGCATCAAGCCAACGCTTGTTGGTAAAGACGGTGAGAAAAATGGTATGGGAATCAGGGGCCCTCAGGCCAGACCCCCTATTGGCAGCAGGTCTGCCAGACAGCACCACTAACACCCGCTTCCCTGTACCAATGACTTAAGTGTTGTTCGTGTAATGCCAAAGGTTCTACTCTCCACACAAACACATAAAACACCTCTAATACAGCTGTACTACATGTTAATTTTTCTGGGTTGGCTCAACTTTTCAGCCTACTATTTTTGTTAATGTATATTTTTTTGTAGACAAAGATTGATTTTGCAAGTCAGACCTTATTGATAATACATTGGTAGAAATTTTCTCTGAAATCGGAATGCCGTCGATAGAAGAGTCGTTTTTAAAGCATTTTTAGTTTTAGTCGTGATCTGCGATAGATATATGCAGACTATATTTTAACCGTGCTAAATGCAGGGAAGTGGATTTAATGGTAAATAATATTCTGCGAATATCTATGGGTTTGTAGTTAAATTAACAAAGACGGCTAAGGCCAAGCTGGTTATTGTCCGTGGTATTTAACTATTGTAAAATGGGGCTCCTGCGGATTTGAATAATTTTTGGAATCAGGTCTGAAATTAGCTTTGACAAGTTTGTAAATTTTATGTGATACATGTTTAATGCAAAATGAGTGTTTTCCATACACTTTGGAGTGTTGAATGGGCTTATAGAAAGTTTCGCTTTTAATTTTAACAAGACAAAATGCAAAGACGTTCAAAGTGATTTATATCAATTTTCAATTTGTCGGGATAATTGCACGACTAAGAAATTCAGCAATCCTGCTTGCAATTGAGGCAGAAACTGAGCTTTTTGATATGAAAATACACAACACACAAATGATAAATAATTATGCTGTACTAGTGCCAGTTCTGTCGCTATTGTGTTATTTAAAGAAATAGCTGTTCTCTGTCTGATGCGTTTTTCGGAGCTGATGTTAGTGTTTAGTTGTTATTTAGTTAATTTAACCAGAGATGTAATTGGAAACAAAGAAATAAATAAAATTGGTTTTCTATTGTATACAATATTTCTCCAAATTGTTGCTTACCTTGCTTTTAACCCGGTTTGGGTGGTGAGAGATATATTTATTCTGCTTTCTGTGCTTTTTATGGTGCTTTGAGTTCTACCTGGGCTTCACAGACTATCTCACTCGTCAAAAGAAATATTTATATAGCCATAAGTAAAATTTATGGAGGCCACTGAATTATTTTAATTCTTCTTTTCAACTGGCTTTGCAGGAAATCTCCCAATCAAGCCGCAAGAGCAGGCGAGCCTTCTTACTGGTTAATTCAGCACTTGTTCATCTTCACATATTAAAATATAACTCTTTTCTCCACAACCAAGAGGACTCGGAATCATTGTAATAATTTTTGCTGCATATTTTTACATTTGGCATATATTATTTTCCTATCAAATCAAGACTTCATTTTTACCTTTGAGATACAAATTGGTTTAAAATTAAGCTACGAGGATCGTTAACGCTTTGAAAAACCAGAAACTTTATTATGTATGATCTAGATAACTGTTGAAATAGTATTATGTGCAGTTATTCCTTTCCTTTAATTACCACCAGGCCAAATGAAATAAGTTATATTTTTCTTTTGTTACACATATTATGTCTCAATATTATTTATATGTGAATTTTTCAAAAAGTATTTATTAAATATAATAAAAGTGTGTTTTGAAATTATCAATAATTTTTTGATAATCATATGTACAACAGTTTTTATTCTCCATCAGCTAACATTCATAGTGGAAACCACCACTTCACTACACAGAAAGTAATTTAAAGGTTATCACCGGCTCTGGCTACGTCTCCTTCCTTAACTTCCCTCATCTTTCTGTAATATTTGATGGCCGTGTTGGGACTGTAGTAGTAAGCCTGGTAGTCCCTGCGCTCACCCATCAGTTGCTTCACTTTTTTCTCAAGCAAGCTGCAATTAATGGAAAAATGATTAAGAGGCGCGTTAAGTATTAGTTTCATTGATATAAAAAATAATAACTTCTAATATTTTGTAAGAATTTTTTTTTTTAATTTCGATTTATAAAATCTGGGCAACTTACTAAAGCTGTCTCCTTTCCTCCTCTTCGTAGATTGTATTCATCGTTCTTTCATATTCCATCTGTGGGTTCGACAGGATGTACCTCGAAAAAAATCTGGTGATGGGGTGCTAAAATTTTGCCGGAGTTAAAAGTTTTTCCTTAAATGAAATATAAAAGAAATGAAATTACCCTATAGTATTCCCAATATTTGGGTGTGTAGCCCTCAGGGATTGGGGTGAGGGTGGCAGGGCCGATGAAGACATTCGTGTAGAAAATTGTCAATCCGATGGGGATGGCACCAATGAGGACATAGAAGTGGAAAAGGTCTTTGAATTTTTTCCACTGGAACCTTGAGGGAGTGATGAAAAATTCCCGGTGGTGTCCTCCACCGCAGCGGATCTGCTGGGCTGAAATTATTAAATTGTTGCATAAAATTGAGCACTAAAACCAGGCAAAAATATTAAAATGGTAAAAGGCACAGAAAATACGGTCATTTTGTTAGGTTGATTTAACACTGAAGTTCAGATTGAATCGCACAGAATTTTAACGCGTTATAAACTCACTTATTCCATTTCGTAAATCTGAGGTCGTGTTCGGCCCGAGAAGGCGTCTGATGCCCTGCAGAACGGCAGAACTCTGCCTGGGTTTTGCCAAAGTACTCCAGACGGCCATCTTTGGTGGTGGTCACCTGCAAAATGCAATTTTTTTTATTTTGATTGTTGGTGGGCATGCGTGGCAACGCCGCAATGGTGGTGGGGACGAGGAGAATTAATTAAGCGGGAAAATGCTGAGGGACAGCTGCGATTCCGCTCAAAAACCAAAATAATGCCCTTGTCAGCATTTCCCCGCAGATTTCAAGCAAAATTGTGATAAACGAGAAAGATAAATATGTATATTCAAGACTTGAAAAGTGGCTTCTATGATCTCCTTATTGGCAAGGTGAGAATTCACAAATATTTAACTAATTTGGAAAAGTTTCTACTTTATGTCGTTTTCCAGAGGGTCATCATTTTTGTGAATTATGATGTGGATGCAATTTGCGCTTTTAAAATTCTCCACGATCTCTTAAAATATGACGAGATTTTGTATACAATGGTGCCCGTCCAAGGAGTCAGTGATTTGAAGCGAGAATTTGAGGAAACACCAAATGAGGTTATTTGTACATTTATAATTATTTTATTTAATTCTCATTTCATGTGATTTATAATTTTTACTTTGTAGAACGTCGTGATTCTGATCAATTGTGGAGGATCAATCGACATTGTAGATGAGCTGCAGCCACACCCTGATGTGGTTTTCTTTGTCGTCGACAGCCACAGACCCACAGACGTGTGCAACATTTACAGCCAAAGCCAGGTTAGGTTATTGAGGAAGGTTGAGGACGATGAGAATGTACCTGACTTTGATGACATCTTCAGGGACGATGAAGTAATATTGGAAAAGTGAATATTGTGTGTATCTTAAATAATTAATCTTTTTTTTAATTAAGGGTGAAAGTGAAGACTCGGCCAATTCTAGTGGGTCCGAAGGAGACGAGGAAGAGGGCAGACACGAAAAAAGGGCAAGGAAAACTGAGGAGGCCATCATGAAGAGGAGAGACAAAAGGTTGTGGGAGGAGAAGAGGAACAGAATTGTGTTTGAATATTCACAATTCAGCTACTATGGACGATCTGTAAGATTTTTCCACTCTGGAATTTTACGTTTTAAATTTTTATTATTAGAGCTCCGCGATTATGTTTGAACTGGCTTGGAAACTGACAAAGGACAACTTGGAGATTTTATGGTAATAAAATATTTTGGAGAAGTCAAAAGTATTACATGAAATTTAATTAAAAACAGGTGGGCTGTTGTCGGAGTGACGGAGCAGCTGGTTTTGGACAAAATTGAAAGCCACCAGTTCATTCTTGAAGCAGGCGCTTTGCAAACACACATGCTACGGCTTTCCCATCAGTTGGACCCTGAAGATCCTGGCTCAATCTTCAAAGTCACATTTGAGAAAGAGTAAGTTAATAAAATTTTAAAGAAACTCAGTTGACGGAAGCCTAAAATATAGCCTTCAACTTTCGCTCTATCGCCACTGGTCTGTTGAAAGTTCTTTGTTCAACACGCGGTTCACGGCTTGCAAGTTGAAAATTTGGAGTTTGAATGGAGAGAGAAGACTTCAGCAGCTTTTGGCAGACATGGGGTTTGCTTTTCAAACTCGCTATTTGTACTAGTTTAATTGATTATACATTCCAGAATTCCTCTTGCGCAAAGCAAACAGAAATTTTGTGCTATGGACTTGCAGCTCCGCCAGGAGTTCTGTGAAAAGATGGAAAGTCAAGCTGAGAAATATGGGTTGGACGGCGTTGGATGTGAGTCCTTCACTCTCCAATACGGCTACAGACAAAGATACTCTGCCTCGGACGTGATTTATTCCCTCGTCACCTTACTTGAGTCAACAGTAATAATCTTGATATTTGAATTAAAAAGAAAATTATAAATATTTTTATTTAGGAACCGGGAAAGACTCCTAAAGTGAATTTCATGGACACCTTAGATGCTCTAACAAGGGCAAAGTGTAAGCTTTTAGACGAAGGCATCGAACGATCTAAAGATCTCCTGACCCACATGTTCCAATTTGTTCGAAACACTATCACAATGGGACTTATTCATTCTGCAGGACCTTTCCTATTTTTAACAGTTCAAGAGGTATAAAAAGTATTTTTTTTTTGTGGCACTCACAGTTTTAAAAAATTGGTGATGGTCTGCCACAGTTTATTTTATAAATCTAAATTTTAATTTGTAACTGCAGGGACTCATTGACTACAACCAACTTCTGAAGCCTCACTGCCTGGGTATGCTAACTAGATTTGTCTTGGAAGCTTATGTTGCCTCTTCAAAATCAAGACGAAGCGCCAGCCAACCCCTGATCATTTCTGCACCCTACATGGAAGGCATTCGGTTGCTTCTAGGAATTCCACCAATTAAGGAGGAGTCCCCAAGAAAGTAATGCAAAACTATTTTAAATGGAACTTTATTTCATTATTGTTACTTTAGCTTCTTTGGAAAAGCTTTTGAAAATGCAGCTGAGAAGTCACAGATTGAAGCTTACTCTGACCTCTTTGACACATCATGTAAGCATAATATTTGCAAGTTTTCTGTTCACAAATTAATTTAAAATTCTTCTAGACATTTTGATCAAAGCAGAGGATCAGGAAAGATTTTTTGATGCCCTTATTGATGTCTTGAAGTAATTGCAGTGGAGTGACAAATAATGTAAATGGATTTCATATTTTAAACAATGATGTTTGTGATTTTATATTGAACACTTACAACAATAATAAATTGACTACAGTCATGCAAAGTAAAATAATATTTTCTTTTTTTAATAATTTTCCTGTAATTTATATGAAAGATGTGAAATTAGTTTATAAATTGTTTAATTACATTTTTGGAAATTTTACTACTTTCTCTTCTCAGTTTTTTAGTTTCAATTCTGTGCTCTTTAATTGTGAGTAATTTATGCATTTTGTTTCATAACGTCTACGCTAAAGAAGTTCTTCTCGCAGGAACTAGTGGTTGTGAGGGCAGCTAGCAAACCTGAAAACAGGAATCATGTACTTAAAGTTAACAATCTAACCGTAATTTTTCTAAATCAATAATTCCAAAACAAAAATTAGAAAAATTAATTCCTTATTCCAATGACCACGTGTGTTTCGCGCCTTTTTCCTCTACGCAGCAGTGCACACCCCCCACCGCTGCTCCCAAAATGACAACAACAAGTTCAGCTGGATGGAAAGTGATGAAGTGTTAACTTTTGCGTCGTCAAAAAACCTTCGTGTTGCCGGTTATAATTTTAAAATTGGCAAGAGTTACCGAATATCTTTGCGAATTTTAAAATAATCCATAAATTGGAACGGCAGAAATGTCTGCAGCGACGACTGCTGGCCCGACGTGGGAAGGTGAGAGGTCCAGTCGAGTTCTCGAATTATCCTCATTTTTTTTTTATCTCGCTCTCGCCTATTTAAAATGACAGATGACTCACTGGCTTTAAACTAGAGAAATGATTTTATCATCTTCGCACCCATATTTTCATAATATCAATTTTCTCAAACAGGGCTGAGAAAAGAAGCCCGTCAGCTTGAGAATGAAATTGATCTGAAACTTGTTGGATTCAGCAAACTGGGCACTGGATTGTCTGCAAATGTTAAGTCGGACAGGTATGTCAAGGAAATATAAAATTAACATCAAATAAATTCAAATTACGTCGACCATTATTTTCCAAGTGTATGTACAAAAGTTGCCATAGCGCAAAACAACCGTGATCGAGGAGTGAAATAAATTTTTGCATTATTTTTTTTTCAGTGACAATGCGCCATTGCTCGGGCCTGACCATGTTTTTGAATCAATGGCTTTGGAGATCGAATCGCTTTTGGAAAAGGTATTTGACAAAACTATACAATTCCTTTCGAAATAATTAAATACGAACTAATTTTTGTCGGAACAGCTTTCAAACTTAAACGATCAAATGGCTGAATTTTCATCTGCCCAAACTCCATCAGCCGCCCTTTTGCACACCTTACAGCGACACAGGGAAATCCTGCAGGACTACAAACAAGAATTCAGAAAAACGCAGGCCAACTTCACGGCCAGGCGCGAAAGAGAGGATTTGCTGAAAAGCGTCAGGAAAGATATCGAGTATGTTTGATATCAAAAATTTTTGATCAGATTTTTTATAAAGCTATAATAATTTCAGTAACTTCAAGACATCATCAGGTCTGAATAGAAGAATGGACTTCTATTTGAAGGAAAATGACCACATAAGAAAGTACGTTTTTTTTTACTCTAATTTGTTGAATCGCAATTTAAATTTCTGTGCAGTTCCGACCGTCTTTTGGACGACCAAATCAGCATAGCTGTGGAAACAAGGGACAACTTGGTGGCCCAAAGGGTCAACTTCAAAAGGCTGCAGACCAGGTTCAACGACCTGTCGAACCGGTTCCCCCTGATCAACAGCCTTCTGCAGAGAGTCAATCTGCGGAAGCGAAGAGACTCGCTTATCCTGGGCCTGGTCATTGGTGGTTGCATGGTTCTGCTCCTGCTTTACGCCTTCCGGTAATTTTAAATTATTTTCTTTTTTATATGATTTCGTCCTTTAAATTGGGCCAAGCCCCAAAACACTTCCTTGCAAGCCACATGCAAATTAAATTATAAATTGGCTGGTCCTTTTGCATAACATACAATTATTTAGGGGGAATAGTAAAAGTTTCTGTTTATGAAAGCCTTTGGATTGATTGGACAGTTACAAAATAATTAAAATTCATCAGTGACACAAAATTGACCGCCTCAAGCGACACCGAGTCGACTGATGTGGGCTTGAAATAAAATGAAACTTTTCCCCGACGACTTTATTTATCATACCATCAGCACTATCTATCTACGTTCTAATAGTTTATTTAATTATTAAATTATGACTAAGCGTCACTAGTTTGTTGTTACAAAAATCTATGAAATGTAAATAAAAACTACTATATGGCGATTTAATACGCAAAGCGAATGAAAGTATTTATTAAAAAAACCCATCGGTATCACAAAACATAAGTAGAGCGGTTACACGCAGGTACCTTTTTAAGTAATTGAAGTTAAGTATGAAAGTTTCCATTTTACCGTTTCTCTGACTAGATGACTAAAATGGGCAGAATAAATTATAAATGTTCAGGATTTGCACTTTCGTCTTGATGATGGAATTGTAAAGCGATTGAAATTAGACGACTCCGAAAAGTCTAAACACTCCAAACAAGACGTTTGAGATCCTGTTTGGCCCGGCCGAGTATGGATGAGCCGAGACCTGGCTGAATGGAGAGCCAAATCCAGGGAATGAGTATGGCGCGAGTGAGTGATAGCGATAAGTGGGTTGCGTCTCTCGCCTTGGTGGGCCCAAGCTGTGACAAAGAATGATGAGAAAAAGCGTGACAATGGATAAGAAAATATATTTACAAAACCTCTGAATGTCGATGTAAATTTAATTAAACTAAAATGAAATCAGAGCATGAATGGTGAAAATGATTATATTTAAATTTACTAAAGTAATTTTAATTAAAATTAATTCATTAGCAAGGTTTACTGACTAGAAATTAGTCTTCAGGTTCAATTAATTTATTTACAAAAATTTTGGCATTTTTCTTTGGCAAAATTCGCAGCATTTTACACATCCAAGCCCTTTCTCAACTAGGAATGTACATAAAATTTCTGTACCATTGCGAGTAAGGATTGTCGCATCCAGTGTCAAACCCTAGGCGGGCAACCCTTGTTGGTTGACGAACCGCGCTGAAGCACGGCACCCTTGCTATGTTGAAGTAAAGCGCGCCCAGCGCGTGACTTGCGGCCGATCCGACTGATTGCAAGCACCGCCGAAACTGCACGTCGCACTCGCAATGAGATCTAGAATGGTAGAAAAAAATTAAATACATACAGACGCAATTAGTGGTCAGAATGAAAGAACGAATAATAATTACGATAAAACCGACGCTTTGTTGTAAAATCTTTTTGTCCCATTTTTCAAAACAATATCCCTTCTTTTATCTTTTATTTTGTTAACTATAAATTCCCATCTCTTCGTCTAAGCGAATAACCTTGTGAACGGCGAAGTATTGCAGAGTCCATTTCTGCACTGCCCTGACCGCAGACTTGCCGGGCAAAAGTCGTGTTCTCGGCAGCACCGGTCCTCGTTGAATAGAGAACCGAGCTCGCTGAAAGATGACGCCGTACTTCCCGATCCGCACCATTTAGTGCCTAAAAAATTAAGCATTTATCATGTTTTTAAGCCAAGTTCGACTGCATATTTACCTGGATAGACAAAAAGAGCAGGTCGATTTTGAATGGGTCTGTCCATCATGCTGCACGCTTTAATCATGTATCCCATCTCTTGCTGGCCAATGTGTTGAATAGAGTTGCGTTGCGTCATGTATGAAATTTCATTGCTATAAAAAATTTAATTTATTAAATAATTTCAGTAGAAAAATGTGCTTCAGTAGTATTGTAAGTAAATTGGAAAATCACCACAGAATAAAATTAATTAATGTAGCATAAAATTCTGCAAGAAAAGAAGTTCCAATCCATATTATAATTCAAAAACCAACCAACGGCGTAACTCAAAAATAATTAATTAAACATCAATTGGTGGGTGATGATAGCCTTATTTTTGGTTTTTTTTAACTCCCTCTTAACTTCACTGTCAATCGATCTTTGCAAATATTATCATGTCATTCTGATTCAAAATATTTGAGACTTCCAAAGACATTTTTTTGTACTTTTTATCACAGAAAAATACTTTTTTAAGATGCATTTTAATTTTTTTAAATGCATGAAAATTATTAATAAACAGAAATTCCACCAAAAACTTTAATTTTTACTATTGGTATTTTTAAAGATAAATATTGATATTATATTAATTGCAATCTTTAGAAATCATTAAGTTTATAAGCTCAAAATTATAGAATTTTAAGAAATTTCTTGACAAGAGACTTTTTTAACTAAAGGTTGAGCCTATAAAATCACCTCTGTAGGAAGATGAGACTTATTCACAGTTAAACGTCACAATAAAAATTTGATTGACAGAATAAGGTCTGTCTAATTAAATTATCTCCCTGGTTTTTTACGCAACATTGTCGCTTCCGAGATACATAAATTTTAATGGGTCAGATAACATTATAATTTGTTTCTTTATTCCGGAGCAAAATTATTTCCTCAAGTCCGTCTCACCTGTCGACGAAAACCTGGCAGCGCTCGGACGAAATGCTGAGCAAGCGCTGACCTTCCCAGTCCATGAAGAGCTCCGAAGTCGCGATCACCGTTGCCGCCGACGAGCAAAACGCGATCAGAAGAGTGCACCAAATTTCTCTGGCACTCGCCATCGTTATTCATTCAGGTGGCGCTCTGCAATGAGTAACAATGGAAGTTGATTTGTGTTTTATCATTCGCGTAATGCGCGCGGAGCAAAATTTATTGCGCCACTAACTATGCCAAATGGCTCATTTGGATGCAGGTTGGAACCGCCGGGCTTTCCAAGTGGCACAAATAAAATGCATCAAAGCGAATTCGGCAAAAGATCGTGAAATTCATTTTTTATTCAAATCTGCTCACGATTTTTATTTTTCATGTAAATACAAAATAAAATCATTTCCTGAACTTTTTCTCTTGGCTTCTGTGCCAAAAAATATGAAGTAGCTAGCAGAGAAATTTGACATCCACTGTCTTCATCAAAATACATTAAAAATCATTAAACTTGACTTAAAGAACAGTAAATTCTTGTCGCTAAAAATCAATTTTATTAAAGACAATAATATAAGCAATTTCAAAAATAATAAAAATATAGAAATTTTTATATTTTTATAAATTATCCTAATTTGTTGAACAATTTAAAGAAATACATAATTCTAAATTATTCATTGCATTTAAAAATAGTTTGTTTCACTTTTTAATTACAAGAGCAGTTTGTTGGTGTTTTGTAATTATATTTTGTTCAAATTTTTTATTTCTTTTATTTTTGTTTGATTTCATTATTTTACTCTACAAAATTCAAATAATAGGTCAGTAATATTGGGTAATGGGCTAAGAAAATACTTTTTTAAATTCATGTCTTATGCTACAAAATTTTTGTGTCTAAAACTCTTGGTTTAATTTTATTTTATTTGAACTCTGACATTAAGTTGAATAAAAAGTCAGATTACCAGATCTTCATATTACAATTTAAGCTTTTAACAAATATGGAACCTTCATTTTTCTTTAGCCAGTCCACATCAATCACCCTGAAGGTGCCCTCTCTTGGGAGTTCCCTTGCACAAAAGCACGCAAATCAATTCATCAAGCCCTTTTTTTATAATCCACCTGCGTGACAAGGACGGTAATAGTCATCGGCCGCAAAAATGTGCCCAGTCATGGCAATGCTTGCAATTATTATCATGCGAATTTGTCTTAGGGGTTAGTTGGCTCGGCCTTGGTGCAGTTCGTTTATTCGGTCGCGGCGCTTTGTCTCTCTCGAGAGCGCCTTTCTTTATTTATTACGTCTTCCCTTCATTTGTATCTTTTTTGCACGCCTTGCGCAAACAAAAACCCTTTGAAAGAAGCGCAACGACCGTCTCTCTGCGGTCTGCCTCTGAAGTGGAAGATTCGCCGGGGATTATAAAAAGTAATACTTTTGCGGTTGAGAGCGTTTTTATCATTGAGACTTTGGACACTTGGCACTGAACGATGACTTGCTTGGAAAAATTGAAAAAAACTTAAAACGCTGAATCATGATGCTTAAATCTGCAGCTTTCAAGTTGACACGCCTCAACAATGAAAATTGATGAATTTTTTATTTATTTTAAAAACAATCGATCTTTATTTTTAGAATTAATTATATTGAGAGTTGCAACTTGCAACTCATTCCATTTTTTCTGAATCTTAAAAAATCAATTATTTAACTTCTGGAATGCTTCGTAGTAAAATAAATTGTTTCAAAATTAAATAATAGATAAAAATTTAATAATAAAAAAAGTAATCGATGTAGTTTCAAGATACGTTTAATAGGTTTGATACAGGGCAACTTGATCATCTATTGATTAGATTTATGGACGTGACTAATAAGTAACCACCTTTTTAACGTATTTGTCGGAAAAGAACCATAAAATTTATTGATAATACGCATATTTAATTTTGGTGATATTTTTGTAATTAAATTTTTCTCTATTTTGTGATTCGAAAAACCATTTAAAGTATAATTATGTACTATAAAATGTTCGTTGGAATCACTATGAAACGCGTTTACCTTTTTATTTCTAAACTTAAACCTAAGAAAAATTTGAAAAAAAAAAAATATTATTCTAAAATCTGGCTTTTGTGCAATTCAGTGTCCCAAACAAAGAATGTTCAAAATAAATCGTTTTTCTCAATATATTCTGATTTCGTTTGAAGCGTATACCTGAGCCCTGACACTGCTTTTCGAAATTCAAGGTCCATGCGTGGCCAGAGGAGTGTGTGGCAACATATTAGTATAAAATTAATGCACTTCTGTCCCCCAGCCGAAATTAATGAGTGTTTATTTCAGTTCCTAGAGATGTCAACAATTTTGCCATCTAGAATAAATACAAAATTCTTGACCCAAGATTTTACGACCGCTTTGAAAGATTTAACGCCTCTTCTCAAAAGGCACAATAGAAAACCCAAGGATGAGCACAAAATTATAGTCTAGTATTTTATCAGGAACAAAATATTTGTTTACATTTGTGCCTTTTTTGCTCACAAATTTCGTTTTTGCATGTCACAGGGAGTTGCCTTTTCTGGTGACAAAACAAAGCCTAGTTGAGAAACTGTAAGAAATCTTCCTAAAAAAAGTTCAAACTTTCATTTCCTCCTCGCGTGCATGAGTGCGTGAGTTTTCGCACCTTGCTCGGAGGCAGGCAGAAGCCTCAAGTTCACGCGCCGAGTAGGCAGAATTATTAGCCTATTAGCTAATTGCAGGGCACGCGGGACTCTTAATCAAATAATATAACGCTTCAAATATAAATACAAAAAAAAACGTGAGTGTGCAAATATTCGTGCAATATAATGCGATGAGAAAAAGAGCAAACTGGCCTTGGATTTCTCGAATGTCATCTGTTTATTCGGCGCCGTACGATTTTCTTTGTTTCCTGCGCGAACCACCGAAACCCTACGAACTCTGCACGTAGACGCGTACTCGCTATTTTATGTTTGCTTATTTATTACTTTACATAATATTTAAACAAAATTGACCCCGTTTGTATTGAGAAATGCCCACTTGTACTTTCACGAATTTGGCCAAAATTTGTTATTGATTTAGCAGAATTAATTTCCCAATTTAATATATTTTTTAACTGGAAAAATTATAGTCAACAAAATTGATGAACTACAACAAATATTAAGTAGTATTAAAATTTCCCACATTTCTCTTTTAATAAGATTTTAATAATTATTAATATAAATTAATTTCAATAACTTTGTTGCTAGTTAAATGTTAATTGAAGAAAAAAATGCAGCAAATCCAAAAATTACTAATTCCAATTATAAAGAAACATTTAAAATTTACCAAAAGGAAAAAATTATTGAAAGAAAATAGTAAAATAAATAATTATGGTAATTATGAAGTAAAAAAAATTATTTTTAAATACATAAAAATGAAATTATTTGCAATGAAAATAACAGTAATGGTTTATTATTATAAAGAATTTGATTTTTTTTTTTTGAAACAAATTAATTTGTGACGGTTTTTATGTTTTTTTCCAAGCACAAGTCAAAGTTTTGATATTACTTTTATATTTTAAGATTTAATTTCAATTTTTGAAGCGACAAACAAATATGTCTAAAATTGTGAAAGAAAATTTCAATAAAAATGCAATGCACTCATTTTTCTCCAGACGATGCACAAATGTCTATTGTGCACGAAATTATGCAGTTTTTTGCATTTAGGGTCAACGGGTCAACTGGCGTGCAACCGAATCTGCAATAATTTCACGCCTGCCTGCCCTCGTGATACAACCATTCAAAACTCGCTGACTCAAACTCTTAACAATATAGACGCAGTTTTCATCAAAAACGCAGGAGCTGAAAAGAAAGGTAAAGGTCGTTTTGTATCTCACGTCCCATCTGCCCCGAAACACAACAACTGTCTTGATTAAATTTCAACTTTGCTGGAAAATAAGAGAACACGATGAATTATTCTTCCACTCTCTGACTTTGTTGGTACAGAGTTTTGCAATTCTAATTACTTTTGCTCTTGGAATTGAATTAAAATTGCATCCCTGCAGCGCTCAGTGTTCCGCAATGGATGCAATTTTTACCTTCATATCCAATTAAAATTTATTTACAAAGACAAATAAAGAGGTAGCGTCATTTGCAAAGAGATCATAAAAAAATTTAAATTAGGTTAAATGGAAGGGAGTGTGATGGTCGAAGGAACACAATAAAATTAATTGAATCGATTTGAAGTCAATACATCACCAAACAATGAACAAACTGCAGCCACCTGAGCACGGGGATTATTATATTACAAGCGGTGTATATAACCTTTCCAATTGGCAGTTGCTACATTTTGTTTTTTCAAATAGGATTACGAGCCAATTTCACAAGTTGTCATTATACGTCGAGCAGAAATGATCGGCGATCGACTTCGGAAAGAAAACGTGATCGCGGAGAATGCGCGCGAAATGAATGCATCTCTTTGTTGTTCGTCTCTTTCACATTGTCATTTTTTTTTATTCAACGTCGGGAGCAGAGAGCACCGCGGTGTCACGCCGAAGACGAAACTGCCATTTATTATGCAATTTATTTTGCTGTGCAACACTGAGAGCGGAGGAGTCGCACTTCAATTTGCAGTAATTCAGCGAAGGTACACGACAATGAGTTGAACACTTTTTCCATATCAGGTTGCACATTACTGTCTGAATTATGAATGAATGAGACTTACTGACTTTATTCTCCTCTCACTTTGGGAACAATAATTCCAGGGTTGTGAAGCAAACAAGATTTTTACGTAATATTAGATTAAATTTAACATAAGAGGATTAAAATTATCTCAAAATTAATTGCTGCGAATCAAAAATGCTCATCTTGTCAGCTTTTTCTGCAAACAAAAGTTACAATTATGAGATCTATTGATTAAAAAATTAAATTGAAGTTAACACTAGAAATGGATATGATGAAAAAACAAATCTGGGCTTTTAAAATTAACAAAAAGTAAAGGGACAGCTGAACCCAGAAGGCGCCGATCTTTGGTCTGGTGTTAAATTTAGAACCTAGTGTTTTTTTTTAATGTCACCATATTTATGAAAAATAAAATCAGGAATTTTTATTTCTTAAAAATCTCAACTTTTTCAACAAGTTTTAAGCCTGGCTTCAGTTTCCATTTAAACCAAATTTTTCTTTAAAATAATATAATATATAAAACACTACAAAAATTCTGTCGTTTTTCCTCAGGGAAGTGATTTGTGATTCATAAATCCTTCCATGTGAAAATTCAGAATTTAAAAAAAAATGCATTTTTTTTTCTTATCCTTGCACTTTTTAATTAATTATAATTAACGATGGCGTGTGAAGTATTCTAAGGCTAGAGTGATTAGTGAAAATTGCTCGCACAGCAGCACAATAATTCACACATCTTTGGCGTGGCATGTAAGCGTGAACATTGAGTGCCTAAATAGCCGCGAGAACCACAAATAATTACATTTAATTAATCTTGTGATGCGAACGCGCCTGCAGGCTCTCGCCAAAGAATGTGTTAGGAGACGCGTGCTCGGCAGATAATTATTTCACACAAAGAAACAGAAGTTATTGCTTTTGTGCAGAAAAGCACAAAAAGGAGTTAAATTTTTATGGTTGAGAACTCTTTGTGCGCGGGAGTAAAATGGTTGTCACAAGAGTTTAGCACTATTTATTGTGAGATTTGTCGGATAGAATTTAGCGCGGGAGTGTTGCAAATTTGTGCACGCATCTTTCATAAAATGCCTATTTGAGGCAAGGACACCTGCTTGCATTGCAATTTAAGCATTTATAATGTTTCACATGTAGATAAGAATCGTTTCTTGGGAATTATTTGATCAATTTTCTTACGAGATCAAATTGTAATTCTTGTCCTTGCTTTATGTAAGTTATAATTTAATAAATCAGATTGAGATAACTAATTTTAAGTGATTAGAAAATTCATTTTATTATAACTAATCAAATAGTGGACCGATTAAAAATGTAATTGTTAAATTGTTGTTGCTGACTTATTAGTAAAAAATAAATTTACCGAATATAACTGCAATATTTTTGAGATCCTAAAATACGCAGCAATTATTAATTGGGATAAAAGAATTTTTTTTTTAAATAAGTCTAAATTTGAAAACTACAAATTGTATCAATTTTAAATTTTTTACAATTAAATTATCCTTAATTATTTCTTTAGTCAGTTAAAAACATGAAAACAAACACATATTTTGGCCTGATTAAATTTTATTATTTCGACCACTCTCGGCGCCCATGGCGCTACAATGAAAATGCAAATTTCCATCGCCCGGCGCTTGGCAAGCAATTGCGGAGTTCCAATTATTATTATTATTATTTTTATTTTATTGTTCTGCGCACGACGATTGTATCATTTAAAACAGATCTCGCCGGCAAGACAAAGTAAAGTTCTAATGCGGCGCGCATAAAAAGTCGCGCAAAATTTTGCTCGCGGCTGAATAGAGCGGGTTGACACAATAACCTTCAAAATTTCATTACGCTGTATTGCACGTAATATTTGCATTGTCGGTAACTTCGTATATGTGTGCTATTTCTGAAGCTTGCAATTGTTATCTTGGTACACGCTGAATCACTTTTTAAGTTAATTTCGTTACTTTCGCCACAGAGACAAACGTGTTGTTCTTTTATCTGATGCATTTGAAATTAAAACGACGCAAGCTGGGGATTTATTAATTCAGCAGTTAGGACCAAGGACGTCGTTACAACTAAATTAGACTATACGGCTTCTGACAAAATGTACTTGGAAAAAGTCTTTCACTTTGTATATGACAACTGAATTATAATGAGATATAAATTGTATAAAAATGTACATTTCTTATTTCTTTTTCTAGTTATTACGTAAGCTTTTTATACAAAAGAAGTATTGATTATTAATTTTTAAATATTATTTTTTTCAAATTTAACAGTCTTAAACATAAGGGGAGATTTATTATTTAATTTTGGCTTGGGAAGAATTGGTGATTTTGTTCAGCTGAAATACCGACAAAAAAGAGAATTCTAAGGTGGAGAAAACCCAAAAGGTGAAAAATAGTTCGTTATTTTTAAATTAAAATCAAGTGCTTTACGCTGATTTTAGGTAAAAAATTTATATAAAAAAAATATCGTCTATATTTCAAGGAAAAAATTCGGTTTAAGGTGAAAATAAGAAATTTTGTATTGACAAAACAATTGCAAAATTGCAAAACAAGTATTTGGAATTGAAGTAAGTGACAACAGATGGTTTTTCCACAAATAGATGATTTTAAAACTTCAATTTTAACAAAAATATTATCTGAGATTTATTAAAATATTTATATTTCTGTTCTTTTTTGACAAATAAAGTTAAAATGAGAGTCATGATCTCCTATTATTCCCGTCAGTTGTGTAATTGCCTGTAAGTACAGGTTTTGGCTGAAATATTTATTTGCTGTCATTATTGACTCTCGTCATTCAGGAAATTCAAATTCAATGTTGAGAATATTTACATGTTCATTAAATTGCTTAAATTTTTATATCGATGAAGTAAGTGTCAAATTATTAAACTTGAGAGTTCAAGGGAAGTTGCGGTTTTGTTTTTATCTCATAAGGTCACTTTTGTTAGTCGGAACCACATAAAGAGCGCATTTTGAGCCCCAGTAAATGAATTAACACGTTGTCGCGATTCTGGACAAACAGCCGCGCGGAAACGCAACCGCGACTCTAATTCCTATGCAAATGTTTGCGCGATGCAGTTGCATTTTCATCTGCTGCGTCGTGCGTCTCTCATTTGATTAAGACGATTTCAAGGTAGGAAAACACGGTTGTTTAATTACAATTATTTGCTCAAGCTATTAAATAAAAGCGAAGTGTATAAAATTTTAATCTTTTCTGCGGCTTGTTTGGGTTTTTGGCATAAGAACAAACATTGACAGAGGTGATTTTCATCGACATGATATAACAAAGCTATTTTCAAGTTTCGTTTTTATTTTATTATTGTGTATTCATTTTCAAAAACTAATCATGATTCGTGACTTGCATTAAATTTATGAAAATTTAATAAAAGAAAAATTATATACATAAGCAAATAAAAAGTTTAAAAAAATTGAAACTGTACAGTAAATAGAGTGAAATCAAATACAGTAGTTACAATTATTACTCTTGTTCTTACAAAATAAAAAAAAAACCGCTCCAAGAAATAAATTAAAATTTGCTTACTTAGAAATGCTTTACTTTTATAGCCGAAGACAAATATAATTATTTAATTTAATTAAATCAAAAATTTTATATTCAATTTTTAAATTTCCTGTCAATTTGATAGCCAGAAATGATAGTGCGTTTATCAATTTATTTTAAATAATTATGGAAAAAAACTCAACAATGTTTTCTAATTCGAAATGTTCTCCTCGTATATTGCATAATAAACTTAAAATATTTGAAAAATAAAATTTATTCATTTTTTTGTGAAACTTTTGATAAAAAAAGTAAAATTAAGTCAATGTAATAAAATCGATCATTTACCTGAAATTGGACGAGTTGTTGTTGGTGCAGCAACACTCAGGAGGAATGTCGACGGCGAACTGTGTTTGGCTAGGATTGCACTCGAGCCGCATGCTGGCGCGGTCCTCCCTTCCTTCGCCACCTGCCGCCGAGCCGACCTTGCAGGTCGTTATTCCTCTGCGTGCGGAAATATGGATTATATCACTCGCGACACCTCTGTCTTCGTGCTCTATAAATCGCGCCGCCCCGATGCTGAGAGGAACGCGTAAGTTTTTTTTCTTCAATATTACAAAACGCAAAATGCTGAGGTTATTTAGCGGCGATCATTAGATGGTCTGACCGCTGGCATTGAAAAAAATTAATCTCGGGGAAAATGATGACGCGCGACGCTCGACACAGGGTTAAAAGGGAAATGACTGGCTTTTTCTAAACGAGGAAAATAAATTTCGCTCTCTGGTGAAATATTAAATTAAATTGCTCAATATTGCCACTTAAATTTTATCATGTTATATTTGATATTTTGAAACAAACATTTGGGGATGCAGAAATAAAAAAATAAAAAATCAATCGATCCAAAAAAAAGTGAATTACAAAAATTTCTTTAGAGTATCATGAAACAACACTTAAGCAAGAAACATTGAATTGTTGGTGGAACGTAATTCCACGTAAAGGCGATAAGTCAAAAGTTAAATGAAAGTTACTAATTTAATTTCTGAGTAGTTTACAAAAGGAGCGGTTTAGTGTTTATATGTAGAGTTTGCAGTCAAATCTTGATTAAACCATCTTTCAATCCTTTCAATCAATAAATCACAGTAATATAATAAATATTTGAATTCTAATTAAATGAGACATAAATTTTTAAGTCGAGTCTTAGAATTTAAAAATTTCCTGAATTATAAAATTGATTTAATGTGATCTTTTCAGTTTTAAGTATTTTTTTGTTGTCAATTTTCACATTTTTTATAATGTTTTTTATCTCTAAAAATTCTCTAAAATCTTTAAAAATTCTGTTCAATTGACGCCCAAAATATTTATGAGGGTACTGAACTTGAAAATGAGAGATGTTTATGCAAATCGGTGTCATTTACCAGAGTGCAACGACACTATCCTGCTCACAGTTATGCACGCTGACAATGGATTTTGTTAAATCATTGTTTTGTATGCATACCAGGGCATTAGATAGTGGAGTTTGATAGCGCCATATCTCTTCCATCAGCTGTAAATATATAGAACGTAAGTAATTTAGGCGCTTACATTTTTACACCAGCATAAAAGGTTGTTGTTCCTGTAATGTTACATACACATCACCCATCAAATGTTATCAAGCGAATGTTTTATTTGAGTAATTGTGCGGTCGAATGAAGGTAAATTGTGTAATTATAACTTATTTTGGTGTTGCGCCGTTGTCTGAGAAGTGGGGTGTATCATTAAATATATTGGCACACTTTTACATATCAATCGCAATTTAATTGCCTTGTAGCAGATAAAGTGGAGCAGTAATTGCCCGATCACAAAATATAAAACAAAATATACTATAAAAGAAAAATATTTTGATATACAAATCAATTTATTAAATTAATTCTCTGTCAAGTTTAACAAAACAAAAATATCCATATAATTTTTTTTCTACGCACATAATTATTTTTATTTGAATAGAAATTTTTGAACGGCGCCTTTGGTATTGAGAAAAAACTGACAATTTGATGAATTAATGATGCTGGACGGAAAGTGACAGTGTCCTGAAGGTAGAACCTCGCGTGCTGGGGTCACCAACCGGTCAATCTCAACCTAGTCCTCTGCTTTTTGAGAGGCAATGACACGCCTGCATGAAATTAATTCAATCCCACATTACATCAGAAGAGGATGGCGCCAAAATATCACCACATTTGAAGCATGTCGATGCGCTCTGAAGAGTACAATTTCAGTTACGAATACAAAATATTATTTATCAAATAAACATTGTCCAAATAAATTGGGTGAAAGATGAAATGCTAAATTATTACATATTTAAAAAATCACTCATGATAATGATATTCGTAAGTAAACAAAATTGCTATTTGGAAATTTGTGTATTTTTCCTCGATTATTTATTAATGCCACGAAAAACAAACAAATTCAATTTACCAATCAAGAGCAAATATAATAATAGATTATTATTTTCTTACCATAACAAGAGGCGCCTGAAGTTTTTGTCCTCCGGCGCGTAACAAAATGATCGCGGCTTTCGCTAAAGAGCGGTAGCGCCCGCACCTGTTTTGATTTATCAAAAAACAATTAAGGCCCCTACGCACTCTCACTCTCAGTCAACACAAGAAGCGATAGAAAGGGAAAAACTGGCTCGCTCAGAGGTCAACACTCTGGCTATGCGTAACCTCAAAAAAGACAACTTTTCCTGAATTCTTTCTAGTGCCAATGTCACAAGACGCGGCGAAACACGCGTGAACTTGAAACTTTATTCCTTAATAGTGCTCGCATAATATTAAAAGTAGTGTCAAAAAAATAATGACGCACTATTTTACTTTGGCGGTCCCGATGAAACTGGTTTTATCTATTGGAATAATTGGATCTACGTTCGGACACGACGTACAAGCCAGGGTTGCTTTTAACCTCGGAAGACTCCAATGGAAGGCGACTTTGTTATTTTTCATTTTTAATTTATTCGCTATGTCCTACATCCAATCCCTTTTTACTTTTGACAATCATTAAATTAATCTTAATAAAAAAGGAAATATAAGAATGAGATATTTTAATTAATTAAAATTTTAAACTCGTTTTTATTGAAGAGTTACATTAATCTTTGGTGTTACAAAACATGTAAGCATTTTTCACTCAAAATTAGTTAACTTTTAATTTAATTAAATTAATTAGGTTTGTGACTTGTGTAGATCAAAAGTAATACTTAAAATCACTCAAAATCATCAGAAAATTGAAATTTGTTTTCAATAAAATAAATTAATAAATAAAAAAAGTTATGCAGAAATTAATCGCTTTTGTTGTAGTTTTGTTTTATAATATATTTACAAATTTTGGTTTCATTATAAATTCAAACTATTTGCTTTTAATGACCCTTAAACGTTCAATAATTAACACGACGTAAAATAAAACGTGTTCCATAAAAATTCTCAGCTTTAAAAAAGAAGTTTATTATAAATATAAATGACAAACACAAACATTAATAGGTTGCCTAATTCTGTAAATGTGTCGTGCTATTTTGACTTTTGGCACTGCTGTGTGAAAATAGAATAAAATTCCCATCATCTAAGGCCCCGTGAGCATCTCTTGGAAAAAAGGATGACTTTGGCCTTGGTCTTTGAATTTTTTATTTGGTCGCTGATCTGCTCGACTGTAATATTTACGAGAGAGAGGTTGTCACCTTTTATTTATATTTGCGGCAGAATAAATTTGACCTTAGGCAGAGCTTTGTCTGACCATATAGTTTCCCCAATTTATAATAAAACCGTCTCGGAAGTTGAAATCAAAGGAACAGCCGCCAGAGGCTCTCTTATAAAAGAGCTCTTGTATTAATAAAACCGAATTTTATCCGATTAGTGGCGATAATTGCCACTCGGCGCCTCGAACATGATGGTAGAGCGCACATTAATTTGCTCCTAATTTCATGAGCTGCTTAAATTACTTTATTTTATGCGCGCAATAAATCTCCGTAAAGATAGTGCGTCGGTTAAGAAATCATTTCGAAAACAACGATTTTCGACTCTGGCTCAGGTTTGATTTTTTCCCTCTTGAATAGAAAGTCTTTCGTCAAAACGTATACACAGTTCAAAATGAGACGGTCACTAAATATTTTTGTATTCAAAACACTTGATACTTGATATGATATGTGTTACTACATTTTATCCGTGACTTCAATGGATCCTAGAACAATAGGTTTGCTTTCTGATTTTTGCCAAATTAAGAAACTTTCGAACTCTATTATTTGAATACTGATATTTTTGTGCATTTCCGTTTGCGGATAACGTTAAAGCAATTCAATAAAAAAATTATGCTCATTAAATATAATTAAATTAAATTACTTAAATTAAATAATTTGTGAAAGAAAATTAATAAAAAAATAATTGTAATCAATTTTAGATCCATCAACGACACTGAAGTATAAGATGCAGTATCATGATGGCCAGATGATAGCACTAAAAGCATTACAAAAAAGTGATATATTTACTTTTTTTTAATAATTTTGTTTATTACGCAATGAAATCACATGCGTAATAAAGTAACCTCGTCAAGGCGTAAAAAACCTGACATTTTTTTTGCTCATTCTCATTGTTCGTCCGATTAACGGCGCCAAAGAGGGATAAAATTCCATCTTTTATTGTCCGCTTATGACCCGCGGCGTCGCAAAGGTCGTTCAGAAAGAGGTGCAAGGCCGTTCGTTTTCGGCACTTGAGTGTGTGTGTGGAATGCATAGTTTATGGTCGCGAGATGCCATTAGAAGAGTGGACTGCTGGACCAATATATGACTCGACATAATTTTAACGCCGATGTGTTATTAATCACCCGCGGTTTCCTTCCACTGACCCAAATCTTGCCAGAACAGCTGTTTTGGATCAGGGTCCAACTTAAGAGTATAGAGACAATTGGCCAAATTACAAACGACGCTGGAATTTCCTGATGGCGGCAATGGATCTTTGAAGGTTGACCGTTTTCTCAATTGATTTCTTACACTTGAAGGATTTAATTGTATTATTTTTTTAAACTGCATTGGAATACACGACAAATCAGTTGGAAAATGCATATTTGCATTACATCAATAGGACATTCAAAGTGTAAAATTTTATTTTATTTTAGCAAACTAAAATTATAGATAATTAGAAACCATTGGCAAAGTTTTATGCAATGATATCTTGAAAATTGCAAGAACATCTCCTATAAAATAATTTCAAAAGTTAAGAAGAAAAAATAAGTTTATGCTTTATAATCTATTTTCAGTATTTTCCAAACATGATATTAATAATATGCTACCGTCTCAATTAAATAATAATGTTTTGTTTATCTAAAACGTCTATAATTATTCAAAATTATCAAAAATAAAATGAGAAACTTTATCTTGTCGAATACATAAACAAATTAATGTCATTATGATAATTATTTTATTTTTAGTTAAACTCTCTTTTTATATAAATAACTAAATTTTATGGAAAGCTTGTATTAAAAAAATAATTTGCCTTTCCCGAACCAGTTAAAACAATGTCGTATACTGCGAAAACAAGAAAAAATTGAATTGAACGGAAGTATTGTGAATAAATAAAAATTAATGAGGACGTGCTTCCTAAAAAATAACTCATTGCCACGGCTAGAGCAGACCCGCCGCGCGGAAGTGTCAAACAAATTCGCCTACGTTTATTTCTCCGAACTGGTCCAAAAATACAGCGACCTATTCAGACGCAGTGAATCACAAAGGCGTCCTAATAAATTCGCTTGATCTAAGGTCGCGAGATCTCGGAAGAAAGACAAACAAGTTCATCCTAATTCAAGGTGCCGACCTGCGATCTCGAATGGGTGCGTCTCCTTAAATCTTCGCGACAATCGAAAAGAACAAAAAGGAAAAACCTTGTTTGCTTGCACCGAGCGTTCATCTCTCCGCGCCTGCAGATGGAGGTGATGCAACCGGAATTGCGAAACAGGTGCATTAAAAAGTATGAGCGTCTGGGAAATTTCTGCAGGGGCGAAGGCTGGACTTGAATGAATTTTGACTAATTTTCCGTGGGAGCGATGCAATTACGAGCTGCTTGAGCCAAAATAATTGCTTTATCCTTTCTCGGGCAGTCGGCGACGTTACTGTTATGAACAATCGCTTCTCACGTGATTCGAAAGAAAGTATTAACCGCAAAGGGAACGAAAATTGGCAAATTTTCTAAAGGGCAGATTAAGTGTCTCGCAACCCTGCTGTCAGTGACTCTGTTGACGTAGAACTGTTTCCTAGGAAATCTCCCGTAAGTCCATATGTTGGTCGTGGTCACCGAATCTAAGATTAGCCTTCGAGAACAGGTTTTGCAAAATTTGTGTGAGAATTAACGATGACATTGTTACAGTTTTCATTTGTACTCCCGTATTACATGATTCAATTCACCCTTGAGATAAAAAAAAAAAATGAAGGCGATTTACATAGACAAAATAATGTGTGATATAGGGCGCAATTAAAATTCACTCTTTAAAATATATAATTAAAGAACTTTTTAAGTTCAATGAAACAACACTGGAACAAGAGATTGATCTGCAGATAAATAACTTGTTATTTCTTTATGTTTTCAGTTAATTGGATTTTAATTAAAATAACAATTATTCTCTTGTGAACTTCCAACTTCAGGTGTCCTTATAAAGCTTGAAATTACTATTCCTCTAATTACGGTTTGCTTTTGCTTGATTCAGCTCAGACCCCTCTCGAAGCCCCCGCATTTTAACTCTTGGCGATTTTTTTGCTTGAGATGTTAGTCTCTGGTCATTTTCCCCATTTTATACTTCATTTGTGCTGAAAAATTATTATTACGCAAGTATTTCATTCTTTGCTAGAATATTTTCCAATCTCACAAAGTAAAAATTTCGTTTTTTTTTTTAGAAAAAAAAAATCAAAGAGAAACATAGACGAAGCGTTCATTTTTTTCATTAAAATTAAAATATCAGAAAGCCAACCTAAGAAGAATTTAATCGATTAATTTTACTCCTAAGCAAACAGACGATAATTAAATCAGCTTAATAAAGCTTTTGAATGATGTATATATTATTTAATGCAAGTTCGTTTCTTTTACTTTTTAATTGCATGTCAGTAAGTTTGCTAATATCTGTGGCAGTGAAATAGTGCGTAGAAGCAACATTATATGGCGTCTTATTATGTAATTACCAACGGCACCGCACTTTCTCAAAGTCAAAGTCACACACTTGCCGAATTTACCAATTTCTCTATTGAGCGCTGCGGGCGAACCTCGTCAATGTAAAAATAAGTAGTGGATCATTGGTCAATTTGCTGATTCATGTAGCTGCGTAATTACCACCGCTTAGTGGCAAACAGTTTGTTCAAGTTCAACAATTTTGGTTACAAGTGGTTACTTTGAAGTATTTCAAGGTGGAATTTGTTTCGGCAAAAATGCAAATGTTAAAAAAAAACTGATTTTTTCCATCAGATGTCTGCGGTTAGCAAAGATTCACATATCTCACTGGCGCGTGAAACGAATTTTATGCATCATGCTTTTGTTTTTACTCTGTGGTAAAGTGCATCACACTGCAGCGTTTTTTTGCATGCACGCAAAACGAGAGACGTTATCCCACTGACACGCTTGCTTAACTAAAATAAGTTGACGCAGACGTGAGGAAGCACACTTTGTTGACTTTAATAAAGCATACCACTCTCTCTTACAAGAGAAGTGAAGTAATTAATTTTTTTTATAATACTTTAATTTCTCAATACTTTTTAAGAAGGGTTGTTTTGTATGGAATTAAAACAATTGATATGAAAAAGATGATTATCAAAGTGACTTACTTTATTCTCGAATAATCACAATCTTTTGCGACTCTTCAACCTGCAGGTCGGCTCGGGATGGGTAGACCACCTTCAGAGTGCCCTCCGCATTGACAACTTGCACTTGTTGCACCTTCAAAAAGACAAGTAGTAATGTTAATTATTTAGAATTAAATTAATTATAACGAAATTGGATGCATAATTAATTTAAAAAAAACTCTCACCTTCAAACTGTGGAAACCTGGCGCGTCTTCAAAATCACCAATGCCAAGCTCCATTGTGTCCAGGAGCAACTGGTGAAGGACTGTTTTGCAGGCATTCTGTGACGAAGCGCTTGTGATTTCAACAAAAATGTCTTTTGTTGATTCAGTGATCTGTATTTGATTAAATAAAATAATAATTCATGAGAGTAAATTTCAGTCGATATTGTACCTTTGTAAGCTCGCTGTTGGTGATTGGGGGCAAGGAAACAGTTTTTCCTTGAGAATTTTTCAGGAAGGGGTAAACCTGCTTTCCTTCCAGTAAGGTCAGGTACCTAATAATGTCAAAAATTAGAAACCTCGGGAAAAAGAATTTTTATTTAATTAAACAAACCTAAAAATTCCTGACGCAGACTGCGTCCTCTTTTCCTCTTCGGCCTCCTCTTGCAAATTCTTAAACATTTCAGCTGCAGTAATAACCTTGTCTTGTCCCAAAGGTACAAGTTTGATTCTGGCTGGAGGTCTCGCCAGGTACTGCAATGGACCAGAAGGGAAGAGAGCCAAATCGTGGGTAGCAATTGTTGCTAGCTGCCGTTTTTGACAAGTAGTGTCATGCAAACGGGTCTGAAAAGTTAACAAATAAATTATTTCATGTGTCGTTGAGAATTTAAGATTAAAACTTTACCTGCATTTGAATGAAAGACCTGAAAGTTTCCGTCGTAAATTTGACATCTCGAATGATGCAGCAAACAATGTGGGGTCTCACTAGTTTGACAGTCTCGTCCTCTGAAATTACTTTCAGGGTGTCATCGCCGACGTGCAATACTGCAATTTTATTGCAAAGATCTTCAACCTTCAACAAAATTTTTATCGTTTTGTGCATCAGACATGCAGACAAAAAGACTAACCTCTGCCTCTTTATTATCACTCTGCTGCTTGCCTTTTCCTTTCTTGCCCTTTTTGCCTCCACCAGACTCAACCTTTTCTTTGGGACAATTTTTGCCGATGTACTCAAGGATTTGCTTTGGCTTACACTGGTCAACCATTTTCATCAGCCTTTTATCATTCAATTTGTTGCCCTTCAGCAAGACTTCTACAAAGTGAAATTAACATAAAAAATTGAAATTAATTTTTAGCATATAATAAAAATTATTAAATTGCCTTTTAATTTCGAGTTATCTGCCAATTCTCCTGGCACAATTTTGACAGAATTTTCCTCCAAGTCCAACAGCCTCAAACTAGGGAGACAGCTGATATTTCTGGGAATGTCTGCAATTTTGTTTGCCTTCAGTTTGACTTCGGCCAGGTGTGCCAGCTCAGGATAAACCAAATCCGGGAACTCTTCTAGCTCATTTTGTGAGGCGTCCAGAATGCTCAACTTGAGGTTGTCCTTGAAGCTCGGCAGGCTCACGATTTTGTTCGAGGAGACGTTCAAAGAGGTCAAGTTGGACAGTTTGGTGAGAGTTTCTGGCACAGCGCTGAGCTCATTTCGAGACACATCTAAGATTTTAAGTTTATCCAGGTCTCCAACGCAGTCTGGAAGCTGGGTCAGCTTGTTTGTGTGCAGGACCAACGTGGTCAGGCCTTTTAGCCTGGCCACGTTGACATGAAGTGTACTGAGACACGTCTCGCTGACACAAAGATAGTTGATATTGATTAGATCAAACAGGGCTGGGTCCACCTGGCCCTTCCGCTCTTCGATTCGCTTGGAAATGTCAGCGCCAGACAAGACCAACTCGTGCCGGTTCTGGCTCTTTGCCGTCAGCACTTCTGGCCAGGACATCTTGTTGGAGAGAAGGTGAAGGAAGATTCCCTCAAATATATATCTGCAAAATTGTAATTTTAGTTGAAATAAGAAAAATTTATTTTTTGTGATGCATTTTAAATTTTCTAAATTATTCAACATTTAAATCAAATTAATTATTATGGTTGAGAAGTTTTACAAAACTAAACTATGTGTGTACTTTTGAAATACATTTATGAGAAAATAATTTTAACTGAGTAATTAAAATAAAAAATGATAAATTTTCTTCAACAGTCAGTTTACCAGCTACGTACAAGTTGATTCCGCAAAGTGTCTCAAAAATTCTTTGTCAGAGAAAAATGTGCCGAAAATTGCAAGAATATTAGCTACTACGATTGTTTTCTATGCCTTTCCTTGTTGAAACACTTGGACGTGCCAATCGCCAATCACTGTTGAGATTTTGTTACAGGAGCTTCCATCTAGTGAGTATTACCAACACTTGAAAATAAAAAAAGTGCGAAAAATCATTGAAATTCACATTTTCCCGCCTCGGAATCCGTGGCTTTGCTCGTGAGAACCGCGAACGCCCCCTTTATTTTCCCAGATTCAACATTGGTTTTGTCCTCGTGGTTCACGTTTCGTGTCGACAGACTTAAAGTGAGTGTTTTTTCTAGTTTTCTGCCTACTTTCCGCGAATTTAGCCCTATAGTTTCAGAAAACTAGTAATAATTATCCTCTCTCTTAATTAAAAATTGAAATTTCTCTACAAATTTGTAAAATTTGTGCTAAAATTCACTCCGCATGGTCGCATCGTCGTTGACCATGCTGCCGGCTTTGAGCCAAAACTATTTTAAACTTCCCTCGTGGTTCGATTGATCTGTTTTTAGTTCTCAATTCTTTGTTTTATCAATTGGTTTGATTCATTTAATTGTTTGCAGAATGCGTTACGTGGCTGCGTACCTGCTCGCTGCCCTTGGAGGCAAGGAAAGCCCTTCTGCTGCAGACATTGAGAAGATCCTCAGCTCTGTCGGCATTGAAGTCGACAAGGAGAAGTTGACCAAGGTCATCAACGAACTCAAGGGAAAGAACCTGGAGGAGCTCATCGCCAGTGGTAATTTTCATTTGCAATTTAAAATTAATTTGCACTTAAACTTTGTCATATTTTTCAAAGTTATCTAAAGGAATCAATTTCAATGATGAATTAACAACCAATCACCATCTTTCGGCTGATTAATGATGAGTGTTTTCACGCCTGAAGAAATTGATTGTTTCCTAATATTATTTTCTCGAAATTATGAGCCAGTTTTTCCGAGTTTTTCTGCCAAAGCCAAGTTAATTAATTAAAATTTGTGCAGGACAAGAGAAGCTTGCGTCCATGCCTGCTGGTGGTGGAGCCGCCGCCGCTGCCCCAGCTGCCGGTGCTGCACCTGCTGCTGGCGCTGATAAGAAGGAGGAAAAGAAGGAAGAGAAGAAGGCAGAATCTGAGGAGTCTGATGACGACATGGGCTTCGGTCTCTTTGACTAAACTTGCAGTTCATTCCATCGTCTGCAAACCTTGACCACCTTTTTTATCAAAAAATAAAATTGAAAAAACCTGACTAAAATTACTTTAATTTCTTTCTTTGTTGGCAATACACAATATATAATTAAATAATTATGTTGCAAATAATCTCATTCTTAGCTTATAATTTTTTGAATTATGAATTTTTAAGTAAATTGGTATGAATTTATGTCATTTTTTACTCTCTCTCATAATAAGTACTTATTTTAAATTCTAATTAATTTCGTCAAATTGCCAGTTAATGCATTAGTGAATGGGCTTTATTGAATGTAATCAAACATTGAATCAAAAGCAGTGGGAGTAGGGTATGTAGAATGAATCATAGAGGGTGTGCACGCCTCAAAATTTGTTCATGTGGCACTGTGGGACTATTTTCGCGTGACAGCAAAAACCAAATTTGGGGAAAAGTTTTCAATCAATTCAAATAAATTTTTTGTTTTTCGTCTTCAAACACTCTTTATTAATCATCTTGCAGTAACAATGAAGTGAAATTTTAGAAAATTCTTGTATCAAATTTCGCGTCGCGGAGGATCAAGTACGCCCTGCGCGGCTGACGTCACGCTCTCAGCGGTCTCAGCCGGCGGTCGCCATGTTTGATTGAGATACACCACTGGAGCTGCGAGTTGGATCCTCAAGATACGACCGAATTTGTCCCGTTTCTTTATGCACTCTTGTATGGAAACTGCATGAAAGTTTAGCCGACGTGTCCGTGTGTCGATTCCAAACGCCACAATGACTCAAATACTACCGATTCGGTTCCAAGAGCACTTACAGGTGAGCCATTCGTTTGCTGCCGTCACGGCGGCCGATGCACTCAAGCCTCGAAATGTCAACGAATCGCGAAATTTCGTCCGAAGTGCTCGTCCGCTGCGTCCGAGACTTCTTGTACTAGATCAAAGCATGTTCGTCTGCGCGCTAGATTTGACCATATCCGGTTCTTTTGCGTCCGAATGATGAAATTGACCTACTTCTGTTTTATCGCCGAATGTCTTGACGAGGAAAAATTCATTTTTGTCTCCGAGGAAAATCAAGTTACCTCACCGAGATTAAATAAAAATACGGAATTTTTAAATAATTTACTCTACGATGTGCTCAAATTTTTTACAATGTTAGTTTGTTTGTGGAAAATTCTCGTTCATTTTCGCGCATTTGCCTCGCAAACTGCATGGATTTTTGCTTTGCGAAGGAGGAGGCGTAAAATTTCACGCATTTTGGCTATTTGCGTCAAATCTCGCACCAAAGGTGACTCATAATATCGTGATGCGAGCAAATTTCATCAGTCACTTTTCGGCATTCAAATATACGTCTGGAGAATTGCTGCAATTTTTGCTTTAAAAATTAACCACGCTCCAAGATTTGAGCAAAAGCGGCTTTTTGCACCTTCAGGCTGCAAACAAATTAAATCTCGCCGATCAGGCGAGGTTAATAATCGTCAATTTACATCTGGAGTACGCACATTATCATTACAATATTCGTTTGTAACCATCTATTTTGAATTCACGAAAAATGCTCGAGCCAGTTCCAATTTTTTCCTCCGCAATAATTTTTCTCGCAGAAGAAAAATGAGCATCTGTCGTGTCAGGTGCAGAGCGTGATCGCGACCGGAAGTAGTCGGACAGGTTCAGGGAGTCGCTGGGCATGAAAAGAAGGCAACAAACGAGGTGGAAAAATACAATTTTAATTTGAAATTAAATCTCTTATTTGCACGAAATCGCACCGGCTTGATGGCGATAACTTTTAACTTTATTAAACTTTAAAGCAACAACAATACCGCTTTTACTGTTCCAACATACGTGGAAGGGAAAGTTCCATTGTTTGCGTTTTGAACCAAAGAGCAACGAACAATTTTATGGTTGTCTAGAGTGAGCTCAGAATATGAGTGGGGATGGATTGCCAAAAGGTAAAATAAATAATTTGAAGTCAAAAGTTATTTTGGACTGCCAAAGAGAATCAATTGAAAAGTAACAATTAAAAAAAAATGTATTTTATTATGTAACATGAAAATCTATTTATTTATGTAAGCTTTGGATATCTATGTTAATTTGAAAGTCGTTCAATTTCTTAAATTTGCGTCCCATGTAAAATAAAGTCAATATTAAGAATTTTGCTAAAAAAGTAAATAATCTTTTTCCCTTCTTTTTTCTCTGTTGTTAGTTTTCCACTGATTTGGGCTTTCAAATGTCCAGATAGGAGAGTTTTGAAGTTGAGATAAGGATAATTGTCCCCAAAAGCTTCTGGGAAATAACATTGCTGTTTAAATTCACACTGTGCCAAAATATCCACAAAAGGCCAGAGTGTCCTAATTTATCCTTCTGAAAATGTGAAGATTTTTGTTAAAGTAATTTAAATTAAAAGATTGGAGGTTTGGGAGGAAGCCACAAATTACATATCAAGTTTTAATTTATTTTAGCTCGCATTTTTTTTACCATTTTTATGAATTAATTCTCATTGTTTTAAAAATATCTCCATTTTTTTAAATTATACAGTTTTAAAAGAGTGATCAAAGGAAAAAATATTTCATATGTACAATAAAAGCTTGAGCATTTTCCTGGCTGGTACTGGCGGAGGGCGGCAATAAAATTATTTTTGGTCGTCGAAATTTGTGTTGGCATAATCGCGTTAGGCCAGAACGAGAAGCCTCTGCTGCATGAGAGGAAGACAGAATTTTTGTAGGCGTGAAGAGCGCGAGTGTGCGGCAACCAGAGAGATATCAGTGGGCGTACCAACGCGAGTATCGATTGAACTCGCAAGCAGAGCCTGCTTGCTTGCCAGCCCTCCACACGAAGGGTCTCCCCTATGTTGATATGCCCGGCCAGCGTGACCTACAAAATCGTCATGAATGAGAGAGCGACGAATGACAATAATTAAAATTTGTACCGCGATTCCGTTTCTCGCCTGCCTCGAAACGCGACTTGAAAGGAATGCGATTAATTTTGCTTGGAATTTCGACACCAAATAAAGTGGTCGTGTTTTAGTCTCTCAATTTGGATTTCAAGTCAATCAAACTTGGTTCATGTAAACGTGGGGCCACTTGAGTCAACAAGCTTGAAGCCAATAAAAATCATGCTCCTACCTTTAAGCTTATGCTCGCTCAAAGGCTCATTAGTACTCATGCGTGAAGACTATTTTGTTTAAAAGTTGAGGCTGAAAATAATTTGGAAAATAATTCTTTTTTTTTCTTGAATAACTCAATTTGTGGAGGAAGTAACAAAAAATGTCTACATGATGAAATAGAAATTGGCCATACACCAATCTGATTTAACTGCTGATTTCTTTAATCTGAAAACCGTACATAAATGATTATTTAATTCTTCATATTTATATTATTATGTTTTGTGTTATTTATTAATCAAATTTGTTTCCCGTTTGATTGCAGCTCACCAACATTGGCATCAACCAGGCCAGTGTGAGCTTCAACACTCTGACCATGGAGAGTGACAAGTTCATCTGCGTGCGCGAGAAGGTGGGCGACACAGCCCAAGTGGTCATCATCGATATGCACGACCCCACCAACCCCATTCGCAGACCCATCTCCGCAGACTCTGCCATCATGAATCCAGCGTCCAAAGTCATTGCCTTAAAAGGCAAGGCCGGGGCCGAGGGTGCAGATAAATATTTTAAACCAATCTTGGGATGGTGTTTTGTCTTTAACGCTCTGCCAGACTTTGTATCTGTAACACTAAATTTTCAAAACAAACTTTTATTAGTGCACTTGGCTTGAAATCAAAGCGTGGTCATGATTTTTGAGCGCCGATTTCAATCCTCTGTGAAATTTTATTTATTCTTCTTTCACTTCAGTCGTTTTTAGTGCAAATCTTGAGTGTTTTCTTTGTCTATCTCGGTCTATCTATTTAAAAATCAATGAAGTAGTTTAAATTTCTATATGCTTGCTATGGTTTGGAAACTATTTATGTTATGCATCTTATTGAGATAAAATAAGTCAGCTAAAGTAAATCTGAAAATCTTTTTTAATAATATTATAATGAATGATGGTTCAAAATATTGTCATCCCTATTTAATTTAAATAACTCTAACAAATATTTGGTGCTGCTTAAGATCAATTAGTTTTACTTTTAGAAGGCTTAAAAAAAATTTCTCTATAAACACTGAATGGAACCAGATTCATGTTAACAATTATTTAAGTGCTGAAATAATTTTTATTGTCTCAATTATAAATAATCTGCTTGGAAAAATACTAACCTAGTAAATTTTCTGGATGTGCTTTTAGTTTTTCAATTTTTTATTATTTCCAATCTTTGATGCCTGCATTCTTCCTCATACAAATTTTCAATTTCAGCTCAAAAAACGCTGCAAATTTTCAACATTGAAATGAAGAGCAAAATGAAGGCTCACACAATGACTGAGGACGTCATTTTCTGGAAGTGGATCTCACTCAACACTTTAGCGCTCGTAACTGAGACGGCTGTTTTCCATTGGAGCATGGAAGGTAATAAAATTACGAATTTCCAAAAACGTATTTCTTAATACTCTGTTTAGGTGACTCCACTCCCCAGAAAATGTTCGATCGCCATTCGAGCCTGAATGGATGCCAGATCATCAACTATAGGACAGACGCCAAGCAGCAGTGGCTCCTGCTGATTGGAATCTCTGCCCAGCAAAACCGAGTGGTTGGCGCCATGCAGTTGTACAGTGTAGAGAGAAAGTGCAGTCAGCCCATTGAGGGCCACGCAGCCTCCTTTGCCCAGTTCAAAATGGAGGGCAACCCTGAGTTGTCGACGTTGTTCTGCTTTGCTGTGAGAAGCACACAGGGCAGCAAGTTGCACATCATCGAAGTCGGCACCCCGCCCACTGGCAATCAGCCTTTTGTGAAGAAAACTGTTGATGTTTTCTTCCCACCAGAAGCGCAAAATGATTTCCCGGTTGCTATGCAAGTATGTTACAGCTCAATATTATTTTCAGAGGTAACTTATAAATTTTGATTTCTAGGTTAGTCCAAAGTATGACGTGATTTACCTTATCACCAAGTACGGCTACATCCACATGTACGACATTGAGACTGCCACTTGCATCTACATGAACAGAATCAGTGGAGACACTATTTTTGTGACTGCCCCTCATGAAGCCACTGGAGGAATCATTGGCGTCAACAGAAAGGGCCAAGTTCTCTCTGTGACTGTCGAAGAAGAAAACATCATTCCATACATCAACACCGTCCTGCAAAATCCTGATTTGGCTTTGCGAATGGCAGTGAGAAACAATCTGGCCGGAGCTGAAGACTTGTTTGTCCGCAAGTTCAACCTGCTATTCCAAAATGGACAGTATTCTGAAGCAGCCAAGGTTGCCGCCAATGCCCCTAAAGGAATTCTTCGAACTCCGCAAACAATCCAACGATTCCAGCAAGTTCCAACACCTGCGGGTCAAACATCTCCACTCCTTCAATACTTTGGCATTCTCTTAGATCAGGTGAGCATTATTTATTTTTGAATGCACATTCAAATCCACTATTCAGCGTATCTTGCTGACATAGACCTACAAAGTGTGCAAGAGCAATTGGCTCTTCAAGTACGTGGTTTTCTCTTGGAAACTATGGTTTACTGAGCCATACACTTATGCATACGTAACTTTCATGGGAAAAATGTTAAAAACGATTTTCTGTTCTTTCCCCAGGGTCAACTGAACAAGTATGAAAGTCTGGAGTTGTGCAGGCCTGTGTTGCAGCAGGGCAGGAAGCATTTGATGGAAAAGTGGCTAAAGGAGGACAAACTCGAGTGCTCAGAAGAGCTGGGCGATCTCGTGAAACAGGCTGATCCGACACTGGCCCTTTCTGTCTACCTGAGGGCCAATGTACCTAACAAAGTCATTCAGTGCTTCTCTGAAACTGGACAGTACCAGAAGATTGTACTGTACGCCAAGAAGGTTGGCTACACACCCGACTACATTTTCCTCCTGAGGAATGTGATGCGCGTCAATGCTGACCAAGGAGTTCAGTTTGCACAGATGCTGGTCCAAGATGATGAACCCTTGGCAGATATCAACCAGATTGTGGATATTTTCATGGAGCAGAATATGGTGCAGCAATGCACTGCTTTCCTTTTGGACGCCCTGAAGAATAACAGGCCTTCAGAAGGACCTCTGCAGACGAGGCTCCTGGAAATGAACCTTATGTCCGCTGCTCAGGTGGCAGATGCCATCTTGGGCAACAATATGTTCACCCACTATGACCGCGCCCACATCGCTCAACTTTGCGAGAAGGCTGGCTTGTTGCAGCGTGCGCTTGAACATTACACGGGTAAGCATTTTTCTTATCTCTCTTATTTGTCATTGTAATATCATTTGCATGATGTGTCCTTCTTATACGCTGCTGGTATATGAAGTTACGAAACATGCAAAGATCAAACAGGTGTACTTAAACTGGCAGTGTCACAAGATGCTGCTTGGAAAATGCTACCTAACAAACAAAAAATTTAAACTTTATCATTGACATCCTAATTAATTGAAACATTTTCTACTAAATGAACACTTCCTTTATTGCAGATTTGTATGACATTAAGAGAGCAGTTGTACACACTCATCTGCTGAATGCTGAGTGGTTGGTCACCTTCTTTGGCACCCTTTCTGTCGAGGACTCCTTAGAGTGCGTGAAAGCCATGCTCACGGCTAACATCCGTCAGAACCTGCAAGTCTGCATTCAGATCGCCACCAAGTACCACGAGCAGCTGACAACCAAGGCGCTGATTGACCTGTTTGAGTCTTTCAAGAGCTACGAAGGGCTTTTTTACTTCCTTGGATCCATCGTCAACTTCAGCCAAGACCAGGAAGTGCATTTCAAATACATCCAGGCTGCTTGCAAGACCGGCCAGATCAAGGAAGTGGAGCGCATTTGCCGTGAGAGCAACTGCTACAATGCAGAGCGTGTCAAGAACTTCCTCAAGGAGGCCAAATTGACTGACCAGCTGCCTCTGATCATTGTCTGCGATCGCTTCGACTTTGTTCATGATCTTGTTCTCTACTTGTACCGCAACTCCTTGCAAAAGTACATTGAGATCTACGTCCAGAAAGTCAATCCCTCTCGTCTGCCTGTAGTTGTTGGTGGACTCTTGGATGTTGACTGCTCCGAGGACATAATCAAGAACCTCATTCTTGTCGTACGAGGCCAGTTCTCCACTGATGAACTTGTTGAAGAAGTTGAAAAGAGGAATCGGCTGAAGTTGTTGCTTCCCTGGCTCGAGTCACGTGTCCATGAAGGTTGCGTTGAGCCAGCAACGCACAATGCTCTGGCCAAAATCTACATTGACAGCAACAATAATCCTGAACGGTTCCTGAGAGAGAACCAGTTTTATGATAGCCGCGTTGTGGGCAAGTACTGCGAAAAGAGAGACCCACACCTAGCCTGCGTGGCATATGAGAGAGGTCAGTGTGACCGAGAACTCATCAATGTGTGCAACGAGAACTCTCTTTTCAAGTCTGAGGCAAGATACCTCGTCAAGCGCCGTGATCAGGAATTGTGGGCTGAGGTTTTGAACGAAAGCAATCCTTTCAAGAGGCCACTCATTGATCAGGTTTGTATTCATACTATCTTAAAATGAAAGAACTTAGTAAACATAATTTTTATTAGGTGGTGCAAACAGCATTGTCGGAAACGCAAGATCCTGAAGACATTTCAGTCACAGTCAAGGCTTTCATGACTGCCGATCTGCCAAACGAGCTTATAGAGCTTTTGGAGAAGATAGTCCTTGATAATTCAGTCTTTAGCGATCACAGGTACATTTTTTCTCAAAGTGTTTTAAATAATCATTTTTTGATAATACAATTGTACATTTCTTATAATAATCCTAAAATATTTTTCAGAAATCTGCAGAACTTGCTGATCTTGACCGCAATCAAAGCAGACCGCACTCGTGTGATGGAGTACATAAATAGGCTGGATAATTATGATGCCCCAGACATAGCAAACATAGCCATCAACAACCAGCTGTATGAAGAGGCTTTTGCCATCTTTAAGAAGTTCGACGTCAACACCTCTGCCATCCAGGTGCTCATCGATCATGTTTCAAACTTGGACCGCGCCTACGAATTTGCCGAACGATGCAACGAACCTGCAGTTTGGAGTCAGCTGGCCAAGGCACAGTTGCAGCAGGGCCTCGTCAAGGAGGCCATTGACTCTTTCATCAAAGCTGACGACCCATCAGCTTTCATTGATGTCGTGGAGACATCACACAGGACGGGCAGCTGGGAAGACCTAGTGCGCTACTTGCAGATGGCACGGAAGAAGGCAAGAGAGTCTTACATTGAGTCTGAGTTGATCTACGCCTACGCTAGGACCAACAGGCTTGCGGACCTCGAGGAGTTCATCTCTGGCCCTAATCACGCTGATATTCAAAAGGTATGGAAATTTAATTAAAAAATTGAAGAAAACTGCTATAAAAATTTTTTGTGCAGATCGGCGACAGATGTTTTGATGATAAGATGTATGAACCGGCCAAACTGCTGTACAATAATGTTTCTAATTTCGCACGGCTAGCAATTACACTGGTGCATTTGAAGGAGTACCAAGGTGCTGTTGACTCTGCTCGCAAAGCAAATAGGTTAATAAATAATCTGAATTATGTACAAAAAATAAAAATGTGAAACTTCTATTTCAGTACTCGCACATGGAAAGAAGTTTGCTTCGCATGTGTAGAGAGTGAAGAGTTTAGGCTGGCACAGATGTGCGGTTTGCACATTGTGGTGCACGCCGATGAGTTGGAGGAGTTGAACAACTTCTACCAGGAGCGTGGCTACTTTGAAGAGCTTATCAACCTGCTGGAGGCTGCCCTGGGACTTGAGCGCGCTCACATGGGCATGTTCACGGAACTTGCAATCCTCTATTCAAAGTACAAGCCGGCCAAAATGCGCGAACATCTGGAATTGTTCTGGTCACGCGTCAACATACCCAAGGTGCTGCGGGCTGCAGAGCACGCACACCTCTGGGCCGAGCTCGTCTTCCTGTATGACAAGTATGAGGAGTACGACAATGCTGTTGTCGCTATGATGAGCCACCCGACTGAGGCGTGGCGCGAAGGCCACTTTAAGGTAAACAAATATATTTAAATTTTCATTAGAATTTTTGACCAGATTCTTTCCTTGTTACTGATTTAAAAGATCAGTTTTTATTTCTGAAGAAGACCAACAAATTTTCAACTTTTTATTTAATTTTTTTTTTTAACAGACTAATATTGTAAATAATGCTGATGTTTATTTGCCATTGCAGGACATCATCACCAAAGTTGCCAACATTGAGCTCTACTACAAGGCAATCCAATTCTACGTAGACTTCAAGCCGCTGTTGCTCAACGACGTTCTTCTCGTCTTGGCGCCCCGCATGGACCACACCCGATCTGTCAACTATTTCACCAAGGTTGACCACCTGCAGCTGGTGAAGCCCTACCTGCGTTCTGTGCAGAACCTGAACAACAAGGCCATCAACGAGGCGCTCAACGGCCTGCTCATTGACGAGGAGGACTACCTGGGCCTGCGGACGTCGATTGATGCGTTCGACAACTTTGATAACATTGCCCTTGCCCAGCAACTTGAGAAACATGAACTCACTGAGTTCAGGCGCATTGCCGCATACCTTTACAAGGGCAATAATAGGTGGAAGCAGTCCGTTGAGCTCTGCAAAAAGGATAGACTTTTCAAGGTGACCTTTATATAAATTTATATTTACTACATCCCTTGATTGGAGTTTGATGTTGAAAATTAGCTAAATTAAAAATAGTAACACAACACTCCAATCATGGGCTAACTATTTCAAACTTGATTTTTATATGATGAATTAGCTTGGCCATAGCACCAATCAGATTTTAATGTTGATAGTACCTATCTGAAACAAATCATTCAATGAAATAAAAGCCATTTACTTTTTGCTTAGTACGTGTTTAAATGAGATTTTCATTGTTCTTAGGACGCAATGGAATATGCAGCTGAGAGCAAAAACGCTGAAGTGGCCGAGGAGTTGCTCAGTTGGTTCCTAGAGAAGGGCAACCACGACTGCTTTGCCGCCTGCCTCTTCCAGTGTTACGACCTGCTCCACCCTGATGTCATCCTTGAGCTTGCCTGGCGACACCGAATCATGGACTTTGCCATGCCCTACTTCATCCAGGTCACCAGAGAGTACACTAGCAAGGTATGTGAAAATCTATATGACATTTTTCTCTTTAAAATTTGCTCTTGTTACAAGGAATATAAAAACGATGATTTTTCAAATAATCAAATTCCAATTCTCTTGGAGTTAAAATGTCAATTTTTACATTTTCAGGTTGATAAGCTTGAGGCAGCTGAGTCGCAAAGAGCTGAGGACCATTCCACTCAGGAGAACAAGCCAATGATGATTCGTAAGTTTCATTTTTAAATATTTTGATCTTTTGTTTTTATCATTAATGCCGTTTTCATGATGAGTTTAGCTTGGCCATAGCACCATTCAGATTTTTCTCTGTTGATAGTACCCCTCTGAAAGCTCTCACTTTAGACCTTCTTTAAGTAACTTCAATCGTTACTGTTGTGTTCATGCGTCGTTTTTATCTGTGTTTTAGCTGAGCCCCAACTTATGCTAACTGCTGGCCCAGGCATGATGGCGCCAGGCTACTCGCCCGGCTATGGCGCCGCCGGCTACGCTCCAAACATGCCCTATCAGGGTTACGGCATGTAACGAGAGACTAGCCAAGAAGAGAAAATTATATATAGAAGAAAAATTAACAAATGAAGTCTTGAAGAATTTGAGTCGGTGCGAGCCGAATCACGTGTACATAGGGCAAATGGGGTGGACAACTAATTAAGAATTAATTAAATGATCATGAACGCTGGTAGAGCTCATTTAAAATATTATTGCTACTGATCAGCTTCTTGTTTATCATAAGAGAAGAATTGGGTTTCCTCCTTTTTTGTAATTTTTACTTGTGATTTTTTACTTCTTGTTTCCACCAAGTGAAGTCTCCAAATAAAAACAGTATGCATGCCAAGGTAGCAAAGAAACAACCAAAAACCATTGACCGTGTACGTGCTTTTGACTTTCAACTAGTGTGCAATTCTCTATCATTCATTCATTCCATAATTAATATATAAATATATCTATTATGCTTTATATCTGATAATTATTCTCTCATGATTATATGAATTAAAAGTAATTATTGTACATTGTGCTGGAAGGTGTCAAAAAATGCTGATAATATTTTTTTGTTTCTTCCAGAGAAATTATTATGATTGTTTCGTCACATTGTGTGATTCGTGCATCCGTCGTCTTTTGCTCTGGCTTAAAACCAACATAATCACATAATTAATGAATTAATTCGCCACTGCTGCAGTTGCTCTTACTGTAATTTATTTGTTATCTACTGATTTGTTTATGTGGTTGATGCTTTACATGAGTATAGTTATTGCGATTTATTATCGATTAATTATTCTTCTATTACATGATGATATAGCAACAGAACAGTGATGCATCCATTATTCGTTTGCATGAAATATTTTTTGTTTACATAACGCTCTTTTTTGTGAGAGATGAAGATATAAAAAAGAAAAATTAGTGATGATGAAAGCGAAGAAATGTTATATGAAAGAATCAATTATTATATTGTGAAAATTATTATTGCACTGTACCGAGGTATCAACCAGTGTCAGAATAAAGAGAAACGTGACGCAATTTTTCAGCTTTTTTTCCAGTTTCCTCTTTACACCTCTGTACCTTGGACAAACCACCTCTCATAATTTAATTGAGAAAAGGCTTTAGCAGAAAAAAAGGCCCGATTAATTTTAAAGGTAATTTTTTCTACATAAGATTGGTTTCAAGATGTCAGTTCCAAAGAGACAATAAGAAAAATTGAATTTATTGAGAGAACTGAATTTTTGAAACTAACTTTCTTAAGCGAATTTTCTAAAATGATTTTTTTTTTCTCCTAATTGGTAAAAATCAGCACATCTTGATCATATTACCTCAATTAAATAAAAAATCAGTTCATCAGTTGACATAAAAAATTTACAATGATCTTATAGGGAAAGCTTGAAAAGTTAAATTATCAGTGAAGATATTACAAGCTCCTTTTGATAATATGAAAATCTGTTTGGGTGAAATAAGAGAAACTCACATTTCAATGTTGTAATCTGTAATGCATCTTTAATTAGAAAATACTTAACGCTAACAAGAAATTTTTGCTCGCACATAAAATGGTTAGTTCAGGAGGAATACAACATCTTTTTATGCATGTTGGCGAAGGCATTTTTAAAATGTCCCGACATCACATCTGACTAAAAAAGAAAATTAACAACAAAGAATCTCTACAGACATTAAATTTTACTTCCAGTTTTCTTCACAGCAAAAACTAAAAGTGAATACTTAGCAGGATTAATCAAATAAAGGACTTGAATCACGGGAGAAAGTATAAAGTTCTCGCACTCGGTCGCTCAGAATCTCTTTTTTTCATCAAAGATAGACTTCTTTCAATTTCTCATTTTCTTTTTGATAATTGATAATATATCACACGCAGACACAGAATGTGTAAATCAAAAATTTCCGTTGTCCGACTTATTGTATGTATGTTGTTGAGTCAACGGGTACATTTTCCATTCACAGAATCAACGGAAGGGTGCTTCTTACGAAAAATGCTTCCTATATCCATCCACTCTTTAAATTGCTGCTGGTGGACCGATCAGACCTCTTGGTGCTTGGCTGGCACGTATGGTATGAATGGTTCACTCCACATCCTCCGCAAGTCACCCTTAAATTGAAATGAAATTTGTAAATAATTTTAAAAAAGAATTCAAATAATTATAAATAAAATTTATAATTTTTAACAACATTTAAGTTTAAAATAACTTCTTTCAACTTACCTTGAGGTAGGCCATGGTGAGCAGGGGCAGCAGGGTGAAAGGTACAAGATAGAGCAGCGCTGGCTGAGCAGCCTTAAATACTTCCGAGCTCACTGTGGCAGTTAGCAGACCAAGGAAGTAGCCAATTAGGGAGCAGTGGAAGTAACTGAAATTTAGCAAGAGAAAAATTACAACATAAAAATTAAATTTCAAGTCACTCTCACCTTATCTTACTAAGATGCCTTGGGGGAGGCACGCCAGCATCCGCAAAATGCATGGACTGAGATTTCTTGTACATGTCGTATCGCAGAACGAAACACAGCAACAGACCTGGCATCACCTTAAAATGTTCATGAAAATTTAAGAATTTTTTCCATTTCTGAGTGGTTTTGTTTCTTACTATGTCGCCGAGGCCAAGCATTGAGAAGTGGCCGCTGTTGTGCATGCTTGGAAAGACGAGCTTGCCAGGCAGAGAGAGTTTCGGCACTTCGCGCACCACTCCGCCCAAATGCAGCTTGCGAGCTACTAAATTGACTGGGTTGTCTGCAGGTCTAGTCGCGACCTGGGAATTTTCACAAATAAATAAAACAAGTAAGAAAAAAGTTAAAAATTAAAAAATTCTGATTTTACACAGAAATTATTTGTACCTTGACCATGACGTTGGTGCTGAAGATGTAGGACGAGAAGAAGACCCAAAACACGTCGTAGATCAAGAGGCCAGTGAGCAGCAGAGTGGACACCTTGAGACTTGGCAGACGCACCAACGCAATAAATGCAACACACAGTCCCATGCCCATGGCTGAATTTCATGATTAATATAAAAACGGATACTTTGTAAAATTTTCTTACCATCCATGAGCAGCCAGTGACCGGTGAGAACCCAAATGCAGACGATAAACAGAGACAGAGAGAACGAAAGGAGCTCAGCTCCGGTGAACCGGCCACACACACCAAATGAGATCCTGGATGGAATGTTTACAAATTAGATTTCTCGACGGTATTTTCAGTTTTTAAACTTACTTTTTATTTTCAGAGCATGGTCGAATAATATATTGACACATGGGAAGAAGCAGAAAGGCCAACGCAACAGTGGCTATGACTGGAAAAAGGGTATCTTATTAGTTTAAATTAATTTAAATAAATTTGATGCATATTTTTTGCTGTGAAACTTCAGTTAATAAAAAATTGCTCTTTTTCATGAAATAAATTGTTACCAACAAAGGCCCACACAGCAGCAACCAAATTCTAGGAGTTTTAATTATGAAACTTTTGATCTTTAAATAGCAAGGCCTGATTGCAAAAGACTTTTAAGCTTTTAAGAAGGAACATGTGGACAACTCACTGGCAGTGCAAATGGCGAAAAGCATCTGCATCGAGTCGAAGAAGAAAAACATGACGAGGAGGGAGATGGAGGCGCCTAGGGGCAGACACAGCGCCTGCATTGTGTCCAGCGTCTGCACATCTGTGAAAAATATTGACGCTACTATCAGTCACGGGTCGGTGGCAAAAGTGAAGTGGTTAAGGGCTCACTGTTTTCGACGCCGCTCGAAGGGTTCGCCGTGTTCGCCTTGTTCTTCTCCCGCTCGCGCGCTTCCTGCTCCATGTTCAGCGACCTGCGGACACAAAAAAAGTAGTGACCAATTGAAAATCAATTTCAAAGTGCTGTGGACAGGAAGCCGGTCATATTGTTTCCTGCCAGACAGATTTAATTGCTAATTGCGCCGCCCGTCGCTTCACCGATCTCGCGACAGTCGTTTCGCTTTTCTGCTTCGATTCAAACATGATCTTTGATTATCAGCAGATCGTGATTTGCGATTATTGTGCCTGTTCTTGAATGGGCTTCCGGTGAGAGAATGTCTGCTTGTCGAAAGATAAAGAACTTTCTGAACAATCGCATTTTCAGTACTGATTGCAAGCGACAATGAACAAGGAAAAATAAATTCTCTCTCGAATTATTACTGAGTTTACAAAGATGAAATGACAAAGGAGAAAATTATTCTGACTAACTTACAGAGACGAACAATTGGGGATTAACAATTGTTGCAGAATGAAAATATATTATTTTTGCTATTGTCTGACTCCGAAGTTTGGTCTAAACGTTAAAAAATCGTCAATACCATGTTGTTCTATAAATTTAAATAAATTTCCATTTTTTTCTCCAAACCGATAAGTATTCAAAAACTTTATTTTGGCACACAAAGGAAAACAATTATGAGCTATAATGCCTACTATAATTTATTTAACTTTAAGGTAATCCTGTTTTTTTTCTCTAGGAAGTGAAAGCAAACAAGGAAATTTAAATTGTACAATCGGATCGACAGTTTCACATTTAGAAGGCTGAAAAACGAGGAGTTTTTGCAATTTTTTTTTTTTTTTTTTTTTTTTTTTATTCAGGCTGAACTTTGGATTCCTACATTTTACAATGGAGTGATGGAGTAAAAAGAATTCAAATATTAATTCACAATAGTTCAAATTTCTCGCTTGTCTGATTCACTTTAGCATGCATTGTATCACGCCGTATTTTGCACAGGGCACCACACTTGAAATTTATTTATGTGGGGCGTTTTAACAGACCTTGTGTTTTATCTTCTCATTCTTTTACACTTGTAAATTGGTCTACTTAGAGAAGAAATAAAAGTAACACACACACAAAATTGTGACAGGATGCGGAAATTATCACATTATTTTCCATTTTTCCTGGAATCGGTACTATCTATTTTAAACAGAACCTCCCCACTTCCTCTCTGCAAACAAAACACTGATAACAATCAACGTGAACTATGAAACGGCACCACTTATTATAATTAAGTATAATTTCAGTAATTGTTATTTCTTTTTAACTTAGAAATTGCCATTCAATTAAAGCGACTGGCTCAAAAAGAAAATTCCAAACGTGCAAAGTAAGGAGGCCGCTTTTGCAACGGCAGCCAAGAAGCGTCGGCGGCGAATTCCGGCGCGCAAAGAAAGGCTTCAGTTGGCAAGAAGAGCGACAGGGTCAAGAAAACCAAGTCCAAGTCGGCTGCACAAAATGCCAGCAAAAAACGGTCTAGCTTGCCTTGAGTTGAAGTAATGAAGAAAAAAAACGTTGAATAAAGAATTAGTCCGTCCAGATTAAATTTTTAAATTCAGGCACACTTTCACAGACAAAACGAAAGCAGCGATAATTCTGAGATCTCCAATTCAAAAGTGTCACATTCCCAAGACTAAAGTTTTATCTAAAAATGCATCAGCTAATTATGAAAAGGCGCACAAAAGAGGTTTGAAGAAGAAGTCTGAGATGCGAAAAAGTAACGTCAGTGCAGGAATGTTTAATTTTCCCTAAAATTGATCAAACGATATTTAAATAGATTATAATTGAAATAATTTTACTCATTCGCCAGGAATAATTATTACAATTAATTGTGAGTTTTTCTCACCCTACTTAAATCGCTTCAATCGTCTTGAAATGAGGTAAACCGGTAAAATCTGATTTGCCCTAAAAACCTTTTCCTTTCGCTCCATCAACAAGAATAATTGCAATGCGAAAGAAATGCAATAAGTGCACACAATAAAAGTATAAACGGGGTAATTTATTCACACTGCTCGGATAGAAGGAAAGAAACCGGTAAAGAGAAAATCCGCGGCGATTAATATCAATAATGAGGATGGAAAGAAAGCAAACAATTTTTCCACACTGCAGCAGTTGGAATATCGGGCGTAATTTATGGGCCGTCATGAGTCTCTCGCTCTGCCCGACCGACCGACCGGCTTCCTTTAATGAGTTTGACCCTTTCTTCGCCCCCTTTTGCACGGTCGGCCGGGTCGTGACATAACGTTAGGTGTTCCAATCGAGCCGAGCCGGTTTATCAAATCTCGCGCCGCCGCCGCCGGCGGAGAGTGAAAGTGATGCCGACGTTCGAAAGCAGCATCGCATAATATTTTTGGCGTGGTCAGTGAAAGTAGAAGTGCTTTTATTTTTTCACGACGCCGTCGAGACGCCCTACTGATTCCGCGAGAATTGAGCAAAGAATTATTAACGCATTGCGCTGAGACGGCGCGGCCGTCTAAATGGCGGGCCAAGGGTTAAAGTTTATGTTGGTTTTTTTGCCAATCGACATTTTCATAATTTATTACAGCACAAATAAGCAATTTGAGAATTCAAAGTGCAGGGTGCAGGTTGCATAATATTTTCTTTCCAGATTTAATTGTAAAAATAATTTCCGAAAACAGAAATACATTCTGTTTTAGGAGAATTGATATATTTAATTAAAAATTTGAATTTTTCTTTCAAAATCGTTATTAAATTAAAATAATGGGATTTCTTGCTGTTTTATAATAGCACGTTGAACATCTTGTAGAAGTTGAAATATAGATTTGAAAAAACCTCCCAACATATTCAAAATTGCAGTAATCACTAAATTTATTAATCTTGTACTGAATTGTTCTGAAGAATAATTTGAAATATTTTAAGATTATAAAAAAAATTACTTAAATGCAACTGAAAAAATAAATTAATTCACGCACAAGGCCCCAAATAAAGTTGGCTTGTATTTTCAAGCGACACACTCACTCGTACACAAGCATTTGCGTGAGAAATTCGTTCCCTCGGCCCAACTGCGCGACACGATCGCACGACCGCTAATTTCACGCAGCGAGGTAAAAATTGAATGTACAGTTTATGATAAAAGCCATTGTGTGATTGTGCGTCGTCTCTTGTCTCTCTCACATGAGCGAGCGAGATTTTCCCTTTTTCGCAGAACAATGAACGCGTTTGGCTTTTTGCATAATTGTGCTCCAAAAGCATTCTTCTTGCTAATCTGTTAGTGCTGATCGCGCGCGGAGAAAAATAATTTCGGCGCTTTAAGGTTTCTTTAACAGCGGAATTAAAAAAAGCAGATAGTTTTTTTTTCTCACAACTAATTATTATTAATCTGCTCCTATCAAATCCTCATGATTAGTTGTGATATCGAACTGGAATTCCTCCTATTTGAAATGATGATTCAGTGTCATAGACAAAACGATTAGTTTAGTAATATAATTCTTTGGCTAATTTTTCTGGGGCTACTGCAAAGAAAGAAAAAACGCAATTCCAACCTTTTTTTAAATTTAAGCCATGTTTTTCAGGGTCAACCTCAACAAAAGTAAGATACCTTATCACTACAAAATTGTGACATGGGAATTTTAGATTCTCCAAAATGAATTATAAAAAAAATACTTTCTCGCTAGGCAATAAAAATAAACCTGTGATTTCTTGGAGTGAAACCTAGGCAAGAGTGTTTTAGATTATGAATTTAAAAATACAAAATTTAATAGCCTTTGCACAACGAAGCCAATAAAATTAAAAAATATTTAGAGGACCTTGAATACATATTTAGAAAAAAATTAGAAAACATTTACGCCGGGTCTCTATCTTGGGCAGGTTTATTTGATCCTGATGGGTCAATTTAAGTTATTTTCTAGAGTAAAAGTCAGGTTTTTTTTTCATTTTCCTTGAAGGATAAAAGAAAATGGTCCCTAAAATTGATGTCCCTTGAGATTACACGGAAATCATCAAGTTTTTAAGTCCCCTTGTTTTCCATTTCCAGTGCTCACAGATTCATAATTTATTTTGTACCTATATTTCTGTCTCATCTTGAAAAAATTTGTTTTTTCTTTAGATTCTCACACGCTAAAAATAAATTGATAACAAAGAACCTTGAATTGAACAATACATCACTATCTCCTCCTTGAGCATAATTAATTATAAAGAAAAATAAGCCACTACATCTTTTACTCCTAAGTGATTTCAAATTAGAAATGAAGTGTTAAACAAAGTTTATTTTTGTCTAGCCAGTAATTTATTTACCATCAGACGAGGGCTTCTAAAAACCGCATCCAGAACGTTAGGCTTCCGCTAAGCCACAAGCCGATTATGAAAGAGAACTTCCCACGACCAATTCTAGCGTTACAAGCTCATAATACTCCCGCCCGCAGACTTTGAAGATAAGCAGTCAGATGGTGGTGACCGGAAGCATTTGGTGCACTTAAGTTTATCTTTGCTTGCAAGTCAAATGGGAAGTTTAATTGATCAAAACATTTTTAGCATTTCAAGATCGAAGGTATTATTAATTTCAGCTTCAACGTTTATTTATTTTTTATTTTAAATTTTGATCAATTACTGCGGCAGATACGGTCTTTTTGATCTTGGAATTTTGGCAAAATTCTTGCCTTTTTACCAAATTGTTTCTCAAACAATTTCTTTTTCAATTATTAAACTTCAACGATGTGGATAAATATAAATAACAATTGAATCATCAATTAATAAATTACCTGAAACTGCCGTAAACGATGAGGAGTATGGAAATGAGGAAGGTGGACACCCTGGACGAGTCCATGATGTTGTAGGCCCTGGCCACGGGCATCATCAGCGGCTCATCTTGCCCCGCCTGGTCCATTCTGATTCACCTTCTCTCCCGGCCGGCTGTCGACAACAAGCGAAAGGGTTAAAATACTTCTATGTACAAAAAAAAAAGCGGAATGGTAATTGGCGGAAACTGCACTTTGTTCAGTGGAATTTTTTATTCGGCCACGTGACACAGCGAATTATTCTAAAATTTATTTGCTAGCCTTGGTATGCCTGATTGTCCGGCGCGTTTAAGATCCAGAGAATTCGTTTTTCGTGGGCGGCCTTGGTAAATTTGTGCAGAATAATTGTTGTTCCCAATAAAGGGGGGATCACCGTTTGTTTTCGCAGCGACCTCGCTCGAAAAGTTCCCACCGGTCTCCTGTTTCTTTCTTTCTCTGCAATTTTGCAATCGTCAAATTGTCTTTGGTTTATTCAATAAAAACTAAACGGCCAATCAATCAAAATTTCTCTTGATAGTCTTCAACCTTCAAAAATCTAAATTATTATAGAGTATTTTCAATTGTGGGAAAATTGATTAATAAGTGAAATAAACAGTTTTAATGTTTAATTTGAGGAAGCATTAATTTAAATTAAATATCATTTTCATTGATTGGCAATTATTAAGCTACAAACGAATTTCTCTTCTCTGTAATTAACATTTTTCGTTTCAATAATAAAATAATTATTCCATAAATTAGGAAAAACTATGTTCCGGATTTTTATTTTATTAAACTATAGATTTCAAAATAAATGAATAAATTAGCCTCCATAAAAATTATTACATTTTGGCGTAGATCATGATATTAGAAAAGAAACGCGGAAACGGAATAAAATCATTAAAAAAATGAGATGAAAAAAAAACAAGATATCTACTTGGCAGCATGTAATTTGTCGTTTGCATGTCAGCCTAACAAAATATTCAATTTTCCCTTTTTAAATAAAACAAAGTAGTGCTTTGCGTGCTTCTCGTTACCATGTTGTTTCAATATTTATTATTTCTTTTTTTTAATGGGCTTTGTTGAGCAGGGACCGAAATTCTCCGCGCGAAACGCAGGCGTCTGAATTGTGATTCAATTTTGAATGTAATTTGCCTTTGTGTGTCAGACGAGCTTGCAAATTAACAAAACAGAGCCTCACTTGGCACAAACACACACGTTTGGTGCCGCGGCTGCATTTTGATGAATCCATCATGTGTGGAATTAGGATAGACAGACAGTGCTCTGCTTTATTTTTAAAATTCTGATCAGCACGATCGCACTTGGGGCCAAATGGGAAAAAAAGAAAGAGTGGCCAACTGGGTTATGAAAAAAAAAAATGGAGGTGGCGAGAATTTCAACCGGATGACGATCGAAAAAAAAACGTGAGCGAAGTGAAATTTTAAGATTTTACCTGCAATTAGCGAAATAAGCGCGCAATAAAAGTTTATCAGCGGCAAAGTTTTACTCTCGAAGAGAGATCTTTATCACAGGTTGCAGTTTTATAAGAAAAGGGAAAGGGTCAGGATTTTTATCTGTTTTGGAAAAATGTGTCGCACTTGTAGCCGATTCGAGAATTGGGTCAAGAACGCGCCGGTATTGTCTCCAGTGAAATTTATTGCACCGATAAGGGCCGGAATTACAAAAGCGTCGTGACATTGTAACGCATTGTAATTCATATAATAACGGATTCTTTATGCAAATATCTGCAGTGCTTTGATGGCAGATAAGAAAATGGTGAGTAAATAATAGAAGGCGTGTTTTGTGTTGACTGTAGTCGGATTTAAAAGTGAATTAATCTAGATAACAAACATTCCTATAGTGATTAAAATTGTGTTCTGTTTGATCAGAAAAGGGTATAAATGACTTTTTTAAATGGAAAAATAATAATGCTTGCAGTTAGAAAAATATAAATAATAAAATATTTCAAACGCAAAAAGTCTCCAAAGGATATTTAATTTTATGGTTTCAAATTTCAAAACCTTCCCACGAAAAACTTTATTTGAATATTGTGATCAATTGTGACAGTTTATGAAAAGGGATAAGATTTTTTAATTTTAAAAATTCTACTTTTTAAGCTGCTCCTAATTTAAAATTATTTAATTTGTTAATTTACACCTTGTGTCAATTAAAATGCATGAAGGGTCACGTTTTCAGTCAGTGAAACTAATATTTTTATTGCAGATTAGTTGGATTAATTTACGAAAACCAACTGTTTTTAACAGGAATGGTCTCTTGAAAAAATAATTAGCACTGGCGGTTGCTTAAGCGAGTAATTAAATTTGACATTTTAATAATGTCTTTAAATTTTTCCCACGGAATACAGAAACTATTGCAAAACTGGTGATAGTGACTAGAAAAAAAAAACAAAGTCAATCGACGCTTATTGCAGCAGATAGTGTCTTTTTGATCTCAGTCAGAAGTTTTAGTTCTTGCTACGGGTACCGTTTTTACAAAAAATACAGTTTCGCTTGCAATAATTGATTGTTTTTCCTTATTTAAAAATTGAAACTAGAAATTAATAAAAATATTAACGTTTAGAGTTGCATGGCGTGGGAAAATGGTCCTGCAATTAATGTAACAATGATTCAGTGGGCCAATCTTTTCATCAGTTTTCCTCAAGTGGATGTCAAACTCGTCGTCGCTCTCAAGACACGGAAAATCACTCTGCACGAATGCAACTGGCCCGAGAGGAAATCGTGGCCGATTTCCAATCGAATACGCGCAACAAGAACGAAATCCAAATTACAAACCACTTACGCGTTTGAATAATGCATGAACTGTAAATTATCGTGAGAGAAAAAGTAGCACTTACGTAAAATGAAATCACATTCGCTGAAATAAATTACTTGGGTCCCATGTGCTTGAAACGAAACAAGTCCAGCGATAAATTCTGAAACTCTCGCGTTGCCAGAAGCAAACAAACAAATAAATGAAGCGGCACGGTCGCGCTGCCGCGAGTGACTGCCGAGCCGACCGCAGTCTCGATCGCTGCTTCAGGCAGGTGCTCAACCCTTCCTCTTTCTCCACCACGCGCGTTCAGTCAACGCTCCGTCGCTCATTGTCGCCAATTTACTTTTTTTTTTAATTTGCCAATTGTACGTACGGAAGGGTGATAAAAATTTAATTGGGTTTTTTTGTTTTTCTCTCTCGCTTTTTTTTTTGCTGTCAGAAAAAGGTTGATGCGGGTCGCCCTAATTACAATTGTGATAAGACCAATAATTATTACATCAAATTTTTCCACCTGGCGAATTTTCACGTGTGAAGGTTTCGAACGAGCCTTCGAACGATATCTTTGTTTATAAGACTTTCCGCGTTTCACGCTTTTCTTGGAGGGGCTGTGGTAAATGTTAGTCCTGCTTATCTGAAAGCTAACAAATAATATTCTCTTCAGAAATAAAACATCGTCAGTTTTAGCTCAAAGTGGACTCAATTCTGAGGTTTCTATTCCGAATGATCACCGACAAAAATCTTCAATTACTATTTTAGAAGCAAAAAATCAACAGTAATTATAATTTTTTTATTCAATATAATGGCAATTTTCATAATGATAGAGATATTTGCTTTTAATAGTTGTTTGATAACAGGAAAAAAATTATGATTACAAAAAATGTAATCCAGAAAAAAATTGCTGAATTTTTGTAAATTAGTACATAGCTTAAATTCTGATGCCACATTCAAAATACTTCAAAAAGGAAAAGATTTGTTCACACAAAAACCTACATCTAGGAAACGCTGTTTAAAATTTAATCAACGCAAATTGTGGCCAAGGAAGGAGATTATTTTGTGGATAATAAATTAATGAAGAAAAATAAAATAGTGACGCATTGCTTGATTCTATACATTGCCCACTAAAGAAATTGTGAAACTTAGTTTGCAGAACTTTTAACAATTTCATTTTGGACCAAACTTGAAAGATTGATGTTCAGAAAATTCACACAAGAAGCGATTATTAATCTTAAAAATTCTATTTTCGCAATTGATCTCATTTCATTTTTACTCTCATAATTTAATGATTTGAAAATGACGTAATGTATAAAAAAAAATAATAATAATCATCAAAATCAATCGGCTGATTTTTTCCTAACCATAAATTATGATCGCCTTAAATTTTCACTAATTTGAAGTAAAATTTGGAAAACTGCGTCTGTCTGTTTGATCGATAAATTAGCTGCTACTGCAAAGATCAATATTTTTATCTGGTGCAGTCGCGCGGATTTTCGTCAAAACCCGCGGCAGCTGCTGGCTGGGTAATTAGAGTGTGCAGTGCGGATGTGTGCAAATAGTCAAGTACACCGACGAGCCAAGTGAGTCAGACAGTCGGAGCAGAGCGTGTTTTCGTACCAAGCGCTCACGATGTTGATGCTTTTTGCGCCAAAAATTGGCAGGACAGAAAAAAAACTGTGGCATTTTTGACGGTCTGCTTGCGGTGCGCGTTATCTGGCAACTCTTTCTGCACAGGTGACGACGCCAAAATAAATATGCTGTCATGGTCTGGAAATCGAGCATTATTTATTTTCGGGCGTGCAAAGTCTGTCGAAAAATTGTCAACAAGATCTTTAATCAAAATAATAAGCAAACTGGAAAATTTAAAAAAGCTAATTAAATTATCTCGGAATAAAATTTTTCACCCGAACTAAGGAAGAAAAAATGAGATTATTTTCTGCATCAAAATTTTGAGTTTAAGTTTGTTTTAAGATGTATTTTTTTTACATAACAGGCGATTTTACTGAAATTTGAATTTTAACTCATAAACCGTACATTTGGTCATTGGCAGCAAATTAAAATTTTACTTAAATATATGAGTTTAAAAAAATTATTCTAATTTTTTGCCGATCTCTAATTAACTTTTAAAAATGTAATGAGAGTTTTAAGAAAATAAAAATACCAGCAAAATATTAGCTAAAAAAAATTATATTAATTACACCTTATTATTAGTAATAAATATCTCCAGTAAAATAAAAAAAATTATAAATTAAGATAATTTATAAATTATGCATCCTGCTTAGTAAGTTAATTAATTTTTATCATAAAGGCAAATTTTTTAAAATTCCGAGTAGTCTTGCTTGAGGCGATTGATTAATTTGATGAAAGGCGTTGGCTTGCTGTGAAAGCTTTTGTCAGACACCAAATTGCAGACAATTGTAGATTGCAGAAGCAATCCAAAATATTAATTGCCAAAACACTCACTAAGAGAAACTCGCGTGCACGAGTGTTGCATGATCCATTCATACACAAATTAACTCGTCTCCTCATTTGGATCACTTTTTTGTGCAGAATTATTACGTTTTTGTTTAAATTGAAACACACTTTTGGCTCGGATGATCCTGGGATTTTCTGCAGTTTCCTGGCGCAGAAGGGCAAACACGTTGGTTGGTGTAATTGTCAGCGATCGTTCGTTTAGATGTTTATCAATCGGAAATGCCCTTGATCCGCGGTCACAGGTCTCGCTCCTGTGCACTTCCGGATGTTACCGTCAGCGTGGAGTACAAGTGGAATGAAGTGTATGAACATAATAATCGATGCCTTTTATTATCACACAAAGACAACTAGAAATTCCATATCAAGTTTTTAATTCAATTTATTTTATCTGCTTGATTGACAAGTGACAATCAAAATTGTCATGTAACTCTCATAAAAATAATGAAATTAAATTTATATAATATAAAAATTAAATAATTATATACATAGATAGTTTAGATGGACTGAAGTAAATTTCAGACGAGCAAATTTCCCATAGGAAGATATTGTGCACCGTATTCTAAAAAAAAAATCAAAATTAAATTCTCAAACCTTTTTAAAATTTGGCTGCCTAAATTAAATTAATAATACAGGCACTATTCTTATTTTTTCCACCTCTCAAATAATAATAATAATAATAATAATAATAGGAGTTCTAACGTTCTAACTCTGTTCAAGTTCAAAGGGCGTGCGAAAGCTTCCTCTATCAAAACGGGCACGAATAGCTGTGAAAATATATAATCGATAATCACGAGGCAGCGCATAAAACAGCCTTCGTTTGCGGGAGTAGTGCATCCGAACCATCAACCATCCGCGACTTCAACATACAATGAAAATATCGGTGCTGAATAAACGGTACATGCAAGTTGCAAGTTTATGCGAATTTTTTTATTCCTCACCTGATTCGAACGATCAAATGCTGACTGCTGAGAGTCGGCCGGTCGAAATTCGGCCCACGGTCTGCCTACTGATCGACGCGGTCGGCCGACATGGTGCCCGAATCAGTCAAAATCTGCAAGTCTTCCTTTGGTAGATTTGCGGACACTGCCTACGGAGAGAGCGAGCAGCCTCTGCGCATTCAGAAGGTCCGCACCGAAAGCCAGGTCACGGATTCAACCTGGCCTCACCAAAATTCCACTCTTCACGAGCTGCGGTTTCCCGGTGACGGAGCCTTCGACAAATTTTGCGCTGGCACTCAGGTAAACATTGTCGAAATTGCCAAGCAATTCACCACAGCTCTGTACGGCACGGCGCCATCTTGATAAATAATGAAAAATTAAAAGGAAAACTCCCTCCTCCCTCTGTGTGTCTCCCACCCACGATCAATCTCGAGCCCTGATTGGATCGAATTATGTTCGCCGACAAGTGCACCTCTTTTTGAATTGTTTCCGCGCCAACTTTACTAAATGTCACCGATTTTGACGTTTTCAATTTCATAGCTGATTATTCTTCTATGAAGCGAAAAGGCTTTCCATCAGATTTTCTTCTTGGTGCTTGTTACTAATTTTACTACTCTCCTCATTTTATACACCTTTTCTCCGTAATTTTAATTATTTTGATATGCTTGGAACAAAAACTACACATTTTTCAATACTGAAGATGACTTTAATACCGTTAAGCACATTACTATAGAAAAACAGCAGAAATTCAAAATTAAGAACCAGGTAATAATAAATTATTAAGTGGAAAATGCGTTTTCTTGCAATTTCTTTTAGAATGATTGCTTGCTCTCCATTAAAATATTATATATTACACAATCGCAACTGATCAGCAGTAAGTAATGAATGAAATCCTCGCTCTCGTCTTTGAAACAAAAGTAAATGAGAAACTGCATAATTGTACACCAATTTTTGGCATTTCCGTTGTCTGAATCATATCCTTCCGTTCGAGAATTTGGACAATAAATCACAGCATGCCTTACAAAATAAATTGTCGTTAAAAAATTAAAATGAGCAAAACATGCTAGATGGAAAAGGTCGTGAAATCATCTCGTATTGACAGCAGTTAGGAGTGTGGTTGGGGGAGGAATATAGAAACCATACAAACATATGTATCAATATTGCATCATCTTTTTTTATCGTTTTTATCTACATTAAATTTGCGCCATTCCAGTGTTATATCATTATTGGATAAGTGAAGTTTGAAAGTATAGTTATGGAATGCTTAGAGCATAATAATTAGTTATTCATGCCTTCCAAAATATTTCTATTCCACCTCTCCGTTTCTCGCTTGTGGTAATTGACAACCATTTCGAGTTTTTGTCATCTCTTTCAAGAACCGTTTGTAAGTTCATTTGCCTTCAAGCAGGTGTTTGTTTGGCTAGGTTCGATATCGCAGCAAAAAACCTAAGACTTGCGTTGTTCCTTCTCTTTTGATAATTTAATCGTATCCCTTGACAATAAATAACAAATTGGCCACCGCTTCAAATAATTTATTTTGTCCTTAACACAACAATTAAGTATACGCACATTTCTATTTTTTTGTTTTAGAACAGAACAACTTCTTGAGCCAGTCGGAATATTTTGAAAGGCAACACTGACTTACTTAATCCTGTGCTAATGTGTTCATCACTCACTTCTAGTTGTTAAAAGCGACTCGCAATTAAAAGGCATGAATATACTCAATATTCTTAGCTACTGCAAGATGAAATGTGACTGATTGGGGTACAAAAACATTCAATTTTGGCAGCTACATTTAGCAGTGGTGGCGGCATGTAGGTGGGTCGACCGATCGATTATTGATACTTGTCCAGCTATTGAGTTGATGCATTCTCACACAGTCACATACCAAATCAAAAGTCATGAGTCGATAAGGGTACCAATTGATTGATTTGATTTTCCAAATTCGCATAGCAATACAATGGTTGGTTGGTTACCCTGTTTGCCACTTTGGTTACAAAATTAAGGGTCTCGTCCCGAAGAACCAGTTGACTGTTTTGTCAAGGGCTCAGATGATGTCAGTACTGATTCAAGATTTTCAAGTGACATGTCAAGCATGGATTCTTCGGCCAGCATTGTGTCGCTATTAATTGAAGCCCAAATCGGCAGCGCCCTGCTGTTGATTTTGAGCACTTTTCTCTATGTTTTCTTTTCAACTTGTCAGTGACACTTCACTAGTTCTTTTTTATAACCTACACAATACCATTTACAGGCTGGTAAAGCACGACTTGTGATTCACACCTTGTCTAAAGACAACGGCAAAATTATAACAAGGGGGCCAAGTGAGAATTAAAAGTTTAAGTTTGAAAAGAGAGATCACATAGATACATTTAAAAAACATCATCCGGAGTTATTCTTCTGCTTTTTTTTTACCATGCTTTGCAAAATAATTATATGTTAACAGCAATTATGTTTTTTTTTTCTTTGTAATGCCACTCCTGCTCCATTTCCTCCCCCGCTGGCCCTTAAATGATCCCTTTTCCAGTCCATCCGTAGTCAAAAAACCAGACACGTGTGCACAATTGACATATATCATATCATGGTTTTTCAAGAACGGGTACGAAGTTTTCCAAAATTTAATAAAGAGACAATTTAAAGAGCTCAGGTTGATGTAAAAGTAAAATGATTTTGAGAGGAGGGCCAAAATGAGTCGGCCGCAGACACACGATTGGTCCCTTGCCGACTAATGCTTTTTACACTTGATATCTAACTCATTACGACACATCCTGATCTTCAACATCCTGCAGCTGCTCCTTAGTCTCACCCTCTCCTAAAATAGAAAGTCACCGTCAGACAACATACAACAACAACGCACCCCACATAAGCTAACACCTCCAAGAAAAGTTGCGTAAATTAATTGACTTGTTTTGTTTAAAATGATTGATTGACCATTTAATTTGGTTAAATTGAGGATTGCATGCACAAACAACAAACAAGTTGAGGAGATGATGATAGCTTATGAGTGAAGCACATGATAAAACCCTCTCAACCACAGTCCTAAGTGGTTTGCAGTGCACTAAATTGATTGCAAAGATGTGCATTGATATTAAGGTCAGAAAGTGCAGTGTGATATATTTAATTATAATGAAGACGGTTCTGCTTTTTAGATGAGATGAATCATGGAAGTGGGAATTGAAAACAGAACATGCAGGACATTATGGCTGGTTCGTCAGCACAGAACATGAAGTGCCGCAAATTAAATGTCAGCGGAAAAGTGCATTGCAGACGTGATTAGGACTTGCTGGTTGGAGGCTCAAAAAGCAGCGTTACAGACCAGAAGGTTGCTGGTTCTCACCGTCGCCTTGCATGTCTGACGTCCACAGGGTGAGGTTGTCTCTAAGGAGTTGCATTATGAGGGTTGAGTCCTTGTAGCTCTCCTCAGACAACGTGTCCAACTCCGCGATTGCGTCGTCAAAGGCAGCCTTTGCCAAACGACACGCTCGGTCAGGTGAGTTGAGGATTTCGTAGTAGAACACTGAGAAGTTGAGAGCCAGGCCAAGCCTAAAATAAAATGGTTGATATGTCAAACAAGGAAGCCAATTGTCACAAAATTATTTTCAAAGATCTCAATAATGAATCAGGCAGATGGTTATCGTCAAGAAACACTTCGGTGTGTGAACAGCCGAAAACATTGTTATCATCATGTTCAAGTGTGGCAAAAACTCCCAAAAAATGCATGTTATTACTTAATAATAATTTAATGAATCTATAAGTCATCATGCTCTCCATGCACTTATTTTTACAAAATCACTTCAGGGAAAACATTAAACATGCATCCATTTTCAATGTTGATTAGTCTTTCCACACTTTTCACCCCAATCAGTTGAACTTTTTTTGTTCCTAAAAAATCATACCTGATAGGGTGTGTGGGGGGAAGCTCTGTCATGGCAATATCACTCGCAGCCTTGTAAGCAACCAGTGAATTTTCTGCAGCCTCCTTTCTGTCGTTGCCAGTGGCAAACTCTGCCAGGTAACGGTGGTAGTCTCCCTTCCTGCAATCAATTCCAAAAATTATTATGCTTCCAGAAATAAAGTGCGATGTTATCATCAAAATGAGTATCATAATTGCTACAAATGAAATACCTGGGTGGCAAGAAATCTACCTAGAAAAGAGCAAGTCAAAAGTAAACCGCTCTCGTACAGTGTGAAAGGTAACTCACATTTTGTAGTAGAAGACCTTAGATTCGCCAGAGGTTGCGCAGGGGATGAGATGTTTGTCGAGGACACCCAGGATGTCGGAGCAAATGTCTTTAAGCTCCTTCTCGACTTGTGACCTGTACTGTCTGATCATCTCAAGCTTCTCTTCTGCGCCTTTGTTCTCTTCTTTCTGTTCAATACTCGAGATGATACGCCAGGAGGCCCTCCTGGCTCCAATCACGTTCTTGTATGCGACGGACAGAAGGTTACGCTCCTCAACGGTGAGCTCCACGTCTAAGGACGCCACCTTCTTCATCGCGTCCACCATTTCTGCAAAGAAGCAAAGGTAAGAAATCTTTAATTATTCAATATTTTATTTAGAGAACAAGAAGCCCTATTATGAGGTAATTCTGTCCGCTTGCACAATTGCATAAAAGGTTAACAAGAAGGGTGGCAGTCGACCAGCCACTTGGCTGACGTGATTCTGAGCGATTTATTGATTTCCCCAGCTGTGTGCATGTATTTATGTCTGGCAGGGAGAAAATAGTCATACACTCATTCGCTCGCAACCTCGTAAATTTAATATTGCAGGCAAGGGCAAAACTCGATTTGTGACATTTGCTCTGAGTCAGATTACCTGATTAGAGGGCGCGACGAGAGTAAATTACGCTCCAAAATGAAATAACCTCCTAGGAGGCATGTCTTAGGTTGACAAGTTTTGGGCTTATCAAGAAAATCCTTGATTTGAAAAAAATTTAGATGTATCGTAAAAAATTCCCTGAATACGAAAGTTTTTGATCAAAAACATTTCTGCGAATGAAAAAAGTGGAATTGTAAGAATCATTGAGTTAAAATAATTAGTTGATAAGCGCATAACATCTTTCAGGATAAACATTTATTGCGAATGCTCAACAGTCTATAAGTTTCTGCTTTACAGTTGTAGCTAAAAGCGGCTCTAATTTTTCCACATCTCCTACTTGATTTCTTGATACGTTCAAGTAAAATCGTACTTGCATGTTTTTTTTAGCTTAAAATGGCACTTTATTTCTAAATTCAAGATGAATGTGCGGGCAAGATGATATTTTTCTGATTTTTCAATTCAATTCAGAGCTTTGATTCAGGTGAAGTGCGTTAACAATGAGCCGCTGGCAACGAGTTATCCAGCGAATCCTTGATTCGCACAAAATCCAGACGCTAAAAATAGCCGAGCAGCGTCAACCCCGAAATAGCGCCAATGACCGTGCCGTGGCCGTTCGCTCCAGCCACGACGCGATCGCGGGACAGTTGTGGTCTGCAAAGCTCCCTCTGAGAAGAAATTTGCGTTATGTCAATTAGCAGGGGGAGAAAAGGGGGCGAATTTCGGCCGACGTTCATCAAGGCGCGCGTGACGTCACGCGGTGGCAACTTGAAGCGCGATGTAGCGAACTCTTTGGAAAATCAATAGCCCCGGCTTAAGTTTAGAACCCCGCCCGCCCGAGCAAACGGCACACGGGCTGGCGATACGCGCCGACCGTCGCGCGGCCACTCGTTCTGTCCAGCCTCTCTCTGGAGAAACAAGTGGAAAAAGACAAATTGAATCGGCGCCCGAGCGTCCGAAATTGGCTATTTCTGACCTCGGATGCAAGCGGCCATTGTGCTGCCCGGGTCGACCGACCGGCGCGATTCGCAAAGGTCGAGATGAGAGATGACTGGAGTGAATGGAGGCGCCGCGTCGACACATAACAGGATTTTGCAAACATTTAAATAAAAACTTTATATTATAATTTTTATTTTTTATCTACTATTTTAAAATATGTTTAAGGATAATATTTTCAATTAAACACTACTTGAAAAGGACATTAAATTTAAATAATGAACAATTGATATTTGATTCTCTTCAGATATTTTTTAATTAACAAGAAATAACTGTGCCAATTCCAATTATGAACAGTTCAACTGTATTAATATGAAGATAAATAATTTCAATCCTATTTAAATAATTTATATATTTCCCCCCCCTAAATTTCAAAAATTGATTTCAGTGACTGTGGTGAAAAATTGGCAAGGGTCGTAGCTTTGGAAAACCCTGCCAGGGCTCTACTGTGATCTGTATCAATTGTGTTTGACGCTTTCCTCCTACGTTTGTCCACACGTCTTATCTGCCGAGCTTGCTTTATTTGATCTTTTCTGTCCCCAAAGTTGATTCAGCCGAGATCTTTGTCATGCAAGGAAAGAATAAGGTGTCGCCTCAGCTGGACGACACCGACGTTGTATGAGCTAGTTAAACAGAATTATGACGCTGCAGCAAGCAAATAATTTTATTTTCTCAGATATGAGGTCACTCGTGACTCATCTTGTGCACTCTCGCACACGCAAATTTTACAAAATTTAATATATTCTTTAGTAAAACAAAAAATTCCTAGCAAACAAGTTCTGGATTCAATTTAAAAAGGAAAAAATAATCATTTTTCTTAAATTATTACAGAAATTAGTGCCTCAAGATTTTCTAATGTGCTGAATTTCTCAAATATGGGCCTTTGGAGAAACGCGTGCAGGATCAACGAGTCGGGTGCGTGGGTCGCCACTGCAAATATAAATGCCAGCCTGAGGTTAAATCTGCCTGCGTCCTCGCGTTACAAAAGAAACACACACGCGGTATGTAATTGGACGCACTCTACTTTCGGTTTCAGCTTTGTTTTATTGGCAACGGCAGGGCACTAAACATTTTTATAAATCATTTGTCACGCAAACAATCAGTCCGTGACATCAATATGAGTCGCCAGATCGCCGCAACGCTACATTGACAGATAAAGCGAAAATAATGTCAATAGTGTCCTTTTTTGGTTGTAGGGAATGCAATAATGTACAACCTGCCTGATGGATATAAAGTCCCGTCTAAAAATTAAATTATTATAGATAATTTTTAAATATATAATAAAATGAACCTGGTGCTGATCTTGAATTACATTCCAAAAATTTTTAATTGACAGCTTGCAACGGTAGGTCAATGATTTGCAAACGTTACATTTTAGTGGTTTATTAATTATTTACATGATTGTCGCAATGATTTTGAGAATCAACCTAATTGACACATAGCCTGGCAGGTACTGATTATTATTCACAAAATAATACTCAGGTGCCGGAGTGCATTTGGAATTACCTGTGACTGTGCACTCACTCTTTCTCTTTAGCATTCAACTCAATTAGGCAGTCGTAAATCAACACTGCCCCGCCGAATAATCGGATCGGAATGCGGAAAGACCCAGTCCCCTAAATAGGAAATCCAGAATTGAAATTTCACGCTCAAGCGATCCTGCCAGGATGAAAAGGGCGGGGAAAAGGGTGTACCCAGCGGGGGCTGGCCTGGTCATTGACTGCGGCCGCACCTGTCACCCGAACACGTACAACCCGCAGGGGGTGCCGATTTGACCGATTCGTAGGTTGAGCAGTCTTCGGAGTGCGAAAACGCCCTGCACGAGCGAAATGACGCATCAGACAAACGGTCGCGGCTTCCCCGGAGTGCAAAACTGCAAAACACCTTGCATTTAGAATTGACAATTCGGCGGTGCTTAATTACCGGCTGAGTTTGCGAATTAACATGCTAAAATGCACAATGTACGTTTTTCCGTGTCTCAGGCTATCAGCAGAACAGCCGTGTTCTATGCAAGGGGCACGGAATGTGCGAATAAAGCGGAATTTTGACAGGAGGCTTCGCTCGCGGAGAAGGCTTGGTGTCGGCTCTTTTCGTCGGCGAATATTTCGGTGAATTAAGTCACTGCTGACAAAATTACGCACTCACCATCGTATCTCTCAGCCTGCTCCGCCAGTTTGGCCTTGTAAACGTTATCCTCCCTTTCTGACATGACGGATGATTTGAGATTTTCCACCTAAGTAACAATCAGGCCGTATCTCTCAAAATGCAAGATGGCTGCGTCCGCCACGGCCTGTTCACTCCTATGCGCAGGTTTGTACCACTGTTCATACTTGTGAACTGGCTGGTCACGTGACCGTTTCATTGGTTGTTATCATTATTTCGTTTTCCAATAGATGGCGCTAGAAGGCGGAAAACGATTGAAAGTACATAAAATAATACCTCATGGGATTGTTTTGATTGATTTGTTATTTATCAAGTTCTAACAAGCTAAATTCTCAGACTGTTCGTAAGTTAAAATAGAATTACTTTGGAGTGGAATTAAAATATAAATCATTAATGATTTATTGTTTTTCAGCTCTAATTGGCTTTTTTTAAATGTAGAAATGTACATAAATATTGCATAATTGTTTTTAGTCGCAGCTACTCGGCTCGGCACTCTCGACAGAATTGAATTACATACTTTTTATTATTTATTGATTCATTTGCAGAATACCGAAAAGTCTCACCCAATTGATTTCAAATTGTACCAGGGATGATTTTGGCTGTATCCAAGAATGATGATGAAGGGAAAAGAAAAATGCCATCGGTGGAAGTTGAAACAGTTAATAAGACGGGAAGATCTCATCTAAACGTTCAAGTTAGGAAGTGCCATTACATTGATTGTGATAGCACTTCATTAAATGGAATTGATCTTAAATGTGCTCCAAAGGCTTCAAGTATAAATAATGCTGAGTGAGTAACATTATTACAAAAATTAATTTTTGAATATTATTAATACTAAGAATTCGATATATTTTTTATAACTATTATTGTATCCATATAATGTGTGTCCGTATTTATGATTTTATTCAGATTTTATTAATTTAGTGAGTTTGCAATTTTCCTTCAATTCAAAATTACATACTAATAAGAGCAATTTTTATAGGCGTAGAAGACAATGGTTGATAAACATGGGCTTGCCTGCTGATGATGAGCGAACAGATATTCGATGTTGTGTCAAACACTTTGACATAAAATTTTTTTACGGAAATGGTAAACTGATCAAAGATGCAGTACCTAAGCCATGGGTAAGAAACTTGAGTATAAGAGATTGCTATGCATTGAAGTTTTATGAAAATAATGTGTAATACTATCAGATGCCAGCTTTACCGACGAGAAATCTAGATCCAGATGTGGAAGATGTCAATCCAATTGGGGAGTCTTTGGATTGTTCAATACGAAAAACATTTGATGCTGTTGACGGTCCATTGCGAGGATTGGTGAATATGGGGAACTCATGCTATATAAATTCACTTTGCCAGGTATATAAAAAAAATAAGAAGTACTTTGTCAATGTATTTCACAGAGGCTACAATTGGCTGCTATTATTTCCATGGTTATTTGTTTTAGGCTTGGTTTGCATGCAGCTGGATTTGGATGCTGCTTAATAATCACAAAGAAGAAAGTTGCCAACTCTTGAAGTCTAAAAGTTGCATTATTTGCTTGCTGAAAGAAGTTGGTCGTGAGGTAACAAAAACTTGTGCTGAGCCTTTCACACCCTTGGACTTGCTTACACAAATTTGGAGTAAGTTAAAAAAGTAACATTTGAACCTTATTGGATTAGACTATTATTCTTATAGGCACAAAAGATTTTGACGAAGGTTTACAGCAGGACTCCATGGAATTGCACAGAATGTTACTCGAAAAGATTGAGTCGTTGGATAAGAAGGGAGTGAGTGAAGTTTTCGAGGGCAAAGAAGTTTTTGAGCGTAAGATTAAAATATATATTTAGAATTACATTGCATCAATATCCTCCAAAACAATATGCAGGTCAATGTTTAGTGTGCGGCAAAACCCGGTATTTAAGTCAGCCCATGTACGACCTTTGCCTACCCATGGCATCTGATTTGAAGGAAGCTCTGCGTATTTACATGAACAGTGACGATAGCTGCGTTCATGAGCCGTATTGCTCACATTGCCACAGAGGAACTCCACAAAAGGAAATAATTTATTTTCAGGAGCTTCCAAAAGTTTTGGTAATTCAACTGAAAAGGTGATTTTGATTCAAATTTTGATGAGCGTTGTGTAACGGGGATTTATTTAATTTATGTTTTTTATTATTTTTTCAATTTATTATTATTTACTCTGTAATTAATTTTGTTTCTGTTTCCAGCAATCCAAATGAAAATGTGCAGACCCATTATGTGACTAACAAAACTGAGAAGAACATAACTTTTATTTTTTCAACTCGTCTTGTTTTTTTTGCAAGCGTTATTTTTATTTGTTATCAGGGAAGTTTTAGAGTTAAAAAAAGAACATTTTACTTTGTGATTTCATTTTGTAGGTACATGGGTGAAGGAATGTTATTGGTGGTGTTGAAAAAGTGATGTCTGTGGTTTTGTGTTGATGTGCCTCATCAGGTGGTGTGTTCATTTCAAAGAATTAATTAATACGGGATCTGGTATGGATTGAATAAGTGATATTATATTCATACTAAATTATTCTCTATTCAACTTCAATAATAAAAATTTAGGTTCAGCAACCAGGCCAACCAGCTTTTGAAAGACTCTGGTGAAATTGTCTTGGACTATGGTTTGACGTTGAAGCAGAGTATCTTTGCGTTAAAAGATGGCCAAATTATAAAAAAAAATGGAACTGAGGAGGTGTCATTTTTTTGCAAAGCCATCATCCATCATGAAGGTGATTTGAGCAAAGGACACTATATTTGTCAAAGTCTAATGCAAGATGGTACGATCAATATTTACAACGATTCGAAAGTAAGCGAAATTCACATATCTTACAATTTTATCAGTACATTTCCCTGCAGGTGTCCTCCTTCACTGTACTGGATGGTGACAGCCAGAAAAGTGACACAGGTTACATATTATTTTATGAGAGAACCACTTCTGATTCTGATACTTCTTTTGAACACTTTCAATCATCATGTAAGAAAAATAATTATGCACAGAAAGCTAATAAAGCATTAAGAAATATGATCTTACATGATTTGTTATGATTATTTTGAAGCTTCGTACAATAATTAATTTTATTTTCAATGTAGGTAATAGAACACCAATGAACAACCCTCGAACCGTCGAGAATCAAAACCTTTCGCCTCAGATGCTGCAGTCATGGACACCATCTTCATCACCAAGGCTACCAGTTAGAAGTTCTCCTCGTACACCACTTCGCCCATTGAACTCGGATTCCAGCTGTGGTCTGATAGGAGAAAACTGTCAGGCTTCACCACAATTTCAGCAAGAAACGCCTTCATCACCCTATCTGCCAGCCAGAGGCCCAAGAACAAGAAAGCTGCAAATTTCTTCGCAAGCAGACAATTATCGATTTTTGAATGATAACTCTGAGCTGGAGCCTGCAACTTCTCCAGGGTCTCCATACAAACCAAGAAAAAAAATTCAGAGACTGAATAGTTCCAGCTTTGGTGGATCTACAGCATACAATCTGCTTCAAGGGTGCCCTTCGTCCAAGAAGAATCTCAAGGCAGAAGTGGTGAAACAATATGTTTTGCCTCATCTGCCTTTAAATCGGTCGAAGCCTTTTGGTCGGAAACCAACAGACGAACAACATAGACAATCATTACCGCAGCATCAACAAACACCATCTCAACAAGAACTACCACCTCCACCACCTACGTACCCACCTCAGACTTTGCCGCAAGTAACCACTACTCTGCAGCAACCACAGCCACCGCATGAACAACAGGTAGCACCGCCATCCGAGAACGATACACCTACGACACCACCACAAGAACAACCTCGTCCAACACCACCTCAACAGCCACAAGTACGACAAATACTACCACCTCCACCACGATCCGGACATGCGTGCCCACCTCGGACTTTGCCGCAAGTAACCGCTACCCTGCAGCAACCACAGCCACCGCATGAACAACAGGTAGCACCGCCATTCGAGAACGATACACCTACGACACCACCACAAGAACAACCTCGTCCAACACCACCTCAACAGCCACAAGTACGACAAATACTACCACCTCCACCACGATCCGGACATGCGTACCCACCTCGGACTTTGCCGCAAGTAACCGCTACCCTGCAGCAACCACAGCCACCACATGAACAACAGGTAGCAGCATCTGAGAACGAGCAAACTCCAACACAACCGCCTCTATCACCGCCTCAACAACCACAAGTAGCATCACCTCAACAAGAATCACCATCACCACCACGTCATGCACAAGAACAGCAACCTCCACGTCAAAAACAACTACCAGCAAATCCATGTAACATAAAAAGATATTAAAAAAAAAAAAAATTACGGAGGACCATACGCTTTATTAAATATTATCTTTTCTTTTTCCAGCCAAGAAAACACTATTTGAAAAGCTTGACAGAAAGAGTTTGATTGCATTTGCAAAGAAGAAGAACAAAGAGGTCAAGAGGTTGAAAAAGATGAGGCTTAAAAGAAAAGCCACCAACCCTGCTTCGAAGGAAGCTGCCATACTCTATTTACGAAAACACCTGCCTACAAAATGCGTCGATTTTATTGATCGACAAATCAAGCTTCAGAAAGTAAGATTTCATATAATAATGATGTTTTAATGAAATAATAACTTAATCTCAATAGGTGAAGCCACAAGGTCGAAGATATGATCGACAAGACCTTATACTCACCATGGGTCTTCAGAAAGGGGGACGAAGAGCAAGAGCGGCTGTCAGTGACATGTTCATTCTTCCATCAAAAAAAACTCTTCTTCGTTTCACGCAAGGGCTAAGCATCGAACCAGGAATAATTGAGCCTATATTGGAGGGTGTTGGAGATTTTACATCAGATTTAGAGGATGAAAGGGACTGTTACGCAGTTCTCTTGTGGGATGAATTATCCATTGATGAGTTTTTGATGTGGTCCTCAAAGTGGAAAAAATTTCAAGGATTTAGCGATTATGGGCCAGGAGAGGAGACCACCAAAGAATTGGCGGATCACGCACTTATTTTTTTCGTTGTTCTGCTCAGAAACAAGAAGGTCAAGGTTGGTTAATTTTTCTTTTTATTTATATTGTTTTTCATTGTGGTTCTAAATTTCAGTTCCCAGTCTCTTACTATTTTTCTACAGGAACCACGCCTTCA